GTAAAACCTAGAATCTGATTTGAAACATCGGGAAGTATAATAGCTAGACACTCAAAGCTCGAAATAATAGAATCACGAAATGAGGTTTCATTAACCCTTTCTGTGGCAGTGTAGCAGATTCGCAATAATCACTCAACTATATGGCAAACAGCTTTTGAAAAAATTCGCCCTTAAAGGGTTAAATAAAGTCGACTATACGTCTGCTTCAGTCTATTACAACACCTTTGGCGTGGGTTTCAGTGTATTGATACCTGAAACTAATCTTAATCATAGTATGAGGACACTAGTGTCTTGGTTTGGCTTTTCTGTTTAAAAAATCCCTTTGACCAAAAAATTGCCATGTGATCAAAAACAGAAATTGAATTTAAAATTCGCAGCAAAACGTAAAATTTAACATAAATGCATGATGTATTTTTATTCCGTGACTATGATTTCCATTCACGACAAACGAGATGCAAATGAATCTCATCTATAATATATAAGCTATAATTAATTTCATGCACGCAAATGTCAGCCGACTAAGAAGTTCTATGACTAAACACAATAAAGAAAAATTCATTGAAAGAAGTTATATAAAAGAGTTTGCTAGATCTTCCTCTTTTAAAATAGTCCTGATCAAACGCGCTTTATGAAAAAAAGGAACAATCCGATCTCGTTTTTTTTAAACACATCACGTTTCCGTTGCCACTGGGAGTCAAAGTCAAGTGAAAAGTATGGCCGAAAACGTGGGCTAGGTTATCTTTTGAAAGAAGTTATATAACGCATTGCTAGATCATTCATCTTTCAAAGATTGCTCGACAAATTCTGACATTTTCCTTGACAACCAGCAAACTACGGTGGCTCACAAGGGCCACCACACAAAATAAAAATATTAATACACACACAAAATAAAAATACACACACAAAATACATTATACACACACAAAATAAAAATACACACACAAAATATATACAGGTCGGATTGTCGGACTTATATTATCAGTTTGTTGTAAATTGTGTAGTAATGTTGTAAAATGTTTGTCATATATTACTAGACAAAATACGTATATAGTTATTAAACTGTAGTTTCAGTGGAAATCCTGTACGTAAATTCAAAATACTTTGGAGCACTTTTTCTACCCAATGTGGCATTACGTGCAGGATTTCCACTGAAACCACACTTTAATAACTATATACGTATTTTCCTATTTGTCTAGTAATATATGACAAACATTTTACAATTTATCATACGGTATATTCACACACAACACAACATGACATGACAATTTACAACAATTACAAACTGATAATATGATAGTCCGACAATCCGACACTGCAAGCGCCCGCAATCATATTTTGTGTGTGTATTTTTATTTTGTGTGTGTATTTTTATTTTGTGTGTGTATTAATATTTTTATTTTGTGTGGTGGCCTTTGTGAGCCACCGTAGCAAACCACTGAAAGTTAAGCATGTTACAAAAAGCTTGGCTTGAGCAAGGATACAGTTTCGCCTGGCATTAACAAGTTAATAAAGCTTAATTTAAATGTAGTTTTGCGATAGTATTTATAATAACAACATATACAAATTACATTTTTATGGCATTATTCTCGATAGCTCATGGTTATCCAACCATTTGTTCGTTTGCTCAAAATGAACAATTTTTGGATAACGTATGAAGGGTGTACACAAAAACTTTAACAAGCCATCGTACGTTACCTACTCAGTCTATGAAGAAATGACATGTTTTCAATACCAAATGGAGATAAAATGAGCAAATACGAAGATGATAAAAGAACGTTGGTGAGAATCTTGGGTCTAGTTCAACCGTTGCACAACAAAAGACGAGCACATCACAACGAACATATCACAACTTGCACTGTGTATTAAAAATGCGGTCATTTATATGTTAAAAAGGTTATTAAAAAGTCAAATTCATCAAATACTTAAGTTTCAAAGAGAGTTGAATTTTCAAGAGTACATACTCTCTGAGATGAAAATATATTATTTCTTTATAGACTAAGTATAGTTAAAATACAATGGCATGTGAAAGTTGAATCTTGGTGTAGTACTCACGTGCAGGCTACAGGAAGAACGTGTCACTAATTGCTCAAAATGGCGGATCTATTACGAAAATAGACAAAAAGAAATAATTCATCACGGAAATGAACACCCAGTAGCAAAGATTCATTACGTACTTGTAGGTAACTCACGTGAAATCTCACATGTAAAGAGCAGCTGCAGCGGCATACCCTACCGTGAAAGTCCAATATACCGACACACACGGATAGAGCTATATATAGAAGCTGGTTCGATTTAGTTGACTCGAGCTGTTTCGAGTCCTTGGTGAGAAGAGGAACATTACTTTTTCAGGTAGGTTTTGACATATTTTTTTGTGTAATGGATCGCTTTCCGAGTATACTTCGAACTAATACGTCAAACATTTGATAAAGTAAATGTAAAAAGTTATACATGAAAGCTATAACACAGAGAGAAATTTAGTGACCGACTTGATGTGACGATAAAGAAGTTTAAGTGACATGGCAAGCTTTAATTTTTCTAGTTTTCATAGAACCTTCATCTGAAAACGTGTATGCTATACTGAGTAAGTATTTTTTACTTCGCACTCCTGTTTCGTAAATTTCTACACGACAGCTTCTTCACAGCAAAGAAAACAAACTAAAATTTATTTTCTTGCCACTTACGTAATTTTTCAAACATTGGCATGTAGCTAAAGATTAATAAACGAAGGAAACAAGTACTTTGTAACTTTGTAAGAGAACATAAGTACTTTGTTTGAAACGGACAAATTCCTAAATAAAATTTTGAGAAACCGAAGACAACGAGGAAGGTGGACGTTTTAGAGCAAGAAGAAAATTGCTTTCATTCAAAATGTCTGGCTTAAAAATTTCCCTGTACATGTTATCTACAATTTGTAAAAATGTGTCAAGCACTGTCATTTACCGTAAAATCACTTTAGAAAATTGAAATATGTTTGAAGATTCCAATCATCTCTATTAACCAAGCGGACATAGGCATAACAATCATTAGGAAACGGGGAAAAAACTGAAAATCGTTTAATATCACTTGATATAAAAGATACATGAAAAAACTATACCTAAATGACAAAGGTTATTATATAAAAGTTATATAAAACAATTATAACTAAACGACAAAGTTATCATGTAAAAGTTACATAAACAATTAGAACTAAATAAAAAAGGTTACTAGTATTAGAAATGACATGGCTAAAGCTTTTTAAACCGGAAACGGATTGTTAGATTTCCAGAGAGATCAAAAACTTCCTCATTTTAACAGAGACAATGCCCTGGTGCTCACATTTTTTACAATAGTGAATAGGAATCAATAGTCTTGGAAACAGTACATATACATGATCATTTCATGATATTTTACATTTCTTACAGTATACTCGACATCAAAATTCACTTTATTCACACTCACATAAAACTCACCAACAATGCCGTTGGGATTTTTGAGTTTCATTGACAAAGCTTTCCATTCTGCGGTGTTTGGGAAGAGTTCGAAACAGTTCGGTTCCCCAAATTTAATTCGCTCAAAGATGAAGTGACATAAGTGCAATTTGTCGTTCTACTTGCAGACTTTGCCTTCTCCATAAAGCCATAAAAAAGCAATGAAACATTCTTGGGAACAAATGATCCGACTAGGAAGGCCGAAATTTCTAATGTATAGTAACGTCATATATACTGTTGGGGTTGCTGCGGCATATAAAAGCAAGCCGAATGAGCCATTCAATCTCTTGTGTTACATCTGGGTGTGCACTCTGGTCCACGCCATACACGCTATGACACACTATTTCAACGAATACTACGATTTCGATGCGGATAGCGCAAACAAGAATCCAAGCCCTTGGACTGGAGGATCGCGCGTTCTGATCGAGGGAAAACTGAAACCGAAGGTCTCGCTAATGATTGGCAGATTAATTTGCGCCATTGTGCTTTCGAATGCAGCATTGTATTATTGCATAACAGGAAATCTACCAGCAACTGTGACTATTGTACTTGGTGTTGTATTTGGACATGGTTACAGCGCATGGCCGTTGTGTACATCACGTAGGGGACTGGGGGAGGCCACTGTATGTCTAGTACTTAATATTTTAACACCATTGGTCGGATACCAGACTCATGATCCAAGTTCCCCATTGGGTAATAGTCTTATCTGGCCAATTTTGCTACCACTTCTACCAATTCAGTATGTACGAATGATGGTGATGAACATGGCTGATTTGGAACCAGACAAAATCACTGGTAAGCTAATGCTTGAATGTTAGGAGCCAATACATACAAAAAAGGATAACAGGTGTTATTCTCGGAGCACATACCAGTGTATCGGTGCAAAGCGTATAGGTCGGGTTTTACGTTGTCTTTTTCACAGGTAAACTAACACTTGTCGCAAGGATTGGTCTGCAGTCTTCGTGTTTAGTTCACGGCGTTGGAATAGCGTTTGCTTACATTTTGCACACGTGTCTTTATGCGTACGGATATCTGTCGACGATAACATTTCTTCTCATGTTAATACCAGCTCCAATAGGACTACGACAGGTTAGCATTAATATAAAGTTATTCTCCACGGTTGTGGCGACATTTAATGTCATATTCACGATAACACAGTTAAATTTTTCATTTTTCGTTCCAAATACATAGATTCCTAACGTGTTCATTCGACCTTGGAAGTTCGACAATCCTTTTTGGAGTAGTCAACACAACATCCTCTCCATGGCCATGGCGTTAGCTGGCATTTTACTTTCTGGCGGTAGACAGCTGGAAAGCAGATCGTGGGCGCTGTGTTTCCCTTTGCTTCTCATCTCGATCTCGGTACCAGTACTTTTTAAGAAAATAGTCGACGCGACCAAAGCTAATGATACGTACAAGACGAAACTTTATATGGCAGCACACGAAGAATAAAGCTCTTTGGACTGGATTTTAAAACAAATAGCTTATAGGTGATTATATTCGTTAAAAAATATTCGCATTATGTAATTTATACATCTTAAAATACAATACAACAATGTTATCTATTAAAAAATCCACTGTGTCTCATTTCGGTAGTTTCCAGTAATTTTTGAGTTAAGACGCTGGAAACATGACAGAAAACATTACGTAGGCAGGTAATGGTAACTCTCGTAGACAAATAATCTAAAAATGAAAAATAAAAGTCCACCATCAACGAATAAAAGCCCAAATGACGAGTCGTTGAGAAGAATTTGGGTTAAATTTTTTCAGACGAAGCGCGCAAATTTTAATCCGAGTTCGTGCGAAATTCTATTTATGATTTGTTCGAATCACTCTTCGGAAGATTGTTTTGAGCGTTTATTCCATTTGGGTGGTATGACTAGACGGCACAAACTTGGTGCCGTACCTACTATTTGGAAGAAATCACCAACACCAACAACGTCAAGAGAGCTGCGTTAGCACAAGTTGCAACTATGATATACTTATATATATTGCAGATGATAAATTTACACAATTTGAGAGAAGCAATAATACATCCAGGCAAACTTCCAATATATAATATACATTTATACTAAGGTTTGAAAGGAAACACAAAATAAAGTGTCTGTATCCAGCATGAACAAAGAAGAATTAAACCTAGCTGGCTTTGAACATAACGAAGCTGCTATTTGAAGAACAAATTCGTTCAGGCAAACTTCGTTAAAGCCAGGGTGATCCAAAATGCATTTCCTTTCATTGATTTCGTTATGATACATTTTACCACGGCATTGCTCTATTTCCATGCAGCATCTGCACTCTTGAGGGTTGACAACAAGATCCAACGAACAATGGCCACATTCACACCTTTAAAATGGGCCAAATTGTATGTTTCCATAAAGCTATCGTAGCTAACGGCAGACGATTCAGATCAAAGTAACACTCTAAGAATGACATCTTACCATGAAAGTAACATCAACACGGGCATCAAAACGATCTTGCAGTATGTCTTCAACCAGCCGTTCTTCTGCGACTGCAGTTTCGTACTCAGCAATTTCATCGGGCGAAGCAAGCGGTTCAATATTATCGGCAAATGGCAAAATTTCCGAATTAGATTAGTCCGAATTTGCCGTCATAAATTCCGATGAAGAAAGCGAGCGAGCTAGATTTCGATGAATTTGACATTTGTTTGCTCTATTTATGTATTATTTTGTATACTTTCCCATTTGCGCTTCTTGCCGTGTTAAGACTATGACGTCACAGACCTTGGCTGATTGCATATATTCAAAATGGCCGATTTTAATGGCGGACAGGAAAATTAGACATTTTAAATGTTCATAACTCTCTCGTTATATTATTATTTTTGCTTACATTTTACGAAAGCAATAATTGATATGCGTTTAAACTATTGAATGCTAAAATCGATGATTTTTCAACGTTAAGTTTTCGTCATAGAAGCACTTTAAGCATGTTACAAAAAGCTTGGCTTGAGTAAGGATATAGTTTCGCCTGGCATTAACAAGTTAATAAAGCTTAATGTATATTGTTATTATAAATGCGATAGTATTTATAATAACAATATATATTACATTTTATGGCATTATTCTCGATAGCTCATGGTTATCCACCCATTTGTTCGTTTTGCTCAAAATGAACAATTTTTGGATAACGTATGCAGGGTGTACACAAAAACTTTAACAAGCCATCGTACGTTACCTACTCAGTCTATGAAGAAATGACATGTTTTCAATACCAAATGGAGATAAAATGAGCAAATACGAAGATGATAAAAGGACGTTGGTGAGAATCTTGGGTCTAGTTCAACCGTTGCACAACAAAAGACGAGCACATCACAACGAACATATCACAACTTGCACTGTGTATTAAAAAATGCGGTCATTTATATGTTAAAAAGATTATTCAAAAGTGAAATTCATCAAATGCTTAAGTCTCAAAGAGAGTTGAATTTTCAACAGTACATACTCTCTGAGATGAAAATATGTTATTTCTCTATAAACTAAGTATAGTTCAAGTAAAATGGCATGTGAAAGTTGAATCTTTTTTTATACACCCTGGTGTAGTACATACGTGCAGGCTACAGGAAGAACGTGTCACTAATTGCTCAAAATAGAGGATCTATTACGAAAAAAGACATCGCGCAAATTCATCACGGAAATGAACACCCAGTAGCAAAGATTCATTAAGTACTTGTAGGTAATTCACGTGAAATCTCACATGTAAAAAGCAGCTGCAGCTGCATACTCTACTGTGAAAGTCCAATATACTGACACACACAGATAAAGCTATATATAGAAGCTGGTTCGATTTAGTTGACTCGAGCTATTTCGAATCCTTGGTGAGAAGAGGAACATTACTTTTTCAGGTAAGTTTTGACATATTTTTTTGTGTAATGGATCGCTTTCCGAGTATACTTCGAACTAATACGTCAAACATTTGATAAAGAAAATGTAGAAAAGTTATACATGAGATTTCGTAAAAGCACTATTGCCAATGCACATTTAATATAAACGACAAGTTTTTTGAAAATAGACATGTTTCGACATCTCATGATGCCATCTTCAGTATGAGTGAAATAATAGGTGATACAAGGTTTATATAAAAGTAATATTATACAGAAATTATAACAATAAAAAGGAAATAAGATAAATTAATGGGGAGCGTCCGAGCGTATTATAAACTAAATATTGTATTGAATTTAAAAACTTGAACATTGAGGTCAGGGTTAGTTTTGTTAATGTGGAGTGCTTCTTTGATTTTAAGGGTGAATGAGGTGTCGGCAGTGTCGATGATTTTGAAGCAAGAGGGTGAATAGTTGGTTTTACATGAGTGAGATTTAAGAAGGTGTCGGTAGATATGAGAGTTTTTGTCTGTTGTGGTATGTTCCCTGATTCTGGTGGATAAATGGCGCGAAGTTTCGCCAAAATATCGGGAATTACATCCCGCGCAATTGAATTCATATACCACCATAGATTTAATTGAATCAGGGATTGGGTCTTTGAATGAGAAAAGGTTTTTGATTTTGAATGATGTGAAAATTAGTCGAATGTCAATATCTGTACAGAAGCGTTTCATAATGTTTGTAAGTCTGCGTTGTGTGTGTCGTGAGTAATGTCCGATGTATGGTAGTTTGAAGTATAGAGTTGTTCAAACTAACAATATAATTTTTTGAAAATTCCAAAATAATAACTCTATACTTCAAACTACCATACATCGGACATTACTCACGACACACACAACGCAGACTTACAAACATTATGAAACGCTTCTGTACAGATATTGACATTCGACTAATTTTCACATCATTCAAAATCAAAACCTTTTCTCATTCAAAGACCCAATCCCTGATTCAATTAAATCTATGGTGGTATATGAATTCAATTGCGCGGGATGTAATTCCCGATATTTTGGCGAAACTTCGCGCCATTTATCCACCAGAATCAGGGAACATACCACAACAGACAAAAACTCTCATATCTACCGACACCTTCTTAAATCTCACTCATGTAAAACCAACTATTCACCCTCTTGCTTCAAAATCATCGACACTGCCGACACCTCATTCACCCTTAAAATCAAAGAAGCACTCCACATTAACAAAACTAACCCTGACCTCAATGTTCAAGTTTTTAAATTCAATACAATATTTAGTTTATAATACGCTCGGACGCTCCCCATTAATTTATCTTATTTCCTTTTTATTGTTATAATTTATGTATAATATTACTTTTATATAAACCTTGTATCACCTATTATTTCACTCATACTGAAGATGGCATCATGAGATGTCGAAACATGTCTATTTTCAAAAAACTTGTCGTTTATATTAAATGTGCATTATACATGAAAGCTATAACACAGAGAGAAATTTAGTGACCGACTTGATGTGACGATAAAGAAGTTTAAGTGACATGGCAAGCTTTAATTTTTCTAGTTTTCATAGAACCTTCATCTGAAAACGTGTATGCTACACTGAGTAAGTATTTTTTACTTCGCACTCCTGTTTCGTAAATTTCTACACGACAGCTTCTGCACAGCAAAGAAAACAAACTAAAATTTATTTTCTTGCCAATTACGTAATTTTTCAAACATTGGCATGTATAGCTAAAGATTAATAAACGAAGGAAACAAGTACTTTGTAACTTTGTAAGAGAACATAAGTACTTTGTTTGAAACGGACAAATTCCTAAATAAGATTTTGATAAATCGAAGACGAGGAAGGTGGAGGTTTTAGAGCGAGAAGAAAAGAAACCCGCATCAATATTTTTTTAAAAAATTGCTTTCAATCAAAATGTCTTGCTTAAAAATTTCCCTGTACATGTTATCTACAATTTGTAAAAATGTGTCAAGCACTCTCATTTACCGTAAAATCACTTTAGAAAATTTAAATATGTTTGCTGATTCCAATCATCTCTACTAACCAAGCGGACATAGGCATAACAATCATTAGGAAACGGGGAAAAAACTGAAAATCGTTTAATATCACTTGATATAAAAGATACATGAAAAAACTATACCTAAATGACAAAGGTTATTATATAAAAGTTATATAAAACAATTATAACTAAACGACAAAGATTATCATGTAAAAGTTACATAAACAATTAGAACTAAATAAAAAAGGTTACTAGTATTAGAAATTACATGGCTAAAGCTTTTAAACCGGAAACGAATTGTTAGATTCCAGAGAGATCAAAAACTTCCTCATTTTAACAGAGACAATGCCATGGTGCTCATGTTTTTTACAATAGTGAATAGGAATCAACAGTCTTGGAAACAACAGTACATATACATGATCATTTCATGATATTTTACATTTCTTACAGTATACTCGACATCAAAATTCACTTTATTCACTCACATAAAACTCACCAACAATGCCGTTGGGATTTTTGAGTTTCATTGACAAAGCTTTCCATTCTGCGGTGTTTGGGAAGAGTTCGAAACAGTTCGGTTCCCTCAAATTTAATTCGCTCAAAGATGAAGTGATATAAGTGCAATTTGACGTTCTACTAGCAGACTTTGCCTTCTCCATAAAGCCATAAAAAAGCAATGAAACATTCTTTGGAACAAATGATCCGACTAGGAAGGCCGAAATTTCTAATGTATAGTAACGTCATGTATACTGTTGGGGTTGCTGCGGCATATAAAAGCAAGCCGAATGAGCCATTCAATCTCTTGTGTTACATCTGGGGTGCACTCTGGTCCACGCCATACACGCTATGACACACTATTTCAACGAGTACTACGACTTCGATGTGGACAGCGCAAACAAGAATCCAAGCCCTTGGACTGGAGGATCGCGCGTTCTGGTCGAGGAAAAACTGAAACCGAAGGTCTCGCTCATAATTGGCAGATTAATTTGCGCCATTGTGCTTTCGAATGCAGCATTGTATTATTGGATAACAGGAAATCTACCAGCAACTGTGACTATTGTACTTGGTGTTGTACTTGGACATGGTTACAGCGCATGGCCGTTGTGTACATCACGTAGGGGACTGGGGGAGGCCACTGTATGTCTAGTACTTAATATTTTAACACCATTGGCTGGATACCAGACTCATGATCCAAGTTCCCCATTGGGTAATAGTCTTATCTGGCCAATTTTGCTACCACTTCTACCAATTCAGTATGTACGCATGATGGTGATGAGCATGGCTGATTTGGAACCAGACAAAATCACTGGTAAGCTAATGCTTGAATGTTAGGAGCCAATACATACAAAAAAGGATAACAGGTGTTATTCTCGGAGCAAATACCAGTGTATCGGTGCAAAGCGTATTGGTCGGGTTTTACGTTGTCTTTTTTCACAGGTAAACTAACACTTGTCGCAAGGATTGGTCTGCAGTCTTCGTGTTTAATTCACGGTGTTGGAATAGCGTTTGCTTACATTTTGCATATGTGTCTTTATGCGTACGGATATCTGTCGACGATAACATTTCTTCTCATGTTAATACCAGCTCCAATAGGACTACGACAGGTTAGCATTTATATAAAGTTATTCTCCACGGTTGTGGCGACATTTAATGTCATATTCACGATAACACAGTTAAATATTTCATTTTTCATTTCAAATACATAGATTCCTAACGTGTTCATTCGACCTTGGAAATTCGACAATCCTTTTTGGAGTAGTCAACACAACATCCTCTCCATGGCCATGGCGTTAGCTGGCATTTTACTTTCTGGCGGTAGACAGCTGGAAAGCAGATCGTGGGCGCTGTGTTTCCCTTTGCTTCTCATCTCGATCTCGGTACCAGTACTTTTTAAGAAAATAGTCGACGCGACCAAAGCTAATGATACGTAGAAGACGAAACTTTATAACCTCTTTGGACTGGATTTTAAAACAAATAGCTTATAGGTGATTATATTCGTTAAAAAATATTTGCATTATGTAATTTATACATCTTAAAATACAATACAACAATGTTATCTATTAAAAAATCCACTGTGTCTCATTTCGGTAGTTTCCAGTACTTTTTGAGTTAAGACGCTGGGAACATGACAGAAAACATTACGTAGGCAGGTAATGGTAACTCTCGTAGACAAATAATCTAAAAATGAAAAATAAAAGTCCACCATCAACGTCAATATACAATATTTTGCCTAGAACAAATGTATTAATGTTTTATAGTTCTTCTGTAGCTAAATAGTTTAGTTTTGATGCGTGTGGTTCCAATGACTTTATGAAACAGATGCTGCAACAACGAGTGAAAATAGTGTTAACATACTTACCAGAAAAGTATCTTCTTGTCTTTTATAATGTAAACAGTGATCCATATTTAGTTTATGATACTTCATGTTGTCATTAAAACACGCCATTCATTTTAAAATCCGTTGTGATCAGAATTCGAATGCTCTCTGATATATGGATCGGAAATTTAGGAATTTCGATTCGAAATTTCAAGAATTGTTGAAAAACTTTACGAAAGGTTCGTACAAAATATTTGTTCAGAATATCCGTTGATTGTTTTCACAGTACGTCCGCAAACCGAAAGATTTTTCATGTTTTGTTATTTCTACATATTCGTAATAAACAATACCCAATGGAAATCCTTCCTACCTCACTCTTGTTCGTTTTCTCATTAAAACCAAACGTTTTACTCATTATACCTGCAAAATATACTACATTAAAGTATTTTTCATCAAACAAACAAGTAGCCACTTCAACCTGTTTCATCTGTATATTTATCTCCTCATATAAAGTTAGAAATTGGTTCTATTTCAACGTATTTGTACGGACTTGACATAAAATACTTTCTAAGCTACGTTAGGGTAGCAACTCAAAGTCCGCAATACTTGTAAAAGCAGGTCCGAGAGCTGAACTGTAAATATATATTACGTGGAAACGGGGGAGTTTGAGCTAAATTAGTTGAAACACCTTTTAGACTTCCAGATCAAAGGAGAAAAGCATGACTCACCACTCGAGTACACTTCAACCGTGTTCCCTGATTCCCATTGCACCCGTATATTGTATCGAACCTAAATGAATAATAAAACTTAGACGTCATACACAATTGTTCTTTTCTTGAAAAGCCTTCTTCACCAGCGAAGGGATTCAAAATCACCACATGACTATTCAAGGATGGTATTTTTACAAGTTTCAAAATATTTTCGCAAAAATCTTGCCATTGATGGAGAAGCGAGTTTACTGTTGATTAGTGAGTGAGCGATTTTTGTGTTGTACTCAGGGAGTGAGTTTAGAATTCGGGCGACTGCTCATTCGATGGCAAAAATTTAGTGTCCAGGACTTCTCTAGCGCTCGATCCAACTGTTTATCCTTTCCTCTTAAAGGGCCCATATCAGAAAAAACTTTTATTTGCGATATCAAAACTGGGTGTAATGTCTATCGTATCGGTGAAAAAAATTCAATATACATCTTATATTGAGGAATCCTTTGAATCCGTTGCATGACGTCACAGAAGTAAGTCGTCCCAGACTTTTCGAACGACGGACAAGGTCCATAAAAAGGAGCATTTTTGCGTGCTTTAAACAGCCGTAAAAATGGAACGATTTATCAAACTTAAAAATTTTTTTTCGCTGCTACATTGAAACTCACAGCGAAATTTAACGTTGCAAACAAAAATTTTTGCTAAAAGGGGCACCTTAAAAGAAATTCTCACTCCCACTAGCTAATCTATACAAAACATTACATACTACGCGTGAAGTTCACGATTTACAGATGCAGCTTACCAAGCACATGCCGCTCACCTCACGATCTTGTCTCAAGGAGAAGGTGTGACGATCTGTAGTTTTGAACGACATTGGATCGTGTGGACGTAACCTCTGAAATATTACAAAAGGCGAGGAACGTTACAATTACAAACCCATTTCCTGGAACAAATGAACCATTTGATGAACTATTAATAACAGGTTTCGGCAACCACGTCATACATCATAGTCACTATGTATTTAATAAATTATCATCTTATGAAGAAGGAAGAACTTCTTATATATCAAAAATGGAGTCTCTGAAAAAATCATTGATTAAGAATTGATCATTGCAGCATTTATCTTTGAGTTTATTATTGGAGGTAAAAAAGACCATTAGGGCTTTAGCCAGAGCTACTATAGAAAACAAAATTTCCTTCCAACCACGTGATCAATAAACCATTTTTCACCTGTAAGAAAAATTCATGCCTCCCGTCTTCTTCTTTCGTTGCCTTGAGTTCAAAATGAAAGCCATGAAGAGATAAAAGACTTGAGTGATATTGAAGCTTCTGCAATCAAAAAATGAGTGAAAATTATTCTCTCGGCTTCCGGAGAGAAAACGGTAATCTATTTAAAATCATTGGCGATTGCGCTTATAAAACTTGCAAAAGTTCACAAAAGAGATAAAGTCTTCATGAGCATTTCGACTTTGTAGTTTTCGCTAAAGATAAATCAAGGACACGACAAGTACGTCACAGTGAGAATGTTTGTTCTATGTAAGTCTTAAGATATGACTACCCGCATAAAGAGCTAATAAAATTTTCATTAAAAGAGCGCGTAAAATGACAGTGAACTTTCTAAAACAGTTTAGTCACATCTCTTTCGATTCTCAAGATATTGAAATTTTGTGATGTCCACGTTTATGGAAATCTTTTTGCACGAGTGCCTCAGACAAACAACAATCGAATAGAAAGTAGGATAAAGACAAACCTTATCCAAAATGAAGCCGACTCTCACGGCACCTTGGTCAAATTTCGTCAACAAGGACATGTCGCCACCGCCACCTTGAAGCTGTCAGAAATAAAAGGAAAAATCACCGCTACAACCAAGAAATGCGTAACAAAACACGATGCATGTCATGCATATAGCTGACTTCTTTGAACACGTTCAGCGCGGCACTTGTATTTCCGCAATTAGTCAAATGAGGTATGATGAAATATATTGCCACGTGGTTTAACGTGGATTTCCTCTTCACTCTATTGACTTGCATATGCTATGAATGCTAGCGCTACTTGACTAAGAAAGTTGCGTTTATGAATTCCGTTTTGTTTCGCCGACATTTAACGAACATAATGCTTACAAGAAGTGTAAATTTTCAAGAACGATGGAAAAACATCACAGAATGGACAATAAAGTGTGATCGTTCTCTTATCGTTTCTGTGCAACATATTTCATATAGTCTGCAGATCACAAACAAAAAGCAACTCACTGCATGATAGTTTTGACTGTACATGCGCAGTAACCATGACTGTGGCGTGATGTTCATTTTCTGTATCTCGTCAAGATGTAGACCTAGAAAAACACAACGGCAGAATTTGGAGACGAAAAAGAGCGTGGGAGTGAACAAGACGCGTCGGTGAATACGTAACGATCAAAATACTTGATAACATGGGATTGCGAAGTACACCTCAAAATACAGACATGAAATCCTTCGATGAAAGAAAATGTGCGACAACGCAAACACTTACTATCAGTAATAGTAATCAGACGCAACGACCTCAACAGACTTGTATACCGCTGGCCCTGAAAATTCAAGATTTCAATGAAAATACCATGAAAATACAGACCCATGGGCAGATGACGTAGGCTATATGGGTTACCGCTGACCCTAAAAATTTGACTCTTCAATGAAACTGACAAAGGAAATTGTAGATTAATATGTGCCAATGATAGAAAGAATCACTACCTCAACTCTGTCCAAAAACGCACTTGATTTGGGGAGGCTAAAAAGGTACAAAAAGACCATAAAACACGTGTGTACCCATAAAACACGTGTGTACCCATAAAACACGTGTGTACACATAAAACGTGTGTACACATAAAACAAATGTGGTTGAAGACAGTTTTTTGTCAACAGTTTCGTACCAGCGCATTTTCATCTGGCATTAGAAGGGCATCGATAGTTTTGAGCAATCCCAAAATCCTTTCATTTGTTTAAAAGCAACGCAACAAACACGAGAAATAAAAACAGGTTGAAGATCGGATGATCATTAAAGCCAGCAAGCAATGAAAATTCTACAGGAAATTGCTCTTATTCCACATAAACATGACTAAACTATAAGGTGAGTACCTCATAAACCACGACAGTTCCAAGAATAACCTCGTAAAGAAATCCAAAGTACATAATTAGAACTGCGGCACAGAGTCAAAATTAAACCGACACAAAGATTGAAAAGCAAAAATATATAAAAGCCAGTGAAGGGAAACAAACTTACTCTAACATTCGGATGCTGATTAAGAAATATCCAATAAGCCAAAACTTTGTAAAGATAGTATTCATTCCAAGTAAAGAGTCTAAGAAATGAACGGATTGAAAATGTGCAAAATTAATGACAGGAACTGATTGATCGGCACTGTCAGCAGTGTTTTTAAATGGTACAGTTGGGTATGAGTCAAATTGACGTGAATTATGAAGCTGGAGTAATCCAAGACTTTAGCTAGGACTATATGTAGTTAATGGCGAGTACCGATTAGACATAAGAACTTTCTCCAGAACGTCTTGTCGAAGATGACTTAGGTAAATTTGTACAGAAAGCTATACCAATAAATGAAGGAAAAGAAATAGTAACAGTGTAATATATCTGTACTCCAAAACACCACCTTAACACCAACTGTACACTCTTATCTTTCATCAACATCTCTACTCCAAAACACCAACTGTATACTCTTATCTCTCATCAACATCTCTACTCCAAAACACCGCCTTAACACCAACTGTACACTCTTATCTCTCATCAACATCTCTACTCCAAAACACCACCTTAACACCAACTGTACACTCTTATCTGTCATCAACATCTCTACTCCAAAACACCGCCTTAACACCAACTGTACACTCTTATCTTTCATCAACATCTCTACTCCAAAACACCACCTTAACACCAACTGTACACTCTTATCTTCATCAACATCTCTACTCCAAAACACCGCCTTAACACCAACTGTACACTCTTATCTTTCATCAACATCTCTACTCCAAAACACCACCTTAACACCAACTGTACACTATTATTTCTTATTACCATCTCTACTCTTAATACAAACTGTACACTCTAATCTCTCACCAACATCTCTACTCCACATCTTGCCATAATACCAACAGTACAAACATTCTAATTTAATCTCTTGCTGAATACCACTACCTTCATGCAAACCGTACACTCCAATCTTTCACCAGCATCTTTCGATAACACTGATCGCTTACCTGTGGCACTAGATTTAGTTCTAGCCATCTCTCGCAAGCGTCAATCACAGAAATTTGTTTGTACTAAAAATACATTGTAAAGACTAATCCAACACGACTCGTAAATACTTAGTTTAAAACCTTTCAAGTCATGTACAGCTTATTAAAAATGAGTGCTTTTGCTTGTAAACAGACAGAACAAAAATTGCTTTAACAACGCCTAACTTTGATGGTAGATAGTAAACACAGTCAAATAGCTAAACCTATGCAGGATCAATACAAGGTAATACCAAGCTTTTACCCCAACGAAGTTACTGAATAAACAGCCCAAATGCAGTGTAAGAAGTACAAAACAATACCTTAGTCGCAACACTGTGATACGTGCATACAGTTGAGACTGAAATTCCACTCAGCATCATATCCACGCAACTAAAGTAACGAATCACTTTTCTACTTGGGCAACTTGATACACGCCGTTAACATGACAGAAGTTTTCAAACTTACATTTTCTTTAGCTCTCCGTATTCCAAAAGACTGGCAGCGGCGAGAACTCCTACAACATCCGTGTCATCCATCTTTACATCGCCAACATACAGGGAGCCAAGAGCCAAGGCAAAAGCTATACTCAATGGAAATGCGTAAAGGTAACTTTCTGTGAAAGCGTGGCATTCATTCATAAAAGAAGAGTGTGAGAAAATCGATTCATGATTAGGTAAAGCAAGTATTATATATATTTATAACACAAATGGGTGATTCTCTAAAATAGAGTTTAAAAACTGCTTGTATAATATGTTGTAACATGTTAGTATGTCTATTTTACTTTAAATCAGAATCGTTGGATGCAGTATTTCAATACTTTGCCGTTTCAAAGTTAACAAAGTTTTACACATAGCATACTAAGTCAATTTTTCTGGATCATAAACATGATGTGGTAAATTTGCCTTTTTATCTCTGAGAAAGACAGTGAAAAACTACATATAAAAGCATACGTTTTCATATAAAATCACCCCAAAATAACATAAATATCCCATACTTTGTACATGTAAGGTTGTAATTATTGCTAAAACCCGGAAGTTACAACAGATTTATGGTGCGAACGTTACACACGTGACAGTTGCCCAGCAACATACTTATCAGAAGTTCAAGCGTTTATAAAATACCTTGCTTCGTCAACAACGGATCTTTCACCTTGAGTTTGAGAATCATCGCGCTTCCAAATGAAGTTGTTCGAACTAGTTTTAAGGCTGATGTCTCTTCAACTCGTTTTGTGGTTGCTCCGACTACATTCTTTACAGCGCGTAGATCAACAGCGGATTCATTAAGACCTAAGAATCATTTTACATGAAATGATAACAGGATCTCGGGAGAGCTTATTTTAGCTACATAGACAAATGATTTGCCTATGCTACAATGACATAGCCAGCCGGCAAGTTTGGTCGTAGTGCGATGTTTCGGTCAGTACTAACTGCAAAAACGATAGATTTCTAAACAACCAAATAATCCTATAATATTTTGATCTGATATTTACAAAACACTGAAAAAAAAACTTGCAGGTTTGTTACGTCATTACTTTGATAGGTAAGTTTCGACCTATTTCTTAACCCTTTGTTGCGTGAATTTTTTCGCCGACCGAGCTCGATGGCGTTTGGTGATTTTTGCTCTGAAGCAACGCCATGCAGCAAAGGGTTAAAATGCACAAGACCAGGCAAATACTGCAGCGGTCAGAGTCGGTGGCAACAAAACTATGAAATATTTTCGAAATTTTAGTTTAATTTGAAGGGATTGCTTTAGTAAGAGTCTCTCGCACTAATTTGGAAATTTTTTTCCGTTTAAAGTGTACTATAGTTATCAACAAAGAAAGCTCGTTGTTACACGTTCATTCAATGATGAATTACTGCTATGTGACCTATGTCTCTCCCCATTTACCTTCTTCCTGCATTGTTTCAAGTTCATTATCACAATCAGAGTCGTTGCTTTGCTCTGTAATCGCTTTGTCTTTAATCATTCGTCTTAAAAGGCCACATTTTTGAAGATATTGCTTGTGTAGTTCCCAGGCCGTTCCGAGGGCATACAAGATAACATCTGTACAGCAAGCAAAAGTTGTATCATTGCTAAACTTTATATAGTTTTCACAATAGCAACACAAGTGGTGACATGATCACCTACCAGGTCCACGAGAGAATGCTGTGGCTTGGGAATGATAAAGGAACAGCTCCATAGGGGTCGGTTGACGACCAGATAAAGGAAGCACCTTTATTAAACTGAACCTGCTGAACTTGTGTCTTTAGATTCACTTGCTTTGTATCATTTGCCTTGGTTTGAGTTGGTTTGGTTGAAGCAAACTTACCATCATTATTTTTACAAGGTACGGAGGAAGTTTGGTGTTTTCTGGCTTCAGTGTTGTGGTCCATAGCATCACCATGCTTATTACGCAAACGTTTCATTACATGGGGAAGCTTTTGCAAGCGACTTCTTATAGCTTTCACCTGATGCAAACATGTTGAAAATTCTTGCTTAGCCTTATTGCATCAACAAAATAATCGAGAAGTAGCTTATGAAGTTGGAAATTTCGACAGACTGCTGTATCTACTTTAAATCACAGAAAATGACTGTTGGATTGCAAATTCACAGGGATTGGATTTCACAGGGATTGGATTTCACAGGAAGATTGTATTTATTTGGAATTAAAATGTTGGTTCCATAATAAAGCAAGAATAAATTTATGTTGTGTGTTATGTGAAAAAATCCTATCACAATATACTTTATAAATCCTACCTGGAACTATAGATAGAACAGTTTCGTTGTATGGAGAAGTAACAGACTTCAATGCTTGAGATGAGCCAAGCAGATCAAAGGATACATTCTCTGGGAGTCTCCAGCGGTTTGTCAAACCCACCAATACACGTTTTTGACCTTTTGGGATAGAAGGTGCCTGAAATGAATGAGGTCATAGCATGTGAGACGCATGCATAAGTGAAGTGAAAGTTAAGAAAGCTATCGTGTAACCTTTGGAGGAGGTTTTTTGTCATATGTTGTACCAGATAAAGCCATTAAAGGAGCCTGGTGAACAAACCTAGACGATGAAGAAATTCTAGACAATAATCTTAATTGACTGCTCACATTAGCATTTAAACAAATCATTGTATCTTTCTTTCAAAATCTTAGAACATAAACACGGAGTATGGTTCCTATTTTAAGTTAAATTTAGGTACCGACAGGACTGTCGAAAGATAAGTGAACTAGTTTTGAACTTGTAACTTGTTTGACGAACATAACTCTTGTAAAAGATAGGAAATACCTGCTATAAGACATCCCTTTGTCTTTGTGGGAGGTAGTGTTGGTAAATAGGGTTTTGGTAGCGGTGAAATTGCACCATCTTGCAAAAACACGTTGCCATTGTCATTCACCGACCAAATCGCGGCCGCCATGTTTTTGTAGTGTAACTATGGTAACAGCGTTTCAAAAACGACCACCACCAGCATGACTAAAATGGTCCACAACAAATAATTATACGCTATACAGGACATGTTATAAACCATGATTTAACGCAGTTTTAATACACATCATATTATACGATTCCAAAATTTGCTTACTCACAAGTTAGCATATTTATACGTACATTACAATAAAAATACGTCTGCAGAGCATTTAACACAACATCCATCTATTGGTATTTCTAGTGATCCATTTTAGCATAAGAAGTCTCGTTAGTCGAGCTGTTATTTAGAAGAATGGCCACTTGCCTAATTTAACGTAACATATTTCTATTGTTTAGTGCATTTTTTACGTGAATTCAAGACATTTTTCAAGCGTTTTAAGGAATATATTACCAAATGTACAAGTGGGCCACGCGCGCCAGAGGCGCACATTATAAAGGGTTGCGACTCCACCACCCCCTCCCTCAATTGATAAAATTGGAATGTGCATCCCTAGCGTACGCTGTCACAAAGTTAATGAATTAAACGATTATAGAAGATCATTCAGTACTTATATAGTCTTCACTTTCACAATCAAGAATTAATTTACAGTCGTTTAACAGAAATATCGCTGTTAAGAGTATACATATTAACAAAAAAAGTCGTTGAAAGCTTGTATGTTTGATAAAGGATGCAAATATGAAATGTATATACACATTCGTTTAATCGTTTTCTCATAAAATTTGCAAATGGAAGCAAAGTCCTTGCATTCATGACATGCTTTCTGAAACGTCTATAAAAGAAGACGTTTTTTCATGTTCTTCGATTACCTCGTTCGCTTTTGTTTCACATTTCTCTGAAGCTTCGTTTACACCGTAAGGAAAACTTGCCTTTTCCTCGGGCTCAATTAATATTTGCGTATCATTTGTAAAACCATTCTCATAATCCTCCGTTTCTTCTGATACATCATTGCTGTCATCTTTCAGAAGATTTTCATCTCCTCTGTAATTTCGTTTTGTATAGAATTTTCTCGAGCGGTTCCTTCAGTGTTTTCTAAAACGGTATCGTGAGTGTTTTCTATATCAGTTAAGTGAGAATTTTCTAGAGCGCTGTCTTCAGCAGTTTCTTGAGTGTTTTCTAGAGCGCTTTCTTGAGCGGTTTTGTGAGGAGTTTCTACAGCGGTTTCTGGAGTGTTTTCTAGCGCAGTTTCTTGAGTGTTTTTATTAGTGGTTTCGTGAGAGTTTTCTACAATTGTTCCTTGAGCGTTTTCTACAGCCGTTTCTTGAGTGTTTTCTAAAGCGGTTTCTCTAGCGTTTTCTACAGCGGTATCTTGAGTGTTTTCTACAGCAGTTTCTTGAATGTTTTCTAGAGCAGTTTCTTGAGTGTTTTCTACAGCGGTTTCGAGAGTATTTTCTACAGCATTTACTAGAGCAGTTTTCTCGGTGTTTTCTACAACGGTTTCTTGAGTGTTTTCTACAGCGGCTTTTTGAGCAGTTTCGTGAGTGTTTTCTTTCGTTTCGCTCTTTTCTAATGCTCCACCAACACTTTTCTTTCTCTTCGGCTTTTCTTCTGTAGCTATCAATTCTTGTTTATCACTTGCAAGACTATCACCATAGTCGTCAAACTCTTCTGATATTTTTTGTTTGTCTTCTTCTTTCTTGTTTTCCGCTTCCCTTTTCTCGTCTTTGATGACATTGTTCGCCATTCGTGAACATTTTCAGCCTTTTCCATCGCCATTTCACTATCGCTCGTCAATTGTTTCTCCATGGTCTTGTCGTTTTCTCTATGACATACATCATCATCAGTTGAGTTTGCGTCTTTCTCTTCGGCAACAATTTCACCATCAATATTATTAAGCTCCTGCGATTGCAATAAGATTTTTTCCCTGCACAAATACAAAAGATGGCAAAAATATAAGGATATTATATTCTAATAACCCAATATTCCTTGAGAGCATGAAATTCATGTCTCAGAGCATGTCTCAGTCCGATATTAACAAATGTCCGATAATAACAGGTGACATTGAATACCCGGAGAGATTGATTAATTCCCCCTTGAAACCGAAATTAACCACACTATTTTGTGCACAGAACGAGAGCACGTGTTATTTTCATATTCTACCGGTCAAATAGCGACGTGCAACATGGAACTTAAGCAACAAATGAGAGATCGTACTAGAGTAAAAGGTTTCAGCTCGGAAGTATTGTTATATACTCGTGGATGTTGATCGTTCGGGTTGGTGCAGTCCTGGGTTCGATTGTAGGTGATGACTAAGAATTCACATCTTAAAGCGGTATTCATCTTCGAAGTCAGATAACCAACACGGCGAATTAGTCATTTACTCTTCAAGTAATTGACTCTGAAGATGACTACCGCTAAGGATGTCTAGACGTCAGTCAATACTAACAGCAACACAAGGTACCCACACTACTTTTCAGGAGTAAACCAACCTGGACAATGAACATGTACAAACCAATGACCTAGAACCCAATCTACAAGATATCTTACTCCGCCCCCCACCCCACCCTAATAGTTACAAGTGAGGCAAGCCGTCATCTTGAAAGATAGCAAAACCGATAATATTTACGACTATCTGCTTTTCTCCGAGTCGATACACATTTGCAAAATTGATAGTCTAGGTTCGATCTTTAAAATGATTAACAGGTTTCTCTTATACTGTTAATACTGTTTATACTGCAAATACTGTTTCTTTTTGAACTTTGCTTTTTGCCACCGTTCAAGATGGCGTCCTCGTTAGGCATCTAGGAGACTGAGTTCTAAATCATTGCTAAAAACATGCAACGACACTCTCGGGTTCAAACCAATAACTTTATAATATGGCATTATTATCAAAGAGATTCTTCCAAAATGTTAAAGTGCAGCTGCAGCTCACCTTTCACGATTGTATGGCTTAAAGTCATCGCTAAGTGTTTTCAACTTCTTCTGCATGGGCGTCAATTCTGCCTTGCTTGAATCCTGAAGAAAAACATTACATCACGTAATAAGAAAAATTGCCTCACATTGCCAAAAGAAACGAATGTTAGGATACAACAGACGATTCACTTTCTTACAATTTTATTGCTGCATTGCTTCGCCAGTCGTTTCTTTTTCTTATGCAATGGATTTGGCTCAATAATCATTTCTTCCAATTCATAAGTTGGATCACAGTTCAAATGATCTTTCTGCAATGAACAACGAGATATGTCTTACTGTGACATGTGAACAATTCCCACTTAAGAATACATAACTGAATGAAGAGGGGAGGGGTAAGTCAGGCCATTAGTGCAAGTCACATGACAAGTAGGTAAAATCATCGGAAAACCTCGACCTCGTTGACAACACTGGGCCAATCCAATGACTGCCTGAATTTTTAGACAATTTACGTAACCACTCCTCGCTTTAAGACTGCACCATGGGTAGAAGACTTAAACTCGGGTATTTCTTCACCCTCGTACGTGGGTAAACAGCCAAAAGTTAAACAGACAAAATGACTGACATCAGTCTGTTGCAAGTAGCCCGGACAGCGAAATCCATAGAACAGTAACTTTTCTTCCGATGCCTAACACAAGTCTTAAAAGGCAATAGGCTATCGTTTAAAAATGAATCAAAAGAATGAAACGATGGTTCAACGAAAACAAAGAACAACTATCGTAAAATATACATGACCACCTAGCTGATACGCTTGAAAAAGTCGCTCTATTCTTTGGATAACACTGCCAAGGCTCATGCATGAGGCCCCACAGTATTTCGTTCGTTCAGTTTAACTTGCCATGGCTGACTTACTGAGGGAATGAAAGACACAGAAACGTTAACATGCCATGGCTGACTTACTGAGAGAATGAAAGACACAGGAACGTTAACATGCCATGGCTGACTTACTGAGGGAATGAAAGACACAGGAACGTTAACATGCCATGGCTGACTTACTGAGGGAATGAAAGACACAGGAACGTTAACATGCCATGGCTGACTTACTGAGGGAATGAAAGACACAGGAACGTTAACATGCCATGGCTGACTTACTGAGGGAATGAAAGACACAGGAACGTTAACATGCCATGGCTGACTTACTGAGGGAATGAAAGACACAGGAACGTTAACATGCCATGGCTGACTTACTGAGGGAATGAAAGACACAGGAACGTCCTTATTTTTCACCGCTTCAAACTTAACGGCATCCATTAGTTCGCATTCTTTTAATTTCTCGACGTTATTCAGGCGCATGTCTGGATCGATATGTAACAGCTAAGGTAAAAATAAAAGAAAACGCTCTCGATTGCCGCCTTTTTTTGTTTTCGAAGATGACAAACTCAAACTCGCCACCTTTTTCACAAGATCTTTGAAATTTTTCGACCAATTGTTGGGCAATATAACACACGAAGAGTCAAACATTTGAATGATTTCTGCGGTATTCGTGCCAGCGGTTATGTGATACGGTCTCTACATAAAAACAAGTGAACAATTGTAAAGCCATATTTGCTCCGATAAATCTGACAAAACCATGTCCAATATCATGATACACCTACCTTTCCTTTGAGTAATTCAAATGCTGTAACACCCAGACTCCACCAATCAACTTCATGGGTGTAACCACGTGATTGACAAACTGAAGTCCTAAAGATCTCGGGAGCTGCAAAGAGCATGGAAAAACTTCATCGAACACGAACTGCAGATGATGATATGAAGAAAATGAACATTTCCCAACTTACCCATATATGGTATGGTGCCTGACATTGATGTTGCTAATGTGTTGTCGTCCTCCATTACTGTTGCAACATTGAAATCAGTCAGATGTACATGGCCTGTTTTTTAAACAAAAATAAAATCAAGCAATGTAAACCAGGTCAAGTGTAGGTAGTTGCACTCTCTCATTGCACATTTCAGTCTTGATATGTAAATTTAAAAGTAAGCTGGCTTTGCCACTAATAATAGGCTATATGCCATTATGTATATAGGCTATATGCCATTATGTATATAGGCTATATGCCATTATATATATAGGCTATATGCCATTATGTATATAGGCTATATGCCATTATGTATATAGGCTATGCCACTAAGTAAAGGTTTATGACACTAAATATAGACTATGCCACTAAATATCAGTGTGCGAATTGGTTCAGAAAAAACGATGTGCAATTTTTTTGACAAAGTGTTTCTTTACATGCATAATCAAATCGATATTATGTTAATTATCATATAGTGCTAATTGCTAAATTAATATTTTTAAACATGAACAAATTCATATGATTTAGGATAGTGTTTTTTGTTAAAACTGCTATTTTTGCACATCGTTTGAAAAAGTGATGTGTAATTGTTTTCATTTTAGCTAAAAGGATGTGCAAATTGCACATTGCACACCGTTAATTCACACACTGCTAAATATAGACTATGCCACTATATATAGACTATGCAAACAAACCTTTGCTATCCAGAAGTAAATTATCTGGTTTGATGTCCCTAGAATGAACAATGTTCCATCATAATTTTTCCACATACTTGAAATGTAATATGGTGTAAACACTTGACAGCACAACATGATTCATTTTACACACACCTATGAATAATCCTGTTCTTTCTCAAATACTCAAGTGCCAAGCTAATCTCTATCACGTACAAGATCACAACGTCTTCGCTAAATTTGTTTCCTTGTTGCAAGTGATAACGAAGATCACCACCAAGCAATAAGTCCACAACAACAAATAAATCCTCTTCATCTTGAAAAGTAAACCACAAATTCACCAAAAAACTATTGTCCAGACCCATTAAAATGTCCATCTCTCGAAGGACATTCCGAACTGCATCTTTCTCTATACAAACAGCTTTTCTCATGTATTTCATTGCATACATTTCCTTTGTGTCCTTTTTCTCGACAATGCATACCTAACGAAAAATTGCATTATAAATTATATGGATTACAGAAATGCCATGTACGACAGGAGGGGGGAAGTGGATTTTCCCTATCTTGACTGAAATGGGGAAAATTTGGGTAATTTTAGATGAAAACAGAAAAGATTCAGTCAACATTAAAGAAATTTAAGGGGAAATATAAGCCAGTTCTTGCAGAATGAAGTTTTAATCCCAATTTCAATATCATATCCCACCTCTCTTATTTCTTTGGACAGGACATGTATGGCTATCCCAAAGCATATTTCAGGATTTCGACACTGCCTGTACATCATTGTACATAGGTATCTTTGTTGTGGAGGTAGTCAAATATTTCATTTTATAAAATCAAACAAACAGCTTTTTCAACATTGAATGCAGCCCACTGTGAAATCCTCTTAAAAAATGTATTATGGATGGCAAATTAGCCTATCCCTTTGAACATTTGAGTTTGAAAGGCAATTAGTGTCTGCAAATCATAATTACAAATTTCCTTGTATTCCTGTCGGCGCTGTCGCCAGACGCGCCATCCATACACAAGTATAACCACAAATAAATTCCCTTTCACTTAGCCATGGCAAGGCTGCAAACTACACTCAGATGTATATAACTAAAAATAACAATACTAAAGCTTCAACGTAAACAAAATAGAGACATGTAAAAATTTCATGGCAAATTTCAATAATTACGAATGTGAACCACTACGAGCTTGCTCTCCACATGTTTGATATTTGACGGTTTTTCAATAAAGTATTTATCGTACAAATACTAACCTTCCCAAAGGCACCCCGTCCGATGGCTCGAAGCACGCGAAAGTCGTTGAACCCGACTACAATAATACAACAACACTTTCATTGAAATTTGCTAGGACAATTATGCAAGCACTAAAGCAAAGCTAACATCAAAATTTAAAGATGCCGACTCTGTACGAATGATGCTAATAGTAAAACTTTTCATCTAGACTATTTGCACATCACAAAAGTAAACAGGACAAAAAATTCTTTGAATCCTCAAAGAATTTGGTATGTACTATCTCTCATTCAACCTCCGCCTTATCTGCTCGGCGTGTTTTTGTTCATTACCGACATGCTTGAAAGCGTCAAGTTCTCATATAACGTTATATATGACGGGGAAAAAGTACATGTGTAGATGATATTTATGGCAATTGAAAAGCACAAGTTGATTTTAGTATACTCTTCACTTTACGGGTCACGTATTAATATTAAATATTAAATACCTTCAGCATTCTGGCTATCAGTTTTTTCGTCAAGCAACGTATGCACAGAGGTTGCGCGTTCGCTCACACTATTTATGCAGCCTATTTTGGCTCCTTTTAAAGCCGCTCACGGCTTCCATGTAATCAAAACCAGAAAAGAGTTGTGCTTCTCTTCCAACCGCAACACCAACGTCCAACACTCACATCCCTTGCTTTAACAAGTACCGGAACCCGAAATGTGTCTTGGTACGTACGAGCCCCGGGTTTCCGGGGATATGGAGCAGGAAACAAAAACCCGTGAAGTTTCAGTATTGTCCGTGAAGCGTGTTCGAAAGGTCAAAACAACACCAAATTGTTTAAAGAAAACAATGTATTTGTACATAGTGTAAGAGATTATCGTATAATCCAAACCAAAACGATACGAGATGTTTCAAAAACGTAAACGCGGACACTTTTTTTTAATAATAAATCTAATATAATTTATAAATATTGCTAAATTAATCTTCGAATTGTATTGAACGCGTAGGTTGGTAATCTAGGTTTGAACATTTTTATTAAATCACAACAAAATAAACTTGACTGAGTAAACTGATGTGGAAAGGAGAAATGGCAGGAAGTGAAAGAAACTTGTCCTTGCCAGTTAAAGAAAGAACCGAACAAAATGGAGCAGTTTTCTCAGACAAAACTGAACAACCAACTGAGGAAAGTGTAAGAGAAACCGTTTACAAATTGGTTATGAATGACCACGACGAGCATCAACCAGCTGTAGAAACGAGACTTGTATCAAGTTGTCATACCTACCCCTCTCAACTCTTGAACTCTCGTGAAATTTCAGATGTTGAAAATAGTGCAACAGGTTCAGTTGCTAGTTGTTCTGACAGTGGTATTTGTTCCACTCCTTATGAGGAAGAAGATACCTGTGGATTTGAGGAAATACCTTTGAATGTCAGTGCTGATATGTGTGATGGCGTGAATGCAATAAATTTTGGAAATTCCCTTAGTGAAAAGCTACGGCAAGTGGAAGAATTTGATGATGTCACATTGGGTAGACAAAAAACTAGAGGAAAGTTTAGGTAATGATCCAACTGGAAAAGACACTTAATGTTTAATAATATGGTCAGAAATGTGCAAAACCAGTTGCGCATCATCATTTCATGTGCCTATTTCCAAGGAATGACATATTAATGTGTTCTTTGCAGAAACCTGTTTGGGCGCTCATTTCTGAAAGTGTCTGATAACTCTAATTTGTTGGTCTCATTACAGAACCAAGGTTTGTTAGCTTTAATAAATCACTTGAGTGCATTGCATTATGGCAATTGTTGTTTTACATTTTGTACTAGGGCTTACAGGAAGTGCATTAATACAAAGAAGTTCTAGCAAGAAGCAAAAAGTTGTAGCGCCTGTGCTTTCCACCACAGGTCTTATTTTTGAAAACAGGCCAAGGTGATTTTCATACCTTATTTTAGTTTCTGAATCATTTAATTTAATTCAATCATTTGGACCTAAATTTAATCTAATCTACACTATTTAATCAATTAAGCCTAAATTTATTCTATTCTATGCTGATAGTATTGAATAAATTATTAGAAATCTTCCAGCAAAGGATCCCAAAGAAGAAAAACGACACAGACAGCTTTATCAACAAATGATTGAAGTTGCCAAAAAGAAAGGTTTTGAAATGAAAATTTTCCTGGTTCCATTTCTCTAAAATGAATGCCAATGCAAACAATGCATATTTCTAGAGCTTCAGGACCATCAGGAACAGAAAAAGAAGCAGGAAAATCAAAGTCAACATGAACATCTTGTTTCAAGTGCTTTGGCTTTGTGGAATAAAGAAGTACTTCCTAACTGGGATAATATGTATGGCTATGTACATTGTTTTCAGAAATAGGTGGTTCCAAATTGAATTATATTTCCCCAAGCATTTCCAATGTGCTTTAATTAATTCAGACCCAAAGTCTGAATATCTGGTCCAGGCCCCTTGCAAACAAGAATATGTAAGCTAAGATCCATAATCCCAAATTGTTTAAACATACCTTCTTAAGCTGGGATTGACTGCGGCTCTGTTAAGATATCCCTTTGTATTTTCAACCAAATGGACAGAATTTCATTAGGTGTATTTTTGTAGGAAATGTACTAAAAAAGTACTAGAGCTATGGTGGTTAGGTTTACCACCTAGCATACGTGGTCAAATCTGGAAGCTTGCTATTGGAAATGATCTTCACATTACCCAAGGTATAAGATAAATGATGCATCATAACTATGATATGTACTGCAATTACCCAAGGTATAAGATAAATGATGCACCATAACTATGATATGTACTGCAATTACCCAAGGTATAAGATAAATGATGCACCATAACTATGATATGTACTGCGATTACCCAAGGTATAAGATAAATGATGCATCATAACTATGATATGTACTTACCCAAGGTATAAGATAAATGATGGATCATAACTATGATATGTACTGCAATTACCCAAGGTATAAGATAAATGATGCATCATAGCGATATGTACTGCAATTACCCAAGGTATAAGATAAATGATGCATCATAACTATGATATGTACTGCAATTACCCAAGGTATAAGATAAATGATGCATCATAACTATGATATGTACTAAGGTATAAGATAAATGATGCATCATAACAATGATATGTACTGCAAGTACCCAAGGTATAAGATAAATGATGCATCATAACTATGATATGTACTGCAATTACCCAAGGTATAAGATAAATGATGCATCATAACTATGATATGTACTGCAATTACCCAAGGTATAAGATAAATGATGCATCATAGCTACGATATGTACTGCAATTACCCAAGGTATAAGATAAATGATGCATCATAACTATGATATGTACTGGTATAAGATAAATGATGCATCATAACTATGATATGTATTACCCAAGGTATAAGATAAATGATGCATCATAACAATGATATGTACTGCAATTACCCAAGGTATAAGATAAATGATGCATCATAACTATGATATGTACTGCAATTACCCAAGGTATAAGATAAATGATGCATCATAACTATGATATGTACTGCGATTACCCAAGGTATAAGATAAATGATGCATCATAACAATGATATGTACTGCAATTACCCAAGGTATAAGATAAATGATGCATCATAACAATGAATTACCCAAGGTATAAGATAAATGATGCACCATAACTATGATATGTACTGCAATTACCCAAGGTATAAGATAAATGATGCATCATAACTACGATATGTACTGCAATTACCCAAGGTATAAGATAAATGATGCATCATAACTATGATATGTACTGCAATTACCCAAGGTATAAGATAAATGATGCATCATAACTATGATATGTACTGCAATTACCCAAGGTATAAGATAAATGATGCATCATAACTATGATATGTACTGCAATTACCCAAGGTATAAGATAAATGATGCATCATAACAATGATAAATACTGCGATAAAACTCATATGTTCTTCTTTCTTAGAATTGTTTGAAATATTTCGTTGCCATGCTGAGCAAAAGCTTTTGAACAATGAAAACAGCAAAAGCAGATTGAAGTCTGGAGATCTTGCTTCGAGATCCCAAAACTTTGTCACTGATTCCATGGTCGATCTCATCACGATGGACGTATCGCGGACTTTCCCGTGCCTAGGAATCTTTCAAAAAGTAACAAATTATAAAATGATTTGAGCTTGAATGTAATCATATTCTTAGTGATTGAAATTCATCGTTCAAAAGACTCAAATAGTTAAGCTTTTAAGGTGCGAATATTTCTAGGGAGGTCCTTACCATAACGTTCTCTACAAAATACTCGGGGCCTATTCCTGTTACAGACCAGATATTGGATATGTAAGTATTTCCTTCATAAATCATCCATGAAGAGTTCCAGTGATCAATTTGAAAAATCGTCCTCACACTCATACTGCATGTGTGATACATAACTGTACTCTAATGTTCTATACTTACCCTTAACGTTAGGTACAAGGAATGGCATTTCTTGCTGCTGTTCTTTTATTGAACATGGAAGAAATCAACGCGTTCATATGCTTCGCGAACCTCATCAACAGACCCATGCAGATGGCATTCTTCAGCGTTGACCAACCGATGGTAACTGCGTTTCTCCTAAACCTTTTCTGTGACACAATTCGTGTGTCGCCCGCCAATAAATTTTCCTATTCTTGTTCCTTTCAGATGCGAGCGTATTTCCTTGCATTTGAAGTTCATTTACAAGATCACCTTCCAAAGTTGGAGTATCATTTCAATGATCAGGGTCTGACGCCCGACTTGTATCTTACAGATTGGTACGACAAGTTCTTCTCCTTTTATAGTATCCTCGCATTATGCATCATGTATCATATTCCTTTGTTGAAAAGTATTTTCTGAACTTTTCAATAGGATATTTACCCTCTACAGCAAGTCGCTACCGCTCGATGTAGCAAGTAGAGTTTGGGATCTGTTTTGTCGAGATGGCGAAGAATTTCTCTTCAGAACAGCTTTAGGTATTGTAGTCGAGTGTCCTGGAAGCTCTGAACATTCGCACTGATATTAATCGAACTTCTCTTTTTTATTTCCCCGAAAGGTATTCTTCATATGTTTTCGTGTGAACTGATGACAATGGAATTCATAACGCTCGCTCAGTTTCTCACGAAGCTACCCGAAAACATATCAGAGACGAAACTTTTCGAAAGCATTGCGTACATGACTATCACTCGGGAGAAATTCAACCAAGTCCTCGTGCAACAAACGCAAAAGGTTCTCCAACTTTATCCGGCCGACAAACTTAAACAACATCCAACTTTACGAGCGTAAAACTTTGACAGAACCGAGTCGCTTCCATCTGCAATAACTGATTTTTTTGTCATATGGACTAATTTACAAGTTCAAGGAAAAAATTGACAAAATAGTAATGGCTAGTAGTACGTGTGTGACGTAATGATGGTTGTAGATAAAGAGGTCTCAAAAAGTCTTAATTAAAACATTTGAAACTCGACCCAGACGAATATCACGTACATATCATGAATTGATCAAATTATTGATAAAATTTTCTATCTACTCTTCATTTCCTCTTTATCTTATTGAAAGTCACCTTGAAATTTCGAGTAAATAGGATACCATTTTAATAGTACATGTAATATACATACAATAGTTGACTTTTGAGAAACATGCAACAGAATCAAAGTCTACTTCACTATTTTTACTAAATGCCATAACCCACGAACAGGTGTTCAAAGCGTATGTATAGTTGTAGATAAAAAGTTAAAAAACTATCAATTAATACCTTTAAAACTCATCTCAGACAAATACCATCTATATTACGAGCTGATAAGACCATACTGCAACCACTATCTATCTATTTTTCATTTCCCTCTATCTTACGTAAAATCACATTTTAAATTTTGAGTCGTACATTGCTTACAAACTTAAGAATATCATATGTAATATACATGCAATAGTTGACTTTGGTGAAACAGTCTACAGAACCATATTCTATATGAGTTAAAGATTCACTAATTTGTACACTAGTACTATTCTATTTTCACAAAATACCATCACACACACGGGGGTACCGAATGTTACGGTAGAAAAATATTGATTAACCAATTATTTTCCTAACCCTGTATCCGTTACTGGACGAAGGAATGTGTTCAAACTGTTTATGACACAAAATAACGCAACACAGTTTTCTGATTGCATCAAAAAGACAGTCTAAAATAACTTGGCGACTTATTTAGTAAAATTTTGTCAATTCAATTCTTTCTACAGATATTGAACTTTGTTCACTATGAGAATACCATTACTGCGACATAAACAACACAAGACGATTATCAAAAACTTTAAAGAATAATGTTGTGACGAATTTGTCGATGAAAACTAATGCAATTTCCTAAAGCAAATAACATAATATGACATCACAGTGACATAATATGACATCACAGTGACATAATATGACATCACAGTGACGAAATTCGGCCCGATGGACATATGTAATTTAATAATTCTAGACAGAAGTAAACGGACGCAGTTCAACGAAAGATGTTATCCATCCATTTTAAATATTCTTTGCAATGCACCGAGAAAACTGTTTGCTAAATAGTTGAGTCATAAACACATTAAATGGTATTTTGATAGTTTGTTAAAACTATAGAATAAACAGTAAAAAAATGGATACAATTTACTTTAAATACTACTACATATAGGACGAGCATGTTTTCTTAACTTTGAGAATTGTCTATGATATCATAAAAATTGGTCAAACTCCATAACAGGCGTTTAAAATTTTATCATATGTGAATTGTTTTTGAGATGCGTTTACAGTCATTGTGGCTAATTAGGTGAACTCTACAGCTACGCAGCTACGTTTCAGCGACTGATTACGCGAGCAGCTTTGCATCAAAACTGAAAATTCGATTTCGATTTCGATACTATATACAAAAAATCAGTGGCAAAACCATTCCAAATTTTACTTCATGTTTTTATTAATTACTTGAGAAAACTAAAGCCATTCATTGCTTTTCCAATGAAGGGAGAAAAAATATTTGCACAGCAGGAGTAAAATTCGGCCTGGCTTTGCCCACCACGGTCCAACAGCGCAATAATTGAACAATTCCCAGTCACATATAATTCTTTATAACTTTATCAATCTTTTTGCGACACACGGGGCAGGGTTTATTAGACTCCTTCAGTTTCCGAGCGCATGCAACACAGCATACCTGATGGCCGGTCATACCATGAACGATACAGCCATTGGGCGGTTCCTTGCGGCAAAGTAAACACCTCATTCGATCATGGCCATCAGTTGAGTCCGACGCAGTTTCATTGGCGACAGTCGTGGAGACGGGGGGAGTATGGTTTGTTGATGGTGGAACAACAGTATTCAACTGGCTGATTGACGAAGTTGTACAAACTGAGTCTGTCACTATATTTAACACAGAAGAAGATGAACATTTCAACCTCAATGATCAAAAGCTTTGCAATGACTAATTGTTCAGTGACGCCATTTTGCTTTGCGAGCTATCCAAAATGAGCTTTCAGATATTATTAATAACTAAAAAAGCCTTCGTAGTCCATGCGAGTTCGTTTTGTCACGTGTATCTCCTATTCGAATCATAAACCGAGTTGAAATCCGAGATACGGGAAAATTTGCTGTGGAATTCATGGTTTCGCACGAGGTAATCTGCCGTAAAGCTAAGTGAGATCCTGGATGCAAGAGGAAGACTGAAAGGATGTACTGTACGTAGGAATAGAGGGTAAAAGAACAAAATCACTGCAAAATAGTTTATCGTAAACAACTTACCTGTTGCCTGATCTATTCGAACATTTTCGCGACGAGTTTGACCAGGATCTGAATAAGATCTAAAATAAAAAATCAATCCTAACTTATTACAAAAAATCCACAGTATACACACTTGAAACAAGATAATGGTAAAGGTGCCAGCACGAGCTCGATAATGGGATGTTACATCCCAAAATGTCTAATCAAGAATAATCAACCCTTACGTGAATATCGTAACACAAACATCTTTTTACCTTTCCAAAGTGGAAGCAAACCAATCCTTTCTCTTAGACCAGCAACGTCGACAGCGTCGAGTCATCGGGTGATTTCTTTCCGAGCAGGCTTCGCATTGCCATTTATCTTCTTCTTCTATTTCCGAGTCTGAGCTGTCACTGTTTCCAAGTTCATCTCCGCCATCTTCTCCTTCGTCCACCTCTTGACTGCATGAATTTCTTTCAGTTTCTGAAAACAAACACGAAAACTCAATAAACACAAACAAGTATAAAATAAGTATACACTCGAAGTAATTCAGAAAAAACAAATTATAATCAAACATTTAGTTATAACACAACTCATACCATGCTCTAACATCAGTCTTTCTTCTTCGCTATAAGACATTGGTTCGTATTCCAATGAAAATTTTTCTTCATCATTGCTGACTGTATCGTTCTCTGATCCATGATTTACTAAAGCCTCACTATCAGTAATGTCACTTTCAAACGGCCGTACTACTCGTTCCTCTTCAGTTTCTACACAATGCCATCAATGGAGCAAAGTCAAGCATGAAAGTGACTAAGTGCTGAGGTGCACAAAGCAAAGCAGTTTAACTCACCATACAAAAAGAACAAATCATCAGATGTATCCGTTACAATATCTGTAGAATTGTCTTGCATATTTCGATAATGTATAGCATATTCTGCCTTGCTGATGACTTCCTCTTTGTTGTTTGTGTCTTTAGAACCGTGTCCGATATCAACATCTATGATGAACAATGTAAAAACGTTGACAAATGTCAGCAATTTATACCTTTTCAAAATATAAATGAACAAAAATATCCCAAATCAAATTATATATCTTGTAATTATAAACAATTTAATGTGTGATTAAAATTTGAAGCTTTTCTTTGTTTTTGGCAAACCTTCACGAAATCGAAGTAAATATATATATATCTGTAATTTTAACATCCAGGTGATTTTGGGAAGTCCAAATAAAAATACATTTCTCTGCACTCATTTGACTATATCCTTCCTTGTTGTTTAAAAAAAATATTCAAAATGTTGCTCTTCAAAATAAATACTGAAGAACTATGCTTCAAAAATCCAGTGTCATAGCTAGAACTTCAACTGGGGGCAGTGTGCGAATTAGTTCAGAGAAAACGATGTGCAATTTTTTTGACAAAAGTGTTTCTTTAGAGGCATAATCAAATCGATATTACGTTAATTATTATATAGCACTAATTGCTAAATTAATATTTTTAAATGTAAACAAATTCATATGATTTACGACAGTGTTTTTCGTTAAAACCGCTGATTTTTGCACATCATTTGAAAAAGTGATGTGCAATTGTTTTCATTTTAGCTAAAACGATGTGCAAATTGCACATTGCACGCCGCTAATTCGCACACTGACTGGGGGTATATATTCCCTTATTCAGTTGTGCCCAACTAATTCCTTTTGAAATTAAATAGGTTTTTGGGCACAATGAAATACATGAAAATACAACCTCCCCAATAATGTTCTAGCTACAGCCTTGCTTCAATTCACATATGTATTCCTATCTGACATCGGGTTTCACTATTCTTTGAGATCACCTCGATTTCTATGTTAATAAGATAAAACACAGTGAACTCAATTTTGCAAAAAAGTAAAATGTCATTGAACCTGTGAATGCAACATCATATTCTCGTTTCTCTCCCACAGATGGTTGAGGCAATGGCTTGCTACAACAGGCCTGATCACTTGCTGACTGCAACTCACTATCACTGCAGGGGCAACTTTCTGTTGTGGATGTAGATTGTAAAGATACGGACTGACAAGCAGCGATGGATCTTTGTTGTTTGAAAGAATGAGCATTTTCGGAGTCCCTCGCTGATGGAAAACTCTCAAGATTTTGTAGAAGTAGATCACTAAGTTAGATCAAAATTTGAAAATTATGAATTTGAAACAATTAAGAGCTGTGGAAGTTGGAAGATACATCTGCCAACATTGTGAATTTTCAATTATAAAACCTTACAATGCACTTTCTTAACATTAATCTGTCCCCTGTGTGACTACACTATCACAAGTCTCTTGATGAAAACAAAAACTGAAGGTCTATTTTGTAATGCGCTTTAGATTGTGTTTACAAAACAGAGCAAAGGTCTTTGGAATACCATTTGAATATCTGTTCATGTTAATTCTACTTACCAAACATTGGACGATGAAAACTGCTTGCATCCAAATATTTCTTCTAATTCATCGTTTTCACAATACACTTTATGAGGATCAGCAGGATCAAACAAAGACTTCCTTCGAATATATTCTGTCAAGTGCCCCAACACCTGAAAATATATATGCTTATTCAGCACACCATACAGAGAGCAAAAGCTTTGATACAAAGTGCTTGAGGTATATTACAAATTCCAAAAATACAAAATATTATATGATACCATACGTCATTGCACTTAAGAAATAAAAGATGCTTACTGTGTTTGCACAGGCTTATGCAAGCCGTGGAGACCTTTGGGAGAACTTGAGAGCAGATCAGTGCAAGCCCGAGACCAAAGGTCGAGGGTTGCACCTGCTCAAGAGTTCTCCCAAACGTCTCCGATGTTTTCATAAGCCAGTGCAAACACGAAAAACATCTTTTATTTCTTTTATAAAATAACAATAATGCGAAACAGACAAATTTCAAGTAAACATTTTAATTTTTCTTCTAAATTGCATTCATGATTGATTTGCAAATTCTCTTTGACTGATTGATTATTATGATTGATTTGATTGGTTGAGCTCAAATGTGTTTTGTACAGGTTAATGCAACACAGCTCTGAACCAATCAGCGCACATGTTTCATTGTGTTCATTTTATAAATTGTAACCACAAGTGCACAACTTGCACGAAGCTATTAGACTATATAGCACAAGTCTACAATAAAACCATTATCATTTTATATGAATATAGAATACTAATTGCAAGAAATACCATCTGCTATTGCAAAATGCAATTTACCTCAGCTCTGGTGAAAGTGTCAGCTTTCACATCAAGGTAATCCAAGATAGGTTTCATTTTTGGTAGCACTCTTACCTATGAATAACATATTGTTTCATTAAGATTGTAGCTACTTCCATATTAAATTACATGATGCAAATGCCCGAGAATAAATCCTTACCATAGACGCTAGAGAGGTGAATGGGTTAAGTGGTTAAAACTGAATTTAACTGTAACCATATTATTCTTAAATATTTTACAAAAAACCTTTTTGTGTTTTGCACAGTCCTGAATTTTCAGTAACAATAGTATGTATTGTATTATAGTTTGTGCGAAAAAAATCACGTTTCAATTATGAGTTATCACGAAATCTCCTTCGTTATTTAAACAAGGGAGGCGTGTTAAAAATCAAAAAGTTAATCAGAAGCCAGTTACTTAAAAAAATACTGTAGAATTCTCACAGCAAACGAGTACCATCTCACATGTATTGCATGATGAGAGTAGAATTGTAGAAATTAAATCATTCACGGCAATACATACACAAGCATATATATGCAAACAAATACCAAATTATCAGCCATGATAGAGAATGTTTGTATGGACTTAAACTTATAAACAAAAACAGAGGCCATATTACAATAGTTTCAAATTCTGGGATGTATACATACGAAGAAAAAAACATTACCAGAGCTGGTACGTTCGGAGTGCTTTCAGTCTTGTCTCCACGGCAAGTTGGTGAATGAGGTCCTCCCTGTGGATGCCTTTTACATCGTCTTCGTCGTTTTCTTTTACGCCTGTAAGTAAGTTGTGAGCTTTCTCCAACAAGCTCAATGCTGGCTTCATCCATTTACTTTACTAAAAACACAACCTTCTCGAAGTTGCGAAGTTCAATGTGCTTTTGTAGATACTATTAAGTGGCTGTATACGACGCGAACATGCTTTGTTAAAATATCATTATGGCTAAGGAGAATTTACGTTTTTAACAGGAAATTAACAACTTACCTAAAGCAGAGCCCTCTATTAGTAAGAGTTGGGACAAACGGTCTGGGGCGAGCGCGGAGCCGCCATTTTGGTTCCTACTTGCAAAGTGAAACTATAATAATACTATTGGAAATTGGGTTTATATGCAAAAGAAGAAAGCAATTTAAGCTTATTCCATGGTAGTATCAAATATATTAGGAATAATAGCAAGCTCTTTGCGTTTTTTTAACGATTTGCGGCAGACCTGATTTAATTTCATTGGTTTGAGCTTCGTTTGCGGTTTACTAGTTCGTGCTTCAAAATAAGTTCAAATTGATCGTGACCCATTGTAAGAAGTATTTTTCGTACGTGAACGTGTTTTCTCGGCTTATGTTCCGACTCTGTAACAAGTTTTCAAGATCTTTAAGCTTGGTGGCAAGCGGCAATGTTATCCTGGCATCAGTGTTATCAAATACTTGGACAAGACTTTGTTCGAAACTTCGAATCATAGTAATCATGCAGATTTGGTCCGAGAGATTTGTGTTCAAGATTTGTAACAATTTAATGGTAGTGAATGATTTATGCCCCCAATTTAATCCAAGCATGATATTTTTATTCTGAAAGATCACAAAATTTTCTTGCTCAGCAGAAAATGACAGACTTTTTACTTTTAGTTATTGAAATATGCAATGATTTGACCAAGATGCATTTGACCTTAAACGGTTTATTCCTTTATATGAAGTTATTTCGCCTTTATCACTTTATAAAGTATTAAAGTTTATTTCTAATAAAGTTTGTTAGGGATTCTGCTGAAAATTTTGGTGAAGCATTTCTTTAAAATGAATATATTATTTCTATAATATGAAACATTTCTGTTGTTGAAGAACAGTCTGTTTGCTATAAATGCTACTGTTTGTAGTCTTTTATACAGCATATGAGTCTGATCCAATCTTTAATTTAGCAAAGAGTTAAATTTATTGGTTGAGGAATGACAAAACTTCTATATGTGTTTAATGATCAAACAGGGGTGTGTTGGAGGGAGCTCAGCCCCGTTTGTTCAAATTCTATGCCTTGTATTGCCAGTGAAATATATATATCAAAAAGCTAGCAGCACCTAAATATATATCAGAAAGCCGGCAATATTTTAATATATATGAGAAAGGCAGCAACAGTTGTTATATACTAATTAAATGAAGATATGATCTTCGCACTTTGCTGGACAATTTAAGCAATGATCATATCTTCATTTAATTTCAATTACCGCACTGCATAAAAAACATTCATACAGTTGTAATATACATTAAAAAGCCCAAATAGCTGAAATTATGGAGATATGCCTCTGTGATCTTATAAACCAAAACCTACAATTAAAATATCATCAACAAGTCTAGAAGAGAAGTAATGTTCTACTTTGAGCTACAGAAGTAGGGTACATTTGTACAATTCAATACCAAAAATATATTGTACTCAGCTGTTTCATTGAATATCCTAATTATAATTACTTCATTTTTAAATGATGAACTAAAAATACAAAATACAACATGGAAAATCATAAGAGTTTCTGTGATTTGGTGTAGTTGTTTTAGTATGGAAGTGGCTGAGAATTGAGAGGTTTGTAGATTGACCAATTTCAGAACATAATGAGAAATCATCTCGATTAAAAAACAAGCTTTGGAGTAAGAAAACTATTGAAACTGCATCAGCACGAACTTTGCAATGTTATTTGGCCCGAAAATGTTTCTTTACTTGAGTCAGTTGATTGAACCTTATATCAAAAGCAGTTCAGCACAACAATCACCATACGCAATCAAATTTCGTAAGTTCGACATAAAGGCATTTCTTTCATTTTTTTCGTAATCCTCGATTTATGCGATATGTAATGACATTTAGTAGCCTTCAACAATCAGTTATTACACACTTATCCATAAAAAAACGCAATATTATCTCAAAATACTGTATTACTAGCAGCAATTGCTATATAAGCACAAGCTAAAATTTCAAAACTAGGAACCAAAATGGCGGAAATTGATCATGTGATCAATATTGCCCAATCAACGTAAGCTAAACGGATAACAATAGATGTCCCAACTCTTATACTATAGAGGGCTCTGACCTAAAGTGGCAAATTATGGGAATTTGTAACAAATATGGAAGGGAAAAACTTATAAAAAAAAGTTAGAGATTCATTAAACAACTGTGATTGTGCCCATAGATATGATTTTAGTTGGTTCGACTTATATTAAGTGAAGTTAAGATTCTGTGACAGTCGTTGTGACAGTTGTCTCAACGTCGTATGATTATCATTAAAATTCTCATTACATATTTCTGATCTTGACGTCCATCATCGCACGAACATGTTTGAACACATTACACATTGACGTTCGATACGAAGAATATAATTGGTCAAAAACATATTAAAAGTAAAACAGATATGTATAATTTCCCGCTTAAAACGCTCATATAACCTCATTCAATGAATTGCTCAGTTAGCTGTTAACGACTACATCCTTAAGTGTAACTTCAACACAACTTTAACTTTGGTATTTCCAACACCATCACTAGTATGGTGCCATAATACATTCTGAGATTAGCGCGCGCATCAGGAACGCAGCCAGGGGAGGACAAACGGGGCAATCCTCCCTCTTTTTGTGACAATTTCGAATTGATATCAATATGTTGCTTTTTTCGGCACGTCCTAAGCGACTTCCCTCACCTATTTATAAATCCCGCCTTTCGTCCAGGGACCGGTGTAGTTTATAATATTTTACAAGTGTGCAATGAACTGTTTAATGAACACGAAAGATTAGTCATCACTAACACCAACAATCAATCTCGAGACTCTACTAACTTGGACATTATACATCTACAAACATTTCACTCTCCTCCTGGGTCAAAATCTTTCACGTTGAACAATTGCTTAAAGTATTATCAAAGTAATCCTACCTCTTCAATAGACTTGATCATCTTTCATGAGAAGAAATATCTTTCTTCTTCCGGCATTGTGGACTCAATCAAATACAGTTCAATGATTTATTTCACAATCAACACCAGATAGATTACTTAAAAACACATTGTGCATGTACAATTTACGCGCAGTCATTTTTAAAGTGAGACTGCATTAAGACAACTCGGCCAAAATACTTAGTTTTTTCATAGATTTAGTGGTTTATCTACCATACTTGACAATAAAGACAGCGTTTGCTACACTTTCTTTGTATATTCTTAAATCACTACCAATCTGTAAGTAACTACTCATATCTCTAAGAATCTGAAAAGACCTAACCTACTGTTTATTTCAATCGAGAAATCAACGACGAATCTCAGATTATTCTTAAAAGAAACAAATTATAGGCAAAATATTTTCCTCTAGTGATAGAAATACTCTCAGTTAGCACCGCCAACAATAGATGCTGTCAAAATCTGATGCAAAGATACATGAATTAAGGAATGAAGTCCACTTCGCTTACTCATCTTTCTCTGCCCTGCTCTTCCTATGAATTATTCCTTGGAACGACTTCTTAAAGCTTCTCTTCTTTTTCACTTTTTCGCGCGTCTTTCCACCGGAGCTTTCATTCTCTTCTTTATCAGCAGCACCTTAGTGAAACGAGACAATAAAATAGCACCGTTCTACATCTTGTTAAATTCACATGAATAAATTCAAGGTAGCCTTATAACCTTACCTTCTTCGCTGACATCTTCCTTGTCGTCGACATCGACATCGTTGGAAGGAGGAGAGAGTAAATTCTTCTCACTAGTTTGCTCTTCACCATTCACAATAACTTTTTTCTCAACAGTAGTTGTCACGGGTTCGCCGTCATTTTTAACCACAGTACGACTGGTAGTCACAACTTTAGTGCTTTTTGTGGACGTTGTTGTGACTAAAGGCTTTTCTTCCTTAGTTTCCCCACCATTGGAGCCTTTCTCGAAGAAACTATTCGCATCATTCGATGGTTCATCATTGAAAACGCTATCTAATGGAACCTCACTCATAACTTGTTTTGCAGGCTTGCTTGCTGTAATCGTTTCTTGAACGATATTGTTGTCAACATCTGGCTTTCGCGACTCCTTAACATAACAAAAAAATTTATGGTATTTTTGCATAGCATTTCATCTGTATTTCCGTTTTATAAATAACAAATTGAGTATGTTTTCTTGACAAAACATGCATGTCAAAGAGACTGTACTTTTATGTAGATCTGTGAGCAGTGGCTGACATTAGGTGAATTATTGTTGGCGTTGAGGAACTTCATGAAACATTGGGTAGAGGGGTACACTTGATGAAATATTGGGTAGAGGGGTACACTTGATGAAATATTGGGTAGAGGGATACACTTGATGAAATGTTGGTGAGAGGGGATACACTTGATGAAACATATGGGAGGAGGACACTCAAAGAAGTAATGGGGAGGGGAATATAATACTAACCTCCATAATTTTCACAACTATTTCTTTTTCAGGTTTGCTATCTTTCAATATGGCAGGTTCGGTATGAGAATCAATTATTAATTCCTTTTTATATTGAGTGCCTTTCACAGGAGAATTCAACCACTTGGCGCGATTCTTGTAAGTATTCCCTTTGGCTTGTGACCTAACTGGTCTACCAGCAGGCGTACCCAGTTTGTCACCATGAAGTATATCATAACGATAAGATGTCATAGTTGCAGGGGAACGAGCTTCTGATTTTGGTTGTTGAACTGCTCTGTTGTATATGTCTGGTTGGTGATAAATATATCCAGTTTTGTGACCCTAATGTATACAAAGAGCTTCTTTTTTGATACTGGTACTACAGTTTTCATTACGACTTAAGATTTAAGCCCAACCAAAGAAAAAATTTACTTACTTGGGCATCCAACATTCTCATCCAAGCTTCAAACTCTTTCATTCCAATTTTGTACTCGGTTGCATTTGACTTCTTAGTATCCACGTCTTGATTTTCATAAACTTGTTTTGAAACATCATTGCTAAGTATTATCAGATTATCCATGCCAGCAACCATTGCTTTCACCTAAAAAAAATTGAAACCTAAGAGTGTGTCAACACTTTCGAACAAAATAATCAGCATTTTTTTTAGTTGAAATGTCTCCTTTTCATACAAAAATATTGAATGTGGTTTGAAAAGAAATATGAATTGAAACAAACCTGAATATCGCATGCTTTTACCACATAAAACGTAAGCATAAAGGCTTCCTCGACTGTTTCACCAACACACACTACTCCATGGTTTCGAAGAAACAACACCTTAAATGAAAAAATAAATATAAATGGGCGAAAATAAAATCATGTGAATTATTACAAAAAATTATCACCTCACCTTGGAATCTTCAGTGAAATTTTTTTGAATGGTCTCTCTTTCTGCAAGATTAACTGTGACTCCTTCAAAATCATGATATGTGACTGGACCAAGCTAAGAAGGATTTCATAAAATAAAAGGATTAGCTAATTTTCATGGAATTGGTGAGAGTTCCACAAAGAAATCAGTATAGAAAAAATGTCATTACTATTGCAGAATTCATTGACAGAGGCAATAGGCCTTGCTTCATTGATGCAACCTGTTACAACATAAAAAAATATGTTCAAGTCATATATGAATTAATTTAGACAAACCAATTGAAAGCAACTACAAATGAGTTACTACACAAAAAAAAACACCAACTTCATGTTTTATCATCGCCAACTCCAAGGCAAAAATTTCAAAATTCTTGTCTTTGACATGTTTTGGATGAACAAAATGATATAGAAAGTATTTGTTATAAATCACATGTCTCGTCCAATATCTGCACAATCAGGCAAGTCTTACATATAGAGCAAGTACATACTTGCTAAAAATCATTAAAAAATATAGGGTGAATGAAAACGTTTCGTGATGATAAACGTCGACACGTCATTAAATATTAATCATTGCTAATAATGAATAATTAAGAAAGAAAAAGTGAAAAATGGCCACAAATATATCCGCCGCCAATATCAACAATTTATTGAAGTGGTTCTATTTTAAAGTAACGTGACGTCACAAGTATATGTTTGAATTTAAACGAATATAAAACATCATAAACAAACATTACGACATTTATAATGCAGAACTATTAGCAATATTTTCGGTGAATGCCTTGAAAAAGTAAAGTAAATTTGGCTTGAAAAATTTACGAGATGGCGAGTCGGGATGGAATAACCTTCATTTTAATTCGCTCTTGAAGCAATCCAAAGACAATTCAAAGTCGTTATTCACATACAAACAATTCTTGAAAAGCAACAAGCCTTACATAAACAATACAACAAAAAAAATAAAAAAATTCAGCACTCTAGAAATTTATGCGACGCTTGATGACTGCCATATGTATAAAATATACCTAACGCAATGGTATTTTTTGTCACATTCTTCAAGCTAAAGAACCGCCAGCAAAAAAAAAGGGTACTGTCGACATTATAAAGTGCTTATTTCCACCAAATACATTATAAAGTGCTTATTTCCGCCAAAACGTAGTGTTTGGCGAGTAGATGGGTGCATTCCTGAACATTCCATTGCATAATTTTGTTGCAAATCATCCACTAATTTAATAAGCATGTGACTGGGCTTTTGATGGAAAACAAACGAGTTTTTTGGTTAAAGTACGTACGTAAATTTGATGAAAGTCGCTTTAGTCGCGAAACGGTGACCCGAGCCGTTGGACATCTCAAAGCTTTGCAAAATTAATGAGAAAATGCATCATACTTACGGCAACCGTGGCAGGATCGTGAATATGAATAACACATTTAGCGTCTTTTCTGCTTTGATGAATCGCTGAGTGTATGACAAAACCAGCTTTATTCACTCCGCAGTTCGTACTACCAGGATCGAGAGTGTTGCCATCAGCGTCGATTTTCACGAGGCTAGAGGCAGTAATTTCGTGATAAAGCAAGCCAAACGGATTGATCAAAAAACTCTCACCTTGTCCACGCTCACCGGCACAGCGAACCTAGAAATATCAAAACGTATACATTTTCGTACATCATAATTGTTCATGTGCACAGTTACTCTCACGATTTAACAACAGTCACTTATACTGAACGTACAAAAAAATATGAGATCATTGTATTACGGCCAAGGTGTGCAAACAAATTTTCAAGTAACAGGTCAACGATCAAAACATCGCTCACTAACCGTGCAGTGATTGTATATACTTTCCGTCCAGCCAAAATGATCTATTAGACGGTAAGCTGAAGCAAGCTTACAGCGAAGAATACGTTCGCTCTTTGTGTAATTCAGCGTTTCTGTACCACGGATGTCGTTAATGGGATGAACGACTGAGATACCATGGCCAGCTGTATAATAGTTGCTCATAGGGACAAGAAAGTCCTGATACGTTCTCACAGAAGCAAGCTCATCGCCTTCTTCGCTGTGTCTACGCACCGTATCTTCAAGTTCATGTCGAAGGTAGTCATCCTGTAAAACGAGAGAAACTTTTTGGCGAAGCTTCAAACCTCGTACATCACGTTGTATTTCCTCAGGACGACGGACGCTTCGTCTCCCCATCGAGGGTTCCGAGTATCGCCTCGATTTCATTTCGGTCAAGCGTTGTCCACCAGTTCGTGTCGGCTCTGGCATTATCGATGAATATTCAAAAATCCAAGCAACGTAAATGTATACACTCGTTTACTGAGATTCAAACAAAATTCCCAACGCCCCACAATCGAAGTGTCAGCAATTAAAATGTCGCATTGTACTTTGCGCATGACTGGTTTTATGCGGTTCTTCAGTTCGCCTGATCTGATTGGTCAATGCCAATGACGAGTCTTTGGAGATTTATATCAACGATGTTGCTCTTATGTGCTCTTATTACACGAGGCGAACTTTATTTACGCTTTAATTTCATGCTTTTTATTTTCTGGCAAAAAGCAATCTTGAAATTCACTGGAGATCAAAATCAAAGAATACATCAAAAAAACACAGTACAACTTGTTCTACTTAAAGATGTTGGGTTTAAGAATCTAGAAACATGCAACTGTTGCAGTTTTTTCTAGTGTGCAAAGTTCATGACATGGAAAAACTTAGCAAACACGACGTACCATCAAAGACGTCGTGAAAATAACGTAATGGCGTGATATGCCCATGTATGGATGAGTCTATGTCATTTTTCAGACATGACGACACGTCGTGTTTGCTAAACGTATTTAATGAAAATAGCTGTGAAACTTTAACACTAGAAATGCAACTCATTAATGTCATCATTTATATACCTTGACGAGAAACTAACACAAGTTTTGATACGTTAATTTTTTAATAAATGAAAAAGTAAACGTTATTAATTGGTCAAATGATGTTTTATTTATTTATTATTAGAGTCCTCTTCCATGGGCTCGTCTGTCTTTTTGGAATCTACATAAGATAACAAAATTAAATAGCGAAAAATGGTGTAAAATCGCGAAAAAGCAAAATGAAATTTCTTGCTATGATGTCTTTTGTGTCAAATAGTAACCTGTTTTGTTAGAACTTTGTTGTGTAGCTTGTCCTATAGCAGCTCTCACAGCTTCACTATTGGGATCAACATTTGGGAGAGAACCAAGCACGGAATGCAGGAACTCGGGATCGGCCATTTCCTCACTGAAGTCCTGCATATCGTCGCCCTGAAGATCCAAAATGATCATCATTCATGTCATACAACCATACAATATAAAAAATAAAGTAATAATAACGACGAAAAACTAACAATACTTGAAGGTGCCACATCAGTATCCATTGGTGTCGTTTCTCTCGAGGAGTTCGCCTCTCCTGTCTCAGCTTCGCTCGTTGTATCGTCTCCTTGTAAGGACATCTTGATGGCATACGCTATCTGATCGGCCTCAGACATCATGCTAAAAATTGAAGTTGAAATTGCTTCTCAAATTCGTGATAACGATCTTGTTGAAGCGAACAATCACTTCACAAGAAACGGGTGAGTCGTACTCTGGAAATGGACTATTTTTGCTACGAATTCTTGGAGTGGTCTGTGTTTACTTTCATATGAACTGAAACACTAAGTTTGAGTAAGATTTGTGAAATTCTTGGAGTTGTCTGTATTTACTTTCATATGAGCTGAAACACTAAGTTTGAGTAAGATTTGTGAAATTCCTGGAGTTGTCTGTATTTACTTTTATATGAACTGAAACACTAAGTTTGAGTAAGATTTGTGAAATTCTTGGAGTGGTCTTTATTTGCTTTCATATGAACTGAAACACTAAGTTTGAGTAAGATTTGTGAAATTCTTGGAGTGGTCTGTATTTACTTTCATATGAACTGAAACACTAAGTTTGAGTAAGATTTGTGAAATTCTTGGAGTGGTCTGTATTTACTTTCATATGAACTGAAACACTAAGTTTGAGTAAGATTTGTGAAATTCTTGGAGTTGTCTGTATTTACTTCTATATGAACTGAAACACTAAGTTTGAGTAAGATTTATGAAATTCTCGGAGTTGTCTGTATTTACTTTCATATGAACTGAAATACTAAGTTTGAGTAAGATTTGTGAAATTCTTGGAGTTGTCTGTATTTACTTTCATATGAACTGAAATACTAAGTTTGAGTAAGATTTGTGAAATTCTAATTAAAAATCAAGCTCATCCCCACGATGCAAGACAAGTCATAACCTACGAACTAAAACACACACATCACATGACCAAGGTCTATAATCACGAAGTAACCACGACAAAAGAACCATCGTGAAGCTATTTAGTGAGTTGTGCCAATATAGGTAACCTCTAACCTAACATCGTCTGGAAAGGGAGTGGAATCTCCAGAGGCAGTCGACATCGCTCCGGACATTCTTAGTGCTTGCTGTAATAGTGCTTCCTCGTTGTCCGGTATTTCTGCTGAAGGAGCATCTTTGACACTTGGCGTCTCTGCGTTCTGGTTTACTTCTTCTTGACGCTGTCGTTGTTCTTCCAAAGACACACGGATCGCCTAAGTGAAATTAAAAGTTTCTCTTTACGATACACAAACGGGACAAAATAATAATACAAGGTCAGCTTTTGTGGTGTTCTCTCGGTCATTTTTCGCTAATTTTTTGTAATTTGTGAGGATCAATTGATTTGAAAGGTCAGAAAGACGATGTGCCTCAGCTTGACCGCTGTTGCACAAGCTGACGTGATGTTTTATTTACAAGAAACGAATTCAAGCTTATACATAATACAAATCCTAAAAGGTGCGAGTTCAAATCTCGTCCAATTCAAATGTTTTTTTCATGTGCATGTAAAAACCGTGTTAGGATTTATATTATGTAGAATTCAAGCTTGATGCGCGCAAATCTGACACATGCTACGAGCGAAATAAGCATTGAATCTAACCAGCGCTAAGTCTGGATCATTTGAAGGATCAAAGAGGCCATCGCTAGAGCCAGAAGGATTTCCATCTTGACCAGCAACAATGGCGGAGGATATAAGAGCGTCGGCCAAAATTGGACCCGGTGGAACAGTCACAAGATGACTGGAGGTGCCATCTTTACCATTAACGGTATTAATGAAAGATGTCAATGATGAAGTATTGGATTCCTACGTGAAAATAGAACAGATTTTACGCCAGCCAGAATGTGTACTAGAACAAATTGTAATCTAAGAAACATAGCAGTATGCGCAGGGAGCATGGTCATGTAGTAACGTATGGTCGTGTAGTAACGTATGTTCGTGCAGTAACGTATGGTCATGTAGTAACGCGGGTCGTGGTAAATGGATGGTCGTATGGAATGGTAACGTAATGGAATGGTAACGTATGGTCGTGGTAATGGAACGTATGAAGGAATGGAATGGAATGGTATGGAATGGAACATGGAATGGAATGGAAGGAATGGAATGGTCGTAGGAATGGTAATGGAATGGAATAAGGTATGGTCGTGAATAATGGTCATGGAATGGAATGGTCATGGTAATGGAATGGTCATGGTAACGTATGGTCGTAGTAACGTATGGTCATGTAGTAACGTATGGTCATGTAGTAACGTATATGGTCATGTAGTAACGTATGGTCATGTAGTAACGTATGGTCATGTAGTAACGTATGGTCATGTAGTAACGTATGGTCATGTAGTAACGTATGGTCATGTAGTAACGTACGGTAAGGTGTTAAAGTTCTTGTTATCCGACAGGGCTCGAAATTTGTGGTATCCAATATCCACAGGATGCCAGATTTGACTTTCGGATATTAAATATAACAGACTTACTATCTATATGGAATGCTAGAAAATTGTATTTTAACATTCATACAAATTGGATCCTGACAAAATGCTTGTCAAAAGAATAACTTTTTTAGTTTGTTGCATGATTTTCAAGTGTGGTTTTTATTTGTCAAGCTTCAACCTTCACAGAACAACCCATTGCATATTATTCAGCAAAACATAACACAATGGAATTTTTGTTAGATTCATTGCCAAACGGAACGTTTGATTTTGCTTAAAGCCATCAAAAAAGCTCAATGCAAAGTTATTCAAATAACAAGCATGTAATCATTATTCTCATTGTCTTGATAACGCTTATGAAATACGATAACATACTCTTCAAATTTGGCATACTAAATTATAATTTGGGATACTAGATTATAATTTGGCATACTAAATTACAATTTTGATACTGGATTATAATTTGGCATACTAAATTATCATTTGGGATGCTAGAATATAATTTGGCATACTAAATTATAATTAGGGATACTATATTTTCATACCCTAGTATCCATGTAGAAACATTTAATATCACAAAGTAAAAAGAAATATTGAAAACCTCCTCTCCAAAGTTCACTACATCAACACTGACTTTTTCCTTTTTCAACCTTTTTGCCAATTTTACAAGCTGAAAATGAGAGATATGAACCTTAATATTTCACATCGACCTTTGCTCAGCAAAGTTGACACAATCCAAAGATTACAGATTAAGATTACAGATTACAGATTACGGACAAGGATTACCTCTTTCTCATCGTTTATCAAAGGGCTGCCAACAAATGCAACAATTCTCATACGATGATTTTTACTTTGACGATGTTTCAATGCTAGCTATGTTCAAGAGTGGACATATAATTAAAATTAAATGAAAAAAGAAGATATTTGAGTTGAGTTATGTTAGCAAAATCACAGAACTCACATGAGCAATTCTGATTCCGGTGACCATGTTTATATCACCCTTAGGTCGAACACTGTGCAAGGTTGATAACACTTTGCCAACATCTGTCGTCAAAGTTACCAGGACCTCTAGACTAAATATGTAAACATATTTATTACGGTGCAGTTAACGTTCAAACGTTTTTTAAGGCTTTTTTAATGACGTCATCATCGATCATTGATCAAACCCAGTCCCTTGAGTTTGCTTTTCGTTTTGTCAAAAATAATCCATTGGTTTTTTACTCATATTTGACCAAAATTTATACACTGTATACGCTACCTGGCTAAAGTCATTAATCCAACATTGTTCTCGGGATTTTCGCGAGCTTTTGAGCGGCAAACTAAATTCACAGCATCTTGTTGGGCTTGAATTCTCGTCGGTAAAAAATCGCCATTTCTCATGTACTCGCTGTTATCCACGCTGAAAAATCATTTAATTCAAATGCTTAACAAATAATACAGCACTGTACAACATTGAGGAAGGAATCTTCACACTATACGATCAAAACTTACCAAATTATTGTCGATTCCAAAACCATTTTGGCTGACTGTTGTATAATACTTCGTTATCTATTCTGTGACTTTGACTTGGTTTGACTTTTATTATCAGATCAGTGGCTCACCCCAATCCCCACATTATGTTTTTCCGTAGGTCACGTGTTAACTCAAAACCAAATAGCACAGCAAGAAGAAGGAAGTGCACTATTTGTAATGTTTCTATTTGTGAATTTTTTCTATCGCTCAATGACGAATAGAAACAAATTTCTACGCGCTGAAACAACAAAAATTTAACTTCTGCGTTTCTAGTTTTGGGGGAATGATTTGATTCCTGTGTGGGTAAGTGTTCCCTCACATCCTGAAGAAAAGTGAAAAATGATTGATGTTCGTGTTTAGATTTAAAATGACAGTAATTGCGACATGTTTGTGTTTGGTTTAGATGAGGTCATTTCTTGAAACTTTCACAAAGATTTTAAGTTCTAGTGTTTTGAATTTGGCTGTACCATATACATCTGTTTGTTTTATTTGATTGAAATGTACAATTTAATACAACACTTGAAAATTGTCGTGAAATTAACTATATGTTAACGTTGTATAAATGTACACGATTGTTGCAAAATGTTATTCAGTTCGGGTGATGACCAATTTCCAGAATAAAGTAATTAGCCTGTGATGTTTCATATTACCTTTAAACATAATTCTTTTGTGTTTCAATATTGAAATAAGGTCGAAACAGCAATGGATGACCCAGTACGACAGCCGTATTTTTATGGCAGAATTTCGAGACTTGATGCTGAGCGCTATTTACGCGAATGTGGTATGGAAGATGGCATGTTTCTACTACGTAAACGACCGACCGAAGCACAAAGCTTTGCCCTTTCCTTATGTTATCAAAATAGTGTGTATCATTATTACATCCAGCATCATACAAATGGCAAGTATGGCATTGAAGATGGTCCAAGTTTTTTAAGTCCTGTTGAGCTTATAGATTATCATAGAGCAAATCAAGGTGGCCTTCTCACCACTTTAACCAAGCCCTGTAACCGCCCTGAAGGTGTTGAACCGAAGGTCTACACGAATGTTGATTACAGTGAAGTCGAAGAGGCCACAAATGCTGCAATGAGTAAACTTGGAATTGGCGATCGTTCATCTCTTGGTAAAAACCACATTCCTCTTGAAGTTATGTTGGGAATGCTATTGCATGCTAAGCAGTCATGGTTTCACGGTGTAATCTCTCGTCAAGAAGCTGAAACTCGTCTGAAGAAATGTGGTGGCACTGATGGACTATTTCTGGTGAGGGAACGAGAGAGGACCTTAGGAACATTTGCTATTGGTTTATGCTTTCAGCATGTTGTATATCATTATCTCTTGAATGCCGACAGTCACGGCAAGCTTTCCATCCCGTCTGGTCCACAGTTTCTAAATCTGATGGAATGTGTTGAATACTATCTTAATCGATCAGATGGTCTGGTGTGCAAGCTTGGCAAGGCCTGCCCAGTTGGAGAGTTTGAGAAGAATGGAGCTTTACCATCGTTACCTAGTGGTCCGAGACCAGAAGCTATTTATGACACTGTAGCAATGAAAAAGTCTTCAGTCTACCACAACGCATTCAAGGACATTCAAGAGCTAGATTTTAGCCGTTTAACACTTGAGAACACACTTGGACAGGGTCATTTTGGCAGTGTGTTGAAGGGCGTGTACAAACTTTCAAATGGCAAAAAAATAGAGGTCGCTGTCAAGCAACTCAAGACGACCGCTGCGGCACAACAGACAGAGATTGAGCACGAGGCGCGGATTATGCTAAAATTGGATCATCCACACATCGTGCGCATGATTGGCATATGTAAGGAAGCAACCATGATGTTGGTGATGGAGCTAGCGGGTAATGGTCCACTCCATAAATTTCTTCGCAAAAATAAGCAGCAGGTCACCGTCCGTCAGATACTCGTCTTGATGCTTCAAGTCTCCGAGGGAATGGAGTACCTAGATAGCAAGCATTTCGTTCATCGCGACTTGGCAGCACGCAACGTACTCGTTGTCGACGTGAATTTTGTCAAGATCAGTGATTTCGGTATGTCGCGCGCGATGGGGGTTGGGAACAACTACTATCGTGCGGAAGCTGCAGGAAAATGGCCGCTCAAATGGTATGCGCCCGAGTGCATATACTACTATAAATTCAGTACAAAAAGTGATGTTTGGGCGTACGGTATAACCGTATGGGAAGCTCTGATGCACGGAAGTAAACCTTATGAAGGTTACAATGGTCAGCAGGTTATTCAATTCTTAGAAATGGGAGAGAGACTGCATCGCCCTGAGAAATGCCCACAAAGTGTGTACAGTCTCATGCGTGGCTGCTGGGAATGGGATCCGGAAAAGCGACCTGATTTCTCGTTGGTTAAAGAAACTCTCTCCAACATCATATTTTATTACATGAAATGAATAGAAGCAAATTAATAATAGAAATTGAAGTACGCATTTTTAACACATTGTGAACAAATCATAGTAGAAACAAGACATCGGCCTGCGACAAGACTCATCGCGGAAATTATAATGTAACGTGTTGTATCTAAGCGTTTCATATAACGTACGCGTTAAAAAATTATCGCAGAAGTGTTTCCTTAAAAATTTTTAGTTAGTAATCTTTTATTAAATGAAAATAGTTCAGCATCATTTTCACAGCATTCCTTTGTATTACACTCCTCTACATTAGCTACCTGTAGAGAATGCGGTCAAATGTCCCATCGTGCATTTATGGATGTTGATCTCTTTCTCCGCAAATTGTGCGCACGCGCCGTTGACGAAACGCTTTAAAATGCGTAAACGACTCGGTGTGTACGATTTTCATTTGATGTTTATCATGCCACCAGTCGACGAAGGACGTAAAACATTTTTACAAGTTTTTGTAGTTTTGTTGGTATGATGGCTTTTTACCTCGCACCAAAGATAGAACTTCCAATTCGGACATAACTGCTTCCCATCTCAATCTGAAAATACATAAAAGAAAAAAAATTAACCAACGTTTCATTTATTTCATGTACACCGCAAAATAAACGATTAATTGTACGAAGACATTGTTGTACTTGTTAATTAATTTATCATTTTTCTCCATTCAAAGCTTTTAGTTCTTCGCACGCAGCTGCGAATGCATCTGCTCACATTTAAATTGCATTCGAAGTTCATTTGTTCATAAATGCCTTAAGGAAGCAGTTCGTGCCATCATATGTTTAAAGTAAACAAAATGCCGAGTTTGACTACGAGGTAAGCAAAGAGAATCATCTTTCAGCCAACAAGTTGGGGGCACTTCAATAATATAACTTGAACTAGCACAAACAATGTAATTATGTAAAAAACTAAACGACAGGGAATCGTGTCATGTTTTTGCAGGAGAATGCTCCACTAATAGCTGTACGATAAAAAGTTTTATAGCCAAGAGTAGGTAGAATTTTTGCAGTAATATGTAACATTGCGTTATTAAGCAACGCCTTTCATTTTCTCCGACTATTTTTTTGTCGCGTCGATGTCGCATTTGCCTTTTTGATAAAACGTTTTTTACAAAATATTTTGTAGTTCAAAGTCGCTTGGCTATATTTTATTCCTGTGGACTTCACTTCGTGGCGTTTTTAGCTTGAGCGGAGATTATCAATTAAAACTGCGTCAGAATAAAGTTTTGCCAAACGAAGAATGCTTCCGAAATGCCTGGGTAGAAAATGTCTCAAATTGTTTACAAGAATGCCTTGGTGAATGCCGGTGTGTGTCATTTCAAATGTGCCAAACTAACAACTGTCAACTCTGCTCTGGAGGTGACGTGGGGAATCTGATGAATCAATCTGGATGCTCGTACTTCACAATGAAAAAAGTTCAGGTAAGTTTTAGTATGATGCTAGGAAAGATTGCAATGAGTCTACCTTTATAAGAGAAATAATTGACAAATTGAACATCTTCCTCATATGAATTGAAAAAGGAAGGGAGGTGATATATGAATAAAGGCAGAAAGGACCAGCCACATACTAAAGATTGCAAATATACACAGACACTTTGATAGGCGTGTACAAAGCGAAAAACCTCGAAAAACCAAACTAACAGCAAATACAAATTAACAATTAAGAATTTAAAAAAAGACTTTCTAATTTGGTCAGAACTAGCTACAAACATGCCCAGATGAAATAAGGCAGGTATCTTTTTTAGTTCAGCCAACAACGTGAAGAAAGTTGCCTCCCAGCAATAAACTGCTGTCTAACATCACAGCCGTGTTTGGACGGCGGCACCTGTAGTATGTCAGACGACCCATTAAAGCGCTACTCGTGTAAATGTAAAAAAAATCGTAAAGGTGAACGATGCGAGTTGGATGTGGTATCATGGACGACAGGATGACAGGCGAAACCGTTCATAATTCTGTACTTGTAATATTATTTCTTAAAGACGACATTTTTAACTAACTTCACACATTTTGTTTTACTTTTTCCGTATCGACTAAATGCTTATTTGACATTTATTTATTCATTTCCCATTCGCAGTTTATCTTTCTAAATTTCAATGACATGCTGTAAACTCGTTTATTTGTTCTAAACTTCAAATATATTTTACTCACTCGTGTAAAACATTTCCCTACAAATCATTATTGTTACGATGCAATGCAACCATGGAGTCTGAACAGTATTTTACGCAGAAGAAAATATATTGTTAGAGGTTTGTAGTGAATAGAACAGAAAGATAAGAGATTAAGAAGTTTATTTTTAAGAGCCTGGGATCAGTATTTATTTGCACTTCGAATTTTTCTTTAGTCAGAGTTTTTTTTAAAAAAAAAACACATGTTTTTCGAAGTCCCAAGACAAAACAATATATACAGTTCATTATGTTTCATGTACATACGTAACGCTGACATCTGATAACCCTCAAAAAGTGAATTCTTTCATGGTTTACATCATATGTATAAGAATATTCCCATACTCCTGAAGTACGTAAGTTAAAAGTCTGCGGGTATGATGTAATTTTGAAAATATGGTCTAAACTGGTGGCAAGTCCACAGTACCATGCAGAGATGATGTAATTTTGCATGTATAACATAAGCCACATGCTTACAGCATATCCACAATCAACAGACAGAGATGATGTAATTTAGAAAATATGGTCTAACACTAGTGGCAAGTCCACAGTACCATGCAGAGATGATGTAATTTTGCATGTATAACATAAGCCACATGCTTACAGCATATCCACAATCAACAGACAGAGATGATGTAATTTAGAAAATATGGTCTAACACTAGTGGCAAGTCCACAGTACCATGCAGAGATGATGTAATTTTGCATGTATAACATAAGTCACATGCTTACAGCATATCCACAATCAACAGACAGAGATGATGTAATTTTGAAAATATGGTCTAACACTAGTGGCAAGTCCACAGTACCATGCAGACATGATGTAATTTTGCATGTATAACATAAGCTACATGCTTACAGCATATCCACAATCAACAGACAGAGATGATGTAATTTTGAAAATATGGTCTAACACTAGTGGCAAGTCCACAGTACCATGCAGACATGATGTAATTTTGCATGTATAACATAAGCCACATGCTTACAGCATATCCACAATCAACAGACAGAGATGATGTAATTTTGAAAATATGGTCTAACACTAGTGGCAAGTCCACAGTACCATGCAGACATGATGTAATTTTGCATGTATAACATAACCCACATGCTTACAGCATATCCACAATCAACAGACAGAGATGATGTAATTTTGAAAATATGGTCTAACACTAGTGGCAAGTCTACAGTACCATGCTGAGATGATGTAATTTTGCATGTACAACATAAGCCACATGCTTACAGCATATCCACAATCAACAGACAGAGATGATGTAATTTTGAAAATATGGTCTAACACTAGTGGCAAGTCCACAGTACCATGCAGACATGATGTAATTTTGCATGTACAACATAAGTCACATGCTTACAGCATATCCACAATGAACAGACAGAGATGATGTAATTTAGAAATAGAAGATACAGACAATTCACTTACGGCATGTTCAAAGTCAGCTGACATACCCATACTCAGCTCGACATCGGCAGCAGAAAGACCAAGATTTTCACACACCTTTTCTCGGCAAGATAATAGTGACTGGTAAACACAAAATACCACTTAAATTATGTACACATTGCTTCAAAGCTCCTACAGTAGAATGCAAATTATTGCTAAAAAAATGCTTTGCAACTTTCTTGTTTGTCTACATTGTTGAATAGATTTAACTAAGATAAACTACATTGTAAAAGTACATTAAACACACCTTAAAATCTTCATTTGTGTTCCCTTGTTGTACGCTACGAGCTACAGCACCAATGGTCATGATGCCAGAAAATTCCAAGCCATTGCAATTATTCAAAATGTGGTTTATCAGATCAACACACTGTTCAGGAGGGCATCCTGACTTATCTAGGTAAAATAAGGTAAAATCGATACTAGTTGAAAGCAACACAAATGCATTGTCTCTATGAAATAAAAGACAGTTCATCTTGTTCTTTTAAGACAAACAAGAGAGGGTAGTTATACGACATTTTTAATTGTAATCCATTAAAATTCATAATTATTCAATAATTTTCCTAATTTATCCACAGTATGCTAATTTTTATACTACATTATCCAGTTCTCCGAGGACACAGTATAAGGAATTAATAGTAGGACTACTTTACTGTGCAACTTGCTGTTCTATATTTAACTAGATTACTGGCTACAGTAAGACATTTTACGGTTCTTAAGGGTCATAAAAGCAATTTATAAGCTACGTACCACTATGGTAATCACATGTGCAAAATAAGATTGTCACAAAAAATTCAATGGAGGGGCTCATCTATATATTCCTTTTCTGTATCTACATTAACCATGGTAACAAAGATCATGAAATTGCCACTTACTTTCTTCACCACTGGTGTTCACTTGCACCATTACTTTCAACTTTACAGATTTGTTTTGTTTTTCCCAGGAATTATTCAATGCTGTCGCAAGCTTTGTTGTATCAATAGTTTGAACCATGTAGAGGTTGGGAACAGCTATGTTTGAAAAACTGTTGCAATAATGTAGCAAATATTGTAACAAAAATTGTTGCATGCTGGTCAAAGGAAAATTAGAAAATACATATATGATTTAGTGCAAATGCAGATTTGAATACTATATGGATGAATAAGCACATGTGTTGATGTACTAGGTCATACAAGCACATGTATTCATACACTAGTACGTATATTGATATAAAAGTACGTACATTAATATAAGCAACAATTTTTTACCTGTAAGATTATTACATTTGTTTCTTTGAAGATGACCAATAAAATGCCACTTAATGTCTTCCAATTTGAGAATCTGCAGCACCAAAAAAGAAAAAAGATGTGAGCTTTAGTGGAGCCCTATAAAGTATTGTTTGGGGAAAATAGTGCACAGATATGCTTGTTAAATACTGAACTGAATCATGGAGTTGTTGTCAACTTTGCATACAAGTCTTATCACGATGTATCTAAAGTCATGAATTTTGAAAGGTGAAATTCTAATGAGTTCAAGTTAATTTATTTAAAAAACATGAATTGTCGTGATTTGTTTTGATCAATACTGGTTCACTATTGCCACAGAAAAAATCATTCACAACAGTCATGCAATGAATCTTGATAAATATAATTATATACGGCAATGCATTTTTGTCTAATACTGGTAACTTAGATCCATATACCTCAGGATTGCTGCCTTTCTCAACAATTTCTTGCACCTGCCAAAATAAAAAATTCAACTCAAATCAGTAATGAATTTAATCATGGCATAATAACGTAGATTATGCGGCCCAGATTACGGAAAAATGACAAAGTAGAATAAAAGAATGCCCCTTGCTTACATAGTTCTCACCAAAATGCCTTTGCCCACATTGGTAAGCTTCCAGTACTGCACTAACAGGTTTGGTCTTACTCACTGCAATCAATTGTGGTACGTGAGAGCCAAACTCCTACGAAAAAGTTGTCAGAATGAAACTATGTATGAAACCCCATAGCTTCGAATTCCATACATAGAGACCTTCTACTTAACGTACAGAAGGTCTCCTTTGTAATGCTGCTATCTCAATGCGCTGCAAAATATCCTTCAAAGCTGTACCAAGATGGGATTGTGCCATCACGCGAGACATATGATAATATTACAGAATACACCCTGTTACGCAGAAAGTAGAGCTTAAAAACTTTGAACAACTCAATTTCTGTGGATAATTCTCCCGTCCTTAACACATAACCATTGACTTTGCGGTAAACATCTTTTTTTCGTTGATTTCTGCCCAATGAATGACAAAATGGTAAACTTGAGAAAATCCTCCGTTTCCCGGAGAACTTGATGTAACATCCATAAAAAGGTTGTATGGTATTCAATATTGTCAATAACAGTCAAACTCAAATTACCTGAGATGCTCAAAATCGCCGACTCACTGAACAGAATATTGCAGTGCACAGTACTTCTTTTGCCATGACAAAGAAGTTGTCTAAGGCTAGGGTTGCTATCGTCGCTTGTGTAAATGCAAATATTAAAATGACAATATTAAAATAAAACTAAGAATAACAATGTAATATGTGGTCATAATTCTGTGATGTGGTACTGAATATCCAAAGAGGTTCCACTGTCTCGTGAATTTGCATCATGATGAGTTTAGTTTGCGTGACAGCTGAGCGAACAGTAGATGCAACTAAAACAGCTGTAGCATCATTCCTGTAGCATCATCTTCATTCACTAACCAAAAAGGCAAGACAATCGTCAAATATTTGACCAACAGCATCCATACCACCAAACACAACAATGAAAGTCTGCCATACTTTACCAAGCCGTTCATCTATTGATTACAAAATGAGAAGTGTTTAAATTATACATCAAAAACTAGAGTTATTGAGGTCTGAAGGTGGAAAAACACCTGCTCAAGATAAATACTGAAAGTGCGGTGACAAAGAAAGACAACATTAACTCAAAAAATACACACATTCATTCATATATAAACATACCATCACTGCTTCTGGAAACTGTCACAGAGCACATGGTATGATCTAGACGGCAATGTGGTGGGGGACCATCACAATAAATACGTCGCCAAACCATTAAATCTAAAATATTCATTAAAACATAAAAAATAATACATTGACTTAAGAATATAAGATAACGAGACTTCTTGTACAATATATATAAAAGAAGGAAATGCACCTGTGTTAAGTGAATAAAGATCATCCATTGAAGCACCATTTTCATTCATGCCACCAAACAAATATAACATGCTGTGAACAGCACAACCGGCATGTGCTGCCATCTTACATGGTATGTCCCCAGTTGTCTTTGGTTGAGACCAAACCAAATCCTCATCAGCTAGTACACACATCAAATGTAACAAATGTAATAAGTTACAAATTTCAATAGTTGAAAAAAGGCATGATTACAGAGAACACTGATGAACATATTTATTACATATAGTTAGTTTCCAAAGATCAGCAAACATCTCTGCACCAGCCATTCCACCGTGAATATAAATATTGTTACCAATTGTCACCATGACATGTCCGTGTCGAGATGTGGGAGACTCACCTTGAACTAAGGGTTGAGACCAACAGTTTTCTTCTATGAATAAAGATAAAAAAAGTAGCAAAGTGATGATGGCTGTGGTGGGGTTGAGATAGAGGTAGGGCTGCAGTAGAGATTGTGGTGGGGTTCGGCTGGGAGATGGGTGGGACTATAGTGAGGATTAGGGTGTGGGTTGGGCTGAAAATTTAATGCATCAATTTGCAATGATACTATGCATTCAACAAGTTTAGTAATGGGGCTTTTCCCTTCCTGCCTCTTTCTTGGAATATTCCCTGATGAAGGAATCAAAAAGAAATTCATTCTAAGATGAAGCCATGCATTCGTGTATTATTCCCTCACTAGCATCATAGACATGGAGCTTTCTATCTTGTGTTGGTTCAGTTCCAGATTCACCTCCTCCAAATATATACAGTTTGTTATGCAAAGCAGCTGCTGAATGACAAGTTCTTGGAGTGGGAATTCGACCAGATGGTACTGACAAGCACCACAATCCTCAACAAATAACATTGTGTAAATATAAATGAATACTGCAAGATGTAATAACCCTTACGATGAAAATGGAAAACTTACCATTTTCTAGGACCCACACATCATTCAAGTTTTTATCCATTTGTGCTCCACCAAATACTACAATATCCTGGTTTTCATTAATTGGTATAAAAGTAGAATGCTCGTACCTCGGTGTCAAACCTTTCCAGTTGCATTCAAACCACTTGTATTCACCTAAATTTACAACCACACAAATATTGACAATTAAATTTCCCCATTATCAAAAATATTTGTAATTGCCCCATGGTTACAGAAGAAATGTCATCATTTACCCCTATCTCACCCCGTGTTTCATATGAAAAATTGACTTTGTGTAAACTCACACCAAGTTCAAATGTCTCCAAAAATAAACACGAGTATGCACAATGAAACATTCAACTGAGAGAGCATGAATCCATAAAAAATATAATTAAAGCCTTACTGGTAAGGCCTACGCACAATCAGGGGCAGGGGGGTGATATGACAATAACTGATGAGTATGACTCAAATTTCCAACTTCAAACCAAAATGTCAAATACAATTTTTGCATCCATACCAAAATCTAGAATGTAAGCATCGCTGAATGCTCCATCAGGATTTGCTCCACCAATAAACAGTAATTTTTCAGAAGGTTCATCGTCGTCGACCACAGCGCCATTGGAAGCGCAATGGGAAATTTTACACGAAGTTTTTAGCACACAACATGTGTGACCAACTCTAGCACAAGGTCTTTCATTGCAGGGAGAAACTACATACCAAATACCTGGCTTTGCAAGTCCATGCTTTTCAAGGACTGGATTAACTTGCATTTTTACTGATAACTAAAACCATAGCTTTATTGTACCTTTACTTTATTATACCTTTGCAGTTGTTTACATCACTCGGGCAACAACTACTTTCCATCATTTAAATGTTAATGACGTCATGACGACCCTTATATTTCGGTAAAATGCCTGTGAGAAGTCAGAAATCACTTTTGTTTAGCCTGGGTTGTTTTTTAATTGCCTTATGACTCGTTTTTCCCCCCACGAGATTTTGTCAGAAATTTTGAACCACAGACGCAAAGTGTAATGAAACCCTTTTGAACTGATTTGATTACATAAAAGTGTGTACGCAATGCGTACGTTTGTCGTGTGCAACAATCCCCCTTTTAGCTTTTTAAACGCATTCAATGGACAACATTGTCGTGCTAACACACGTGAATCCATGTAACTATCGTTTTAAGATCAGCATTGATCACCAGAACATATATTTAAGATTGGGCAACTCGACAGTGGCGCGTAGCCATTCCGCAAATATTAGTCGTGCAATGTAAATTTCAATATATTATCATTACTCATTCCTTTAAAAAGTTCTCGTTTTCGCAAATTTACATAGCATTTGATTAAACACAAAAATTCCTGGCCCATGTCATAGACCATGCTTCGTATGTACGAAGTAGACCGTAGACGTACATACGAAGTATGGTCTATATGACGAAGGTTACAAAGTTCTACTAATAACTCATTTCATATAATAGTCTTTAGCAAAGGATTTCAAGTTAGTGGCCAGCTCGATAATGTGGGGGCCATATTCATAAATGCAGGTTATAGCCCATAGGAACTTAACCCTACAGAATGTGCATTTACGACATGAGTCATACCACATCATGGAGTTTGCAGCTGTTTGGTACGCCATTGCAATGAAACTGTACTATTTTATAGATAAAGTGAACTTGTGCATTTTACGTAAGTACCACACAGGAATTTGCACTATCGACGGTCCATTGGTCCTATTGTCTATTATTCTTACTGGAAAATATTTTTTCAGTACGTGACCTTCCAGCCGATCAAATAACATAAATATATTTCTACTTTCACATTGCATGGTGGATATTTCTCAATAATAAATGGCAATTTTGTGATAATCAAGGTGTTCATAACACCGTCAACATTGAAAATCAAGCTTTCGTTGATTTAATCGCATTATTGGTAAAAAAGCAACATTTTTTGGTGAAAATTTTTTTGATTCGTAATATCAGTCCTTCGCAGAAAATGTTCGTGTACCATTTCTAAGTAGATGGTCAGTTGCGCATCACGTATCGGCAGTAGGTGGCAAATGTTAAGATATGCTCTCATATTCTTTCCGTAATTAATAAATCATTAATTTAAGTGTAAGTAATTAGATGACTAATGTTAAGAGATACTTATAATGTTATCAAGACAATATTTTTTATAGTTCCTAGTAGTTTTTCGTTGACGTCAATAAACCATATTTGTTATCAGAACCCAAAATAATCTTACGTATATTTTGTATAAATAGAAGTAGTTAAATCATTGTAAAATAGAAGACGTTGAACATTAAATGTGATCGTATAGTTATCTGTAACATTTGTTGGTGTAAGTCAAATTATAATAAAGAAGAACATGGCTACATCACAAAACCTAACAGGTTATGGGCCCAGGAGAGGACTTGTCTTCGATGGAGATGAAGGCAGATACGAGCTCTGGGGAGTGAAATTTCTCTCATTCATGAGAATGCAAAAACTGCACGACGTGTTTGTTCCTAGCCGTGGTGAAGACGAGCTGGATGAGGCAAGGAATGCGAATGCCTATGCCGAGTTGGTGCAATGCCTAGACGATCGGAGTTTGTCTCTTATTATAAGAGAGGCGAGAGATGATGGCCGAAGAGCCCTAAATGTTCTACGTGAGCATTACCAAGGAAAGGGCAAACCCAGAATCATCGCCCTGTATACAGAGTTAACCTCCCTGAAAAAAGGTGAAAACGAGACCACAACAGATTACATGATTCGAGCAGAAACTGCTGCAACCGCGTTAAAATCCGCCGAGGAGATAATAAGCGACGGCTTACTAATTGCAATGGTGTTAAAGGGTCTACCGAGGACGTACAAAACATTCTCGACTGTGGTTATTCAGCGAGAAAAACAAATGACATTCATGGAATTCAAAACAGCTTTACGGAATTACGAGGAGAACGAAAAGTGCTGTGATCAGAACGAAAAGGACAACGTTATGTTCACAAAGCAAAAAGAACGATTTGAAGGAAAATGTTTCAAGTGCGGCAAGATAGGACACAAAAGTTCGGAGTGTTGGATGAAGAAAGATAAATGGTGCAGTAAGTGTAAGAGCAAGACACACAACACAAAGGATTGTCGATCAACGAAGAAGGATTACGCAAAGAAAGCAACAGAAAAGAAGAAAGAAGATGAAGAAAACGGCGAACACTCGTATGCGTTTACGCTGAATGATTCTCAAGATAGAAGAAGAAGCAAGGAAAGCACAAACTTACTTGTGGACACCGGAGCGACAAGTCATATCATAAATGACAGCTCCAAATTTGTAAGCTTTGATAAAAATTTTGATTGTAATTCCCACTTTATAGAGTTAGCAGATGGTAGCAAAGCAAATGTGGTATTGGGAAAGGGAAACGCTAAAGTTAAATTATATGACATAAAGGGTAATCTACATGACATAATACTAAATAACGCGCTCTATATTCCATCTTATGATCAAAACATATTCTCGGTTTCAGCAGAAATAGATAAAGGAGGAACAGTAAACTTAGATAAACAGGCAAGTAATTATATTACTGAGGAAGGTAGCGTATTTGAAATTAAACAGAAAGGACGGTTGTATTACTTGAACAGTATTTCATCATCAAGTAACAATGCCACTTCGCTGAAGGACTGGCACAAACTATTAGGCCACTGTAACTATACGGATATCAGAAAACTGGAGAAGGTAGTTGACGTAATGAAAATTACAGACTACACGGAGGTAGAATGTGAAGTGTGTACACAAGGGAAAATGTGCCAGAGTAGAAGTAGAGAACCGGATCAAAAGGCTAAAGCTCCTTTAGAATTTGTTCATTGTGACCTAGCAGGGCCAATAGAGTCATCACAGTTGTGACTTGTGAAGCTTGAATGACTTTTTGAGCAAGTTGGAACATAAGCAGCAACATGTTGGCCTCCACCAATAAAGTGCTTGAATAGCAATTTGTAAAACATATACTGCCATATGGTCCACATGACTTAACTTTGTTATTTCTGCCTTTTTAAATTCAATCAGGAGATTATTTATATATTTGACATGGATGCTTATTGATGATGTGAGAAGTGAACATAAAAAAGCTTCCTGAATGCTTTTGTGAATTGGATTGGTGTTGGCTTGGCACAGTTTCCCCCTGTCAAATGTTTTAAAAACGTTTTCTGGTGTATCTGTGTTTCACCTTTTGGTAAACATTTTACTGTGTAAAGTATTACGATTTAAATAATGGCATTAAGAGTAACTATAACTGGTTTTTGTCAGAATAAGTTCTGTTTGTGACATGATTACTTACAATAAAAATTTTAATTTACTGAATGAAGATTATGGATTTTAGCAAAAATTAAATTTTCGAGCCCTTTGTTGCAATAATTTCTCTCTGCTGGTTGATCAATGCGGTGAGTCAAACATAATTCTAATCATTTTTCACATACAATTGTTGGTCACAACTCACAAGTGAAGTTTAACCAAAGAGGTAAGCTGTAGGAGCTTGACAATATGTTTGACATAATGGTAAAGTTGTTAATTTAATTGTAACAATTTATCAATAACTTCATTCTTTAAAAAATTGTAATTTCATATATTGTTTATTAAAAATAAGACAACAAAAAACATCTTTATTTGTAAGTTAATACAAATTTGACAGACATGATAGCCACAGGAACTCAATATACAATTACAAATAAAAACTTTCAATTACAATTATGCAGACAAGCTACATTGCAAATAAAAAGTCCCGATTCAAGAATCAAATATAAATTAGTTTAGTCCAAATTTTATACCAATAACGTCGTCATCTGAAGAACGTTCTTTACGCACAGTAGGTCGTTTTATCGCTTCTATCAAATCCGTTGACCATTCTAATAGGAAACTCTTTACTAGAAAATACAGAAATGGAATTACACTAAATATATTATTACTTTTGTCCTAAATTATAAATTCTTAGGGCAACTGCCGTTCAATATAAGAGACGTTCTAAACATGGATCTCGCATACAATTCAAGGCAAGAAACTATAAAACCCGTAAAATTATATTTGAAGAACGTATTTTACAACAAAACTGTTTCTCACCTCATATGCTTGGTATCCTATCCGATGGCATTAAAAATTTTGTCCATAAGTGAATTTAAATTCGTCAAATTTTCGAAAAACAACTCTTCATATTATTAATCTATATACATTCTGGCCAGTTTATCTGGCTGGAGTAATGGCGGACGCAAAAGATGCGCACTTAAGAACTGGGTACAAGTAGGGGACAGATTTTTCGCTGAGTGGCGCTTCTGTATGTATCTATTCTGTGACATTAGAAGCTACAGAAAGTTCTTAGCTGACGTGGCGCCTTACGGAAAAGTCAAGAGGTTACGAAGTGACAACGGAGGTGAGTTTCTTAATCACGAATTCAAGTGCCTAATGAGAAAGAAGTCCATTAAACATGAGACTAGTGCGCCGTACTCACCCCATCAAAACGGCACTGTAGAAAGAGCATGGCGTAGTTTATTTAGCATGGCAAGGTGTCTATTAATAGATGCTGCATTACCAAAATACTTGTGGACGTATGCCGTGATGGCTTCTGCTTACATACGAAACAGATGTTTTAATACACCATTAGGGAAGATACCCTATGAAGCACTTATTGGGAAGAAGCCAAATTTGAGTAGGATGCATGTTTTCGGCTCAACATGTTTTGCATATGTACAAAATGCAAAAAAATTGATGACCGTAGTAGAAAAGGAACCTTTGTTGGGTACGACAAAGGAAGCCCAGCGTATCTAGTGTTTTATGCAGATACTAATAAAGTTGAAAAAGCACGATGCGTAAAATTTCATGACAATTTCAAGGTTCAGCAAATTGATTCAGATGATTTTGTCTTAAGCGGACAAAAGAATGCTAAGAGCGTAAATAATAAGCCTGAATTACCTAGTACAGTAGAGGCAAAACAAGATAGTTCTAACAATGAAATTGTACAAGCAAGCGATGACTCACAAATACAGGAAAGTCATGAACAAGATACGCAAATACGATATCCGACAAGAGCACGTAGCAAACCAAATTATTTTGGACAAACCAAAACAGAGGATAATATTAATATAACAGTAGATTACTGCTATAGACTAGCAGACATTCCAGTGAATTATGAACAAGCTTTAAAAGCACCAGATGCAGCCAAATGGCAGGAAGCCATGGGTGTAGAAATGAAAGCATTACTAGACAATGAGACATTTGAAATTGTACCACAACCTAAGGATAGGCAAATAGTGGGGGCAAAATGGGTATATAGAATTAAGACAAACCAGAAAGGAGAGGAAACATACAAAGCAAGATTTGTGGCTAAGGGTTACTCTCAAGTGCAGGATATTGACTATCAAGAAACGTTCGCACCCACAGCACGAATGAGTTCAGTTCGCACGCCATTACAAAGCACGGTTCAGAAAAATATGCTTATTCACCAAATGGATGTGAAGACTGCCTACTTAAATGCGCCTATTGATCGGGAAATCTATATAGAACAGCCCGAAGGTTTCGAGAAAATAGGTAACAATGGTGAAAAACTAGTTTGTAAATTAAAGAAGTCACTATATGGACTCAAACAGAGCGGTAGAAATTGGAACAATTTATTGCATGAATTCCTAACCCAGGAAAAATTTGTTCAGTCACTCGCAGATCCATGCCTATATGTTCATACGATTGATGATAAGCGATGCATTATTGTTATTATATGGGTAGATGATATCATTTTAGCAGCAAGCGACGCAGATCTACTCAAAGCAATCAAAGAATCTTTAAGTAGCAGATTTAAGATGACTGACTTAGGAGAACTAAAATGGTTCTTAGGTATTGAATTTCAAAGAAGCGAAAACTGCATGAAGATGAACTAAAGCCGTTACCTTCAGAAAGTTCTTTCGAAGTTCAAAATGTCTGATTGCAAACCAAAGCCAACTCCATGTGTTTTAGGAATTGAAAACGTTTTGAGTAAGGAGTCCCCTGAATTGAATGATCCTAAATTGTATAGGGCAATGATAGGAAGCTTAATTTATGTGATGACCGGTACACGACCAGATTTGTGTTATGTTGTAACGAAACTGTCTCAGAAAATGTCCAAACCCACACGAGCAGACTTGAGTATAGCAAAGCACGTGTTGAGATACTTAAAAGGCACACAAGAGTTAGGGTTGATATTTCAAAAATCGAGTCAGCCACTAACACTTAAAGGTTTTAGTGATTCAGATTGGGGAGCGTCTATAGAAGATAGACGAAGTATTACAGGTTACAACTTCCAGCTTTCACAACAAGGACCACTGATATCATGGAAAAGCCGTAAACAACCAACAGTTGCATTGTCAACGTGCGAAGCAGAGTATGTTGCACTCGCTAATGCAGTGCAGGAAGCAAAGTTCTTAATGCAACTCTGTCAAGATATGAAGGTAGGTATAAACGAAGGTAAGTCATTAATTATGATTGATAATCAAGGAGCAATGAACTTAGCCAAGAATCCAGTCCATCACCAGAGATCCAAACATATTGACATAAAATATCACTTCATTAGATCAGAAATACAGAAAGGTAGAATTAACTTAGAATATGTAACCAGTGAAGAAAATATAGCAGATATTTTTACAAAACCAGCCAGCAAAAACAAATTGGAGAAATTTAAGCAGACAATTTTAGGAAAGATATGATAGGAATTATAAAGTACGCATAAGTAAGACCAAACGGTAAGTATCAGTTTAGGAATGCAAATATTTTATACTCAGAACATAAGAGCAAATGGGGGTGTTAAGATATGCTCTCATATTCTTTCCGTAATTAATAAATCATTAATTCAAGTGTAAGTAATTAGATGACTAATGTTAAGAGATACTTATAATGTTATCAAGACAATATTTTTTATAGTTCCTAGTAGTTTTCGGTTGACGTCAATAAACCATATTTGTTATCAGAACCCAAAATAATCTTACGTAAATTTTGTATAAATAGAAGTAGTTAAATCATTGTAAAATAGAACACGTTGAACATTAGATGTGATCGTATAGTTATCTGTAAAGGCTGAAACACACTGGGCAGTCGCTTCAGTCGCGCGTCCAAAGCGAATTGATGCGCACGCGTCAGTCGCTTGAACGCTAGAAACACACATGCAGCGACCATCGCGACTTTTATCGTGGCGTCTATTGCACATGGCGGTGATTTTAGTTTGTTACAGACACAGATATCACTTAGACTTTTTATTTGGGCCTTTATTATAGCTACTAATATATGAATATTTACTCAGTACAAACTACTATGTGGAGAAAAGAGAACAAGCTAGTTAAAACACGCCAATATGATCATAGTCCATTACGCGTATATTGTGGATAATCTTATTCTGCGCACTTAGGTTGTGCATTAGGGTTCCAGTTTGTAGCTCCTATTGTCCCTATTTGATAAGTCATAAAAACTGAAAGATTCCAGTGTGAATTCACTATATATTGCCTTCGTTTTCCAAGGTATAATCTATAAATTTCGTATGATGCTTATGACAGGAAATATGATATGCATTTAGGAAGTTAAAATGTATCTATTGACCAATCAGTGTAAAGCGACTGAAGCGACCAAAGTCAAAAGTTCAACATGTTGAACTTTCGACTAAAGCGACAGCCTAGTGTGTTTCAGCCTTTACATTTGTTGGTGTAAGTCAAATTATAATAAAGAAGAACATGGCTACATCACAAAACCTAACAGCAAACACGTATCAAAACAATGTTGAAACCATATGATGAGTTTTGTTGTCATCTGCTCTGGTTAAATGACGTCTGTGTTAAACCCACATATTAAATAAATCCCCGACATTTTATTTCATCTTTTACAAGCCAAGGTCAGACCACGAGATACTTTATCAAATGCTGACCAATCATGTGTGTATTTTACCTACCCGTTAAAATGTCAAAGTGAGTTGAGAAAAATGTATATTTTGGTATTTCAAGAGTTATATCACTGGATAAATACTGATTTATTTTAATCAGTTTTTTCACATTCGTTGTCATGGGCGGCGTCACATGAAAGCTTGTCAATATCAGCTGGACCTTTCACGTTAATATCCTGTATTTTTACCTTGCATAAAGATACTAGCCCATCAACTGCGTCAGTAATAATGCACTACGCCTTCGACGCAAAATGCAGCATAGTTTCGGCGGTTGATAAAGATCTGCGTCTGTTCTAAACCTCTAGAGCACGTTGTTGCACCAAGGCAACAATCACCAAACGAAATTCGTACAAAGTTTTGAAAAAGTCCGGATCCTGCAGAGTTAATGGGTAAAAAAGCAACAATTTTTAGAGATATATTGTTTTATGCATGTAGCTGAAGCTAAACAGAAAAATGCTTATGGTAATTCAGAATCATTTTCCTGCGCATTCTCTCTCGCTGTAGTTTTCAGTTGAAGATAATCTAACTACAAAAGCAAAACAACTCCGTATTGTCATTCTTCCATGCACTCGAAGTAGGCTTTTTTGATTGAATTACGAACATTCAAAATTTTCATATTCTTCAGAGATTTCTTCAGTCAAACTCTTCAAAACTTGCCACTTGCGTGCGAGTAAAATTAACTTATTTTGCAATCGCAAGCTAACTAGCCAAGTAAAATATTAAATAATAAAAATTTAGAACATATAATGGTTCACCATCTGATCTAAAAAACACCGCATTTTGAAGAACATTAAAAACAACAAGGACATCATTCTACTAAAACCAGACAAAGGAAATGGAGTAGTTATTATGTACAGAAAGGTGCATGCTCAAATATAATTAACAACAAATCTAACTTTAAATCTAAATTATTTCTTTCTTGACTAAGATCAGGTAAAAACAGGTTTTCGATCTTTCAATATTGGCATGTCTTCAATTTAATAATGTCAAGTTTAATGAACAGCAGCTGTTAAATTGATTAGTCCTTACCAGAAAACGTATCAGCAGTTGGCAAAGACCTATCAAAACAATGGTGAAACCTGTGATGAGTTTTGTTGTCATCTGCTCTGGTGAATGGCGTCTGTGTTAAACCCACACCAGACCCACACTGGTTTTAAGTGCTTATGACACCATATTTTACCCTATTGTTTTTTTTTAACTGCATTGCAAAGGTAACCTTAAAATGACTTTATAACTTCTTCAAAAGAATTTAGCTATTTTATTTCTTTTTGGAGATACGTAGCTTTTCTTCAATATGCAAATGACATCGTTATGACATCACATGGCATATTTAGTTTTATGTTGGTAAATGTCGATCGTCCAGGTTGGTATAGTCCTGAGAAGGACTGTTTTTGTTGTTGTCGAAACGTCAGTCAACAACAACAAAAACAGTCCTTCTCAGGACTATACCAACCTGGACGATCGACATTTACAAACACGTAACGATACTCCCGGGTTCAAACCATTTACATAATTAGTTTTAGGAAAAACTAGATTTTGTCGACAGTTAAAGGTTAGACATGCACTGCTACTGTACTTTCTTTGCTGCATTACAAAATATGGACAATAATAACAGTTAAAATCTGTCGTCGAGTTCAAATTTCTAACGGATCAAATTCTGATTTGGCACGGATGTCTTCAAAAATAAAATCTATGAAATTTGATTCAGAAACAAAGCTTCATTGTCCCCAATTTAACATATATATACGTCAAGCACGCTCAATAATCATCAGTTTGGAAAAAATTCTCATTAAAAAAAAAAACATGAAGATGTTCTACAAGACTCTGTTTTGCATCGGTTTCCTATTGGCCACAGTAGATGCAGGTACGAAATAAAGATTTTTCACAAAAATTAATAATCTATTGAAGCTTCGTTTGTAGCTTGTATTGGGATAGTGCAAATAAGACGTTTTTCAACCTCTTTTCACCGCAGAGGCTTCGAGTCTTAAAACACTGTCTGACTGCGCTATCAAATCAATCAAAATTCTAGACCATGCATGTGAGGCTTTTCAGGTTTTTGAAGTTTTTTAGAAGAAAGTCTTCTTGAAGTCGACGTAAACGGGAAGCGTTGATTAAATAAAAGATCAACTTTTTGCAACACCAAATCATTAAATTAACCATATTTTCATTCCCTTTCATAGGAGCGTGGAGAACAATTGCGTCAAATAAGTGCATTGGGGCCAAAGGCAACAAATATGCTGAGTTTACATATTTAGGCCTTTCGCGTTTTATCGTTGCACTGAGATTGGACCATACTTCAGGAAGTGTTGGATGTACTCTTACAACTCACACCAACTGGGGCTGCCCATTACACCCAATGAACGTTATCATAACAGGTAGATAGAAAATGATCAACTAGAACATCTTTAATGATAGTTTTATTGTAAAATAATTTAAGTAAATAAAAAATCTCAACCGTCCATTGTGTTTTAGACCGATAAGAAATTTCTTCGGTCAAACTCAAATAAAAGTAGCTAAAATACAAACGATTTTGACGAAGTCGATCTTCGAAACAATTTTAATAACAATTTTTGAACATTGAGTTAAATACAACGGACGATTAAAATTCAAGGTTCATTACAGGATGTACTGATGAAATGAATTTAACCAACATGATCCATGTAGCTGAGTACCTCATAACTTCGGTAGGCCGTTCACTGGGTATTTGACGTTTTCACTCAACAATGTAAACAGCTTTTAATGTACAAAACAACACTTTCCATTAAAAATAATGCAATTAAATTAATCAAGCCAAACAAATGACATTTATTACTGTCCGCTTTGAAACATAACCTATATAGCACAAAATACAAAATCATGTAATTCATGCGATCAATATTTCTGTTCGTGAATTTCAGACTCAAAAAATAAACGCATATTTCCTGCACCGTCTTTGATTACACCCACCACTGATGGCAACTGGTATAGTTTGCCTGGATACACCGAGAACTCGCCAAGTATCACCTTTGCTGTCCCAGGATATCAATGGTTGTATCATGGTCAGATATTCAGAATCTGGTACGGAGAAGATCTGCTAGGATACACGGAACAAGATAATCAAGGCCGCACTTGTATGAATGTACTCGTTTACACAAAATGAGAATATATATTTACTTATTTTAAAACTTTGCTGTTGTAATCAGGATAAAATAGTACCCTTTTTGTTTATTTTAATTTCATTTTAATAAATGTTGATCTGAATGGCTGCTGAAAAGATTGAAATGAACCGAATTAATTTCATTACACTCATTGCAAATCATACTACATCAAAATTATTGAAAAAGATTTAAAAATATTACGGTTTACAAGACATTGCATAGTCATTATAAGCTGCAATACACGATAAAAGTCATTATAAACTGCAGTCACATGTATTAGGTACAAATTCATGCAGCTTGTGCTTTGATTGAAGAAATTTTTTAATATGATATACAAAATTATTTCTTTCTTGACTAAGATTTGCAATATGTATAAGTTTTAAGGCTTCACGTTATGGCAGACCAAAAAATATTACTCACAACTTCACGATATGGCAGACCAAGAAATATTACTCACAAAGCACACTTGAAGACTTCTCACTCTTCTATTAAGTAATTTTGAATTCCTTAGTTCTTAACTTGACATGCATACTTGAAAATGACACTCACTTATAAAATAACTGCCTTCATGAAGGAAGTTGAGAAATACAATGCTGCATTTGCCTTAGCTAATTTGCCTTTCGTTTGTAATCTGTGAATATATTTACAGTGCAGTTTATGCAATAGATTATTTTACTTTGGATGGTTCAATCATGGATCGAATTTTGGAGGTGGAGCAGTTAGCAGTTATTGATGTTATTTTGATGTCTTCCAAGTAATTTTCTGTGTACATTTAGTTGTTTTTTTTTTAAAATCATTAGTGAATGTATTGAATCATACTGTATGAGATATAGAGCATACAAATACTAAAAGCTGATTGGTCGATGAAAGATAGTTATTCTCCAATACATGTAAAACAACACCAGGGTTAGAAAAGTCTTCCTGCTCACAAACACCACATTTTTTAGGTACACAAAGGGAAAGAAGTCTCAGGGGGGTGATGAGAATGATTATATCTTCCAACTTTTTTTATCAAAATATCGAATACATATTATACAATCAATGCATCTTTACCAAAATCCAGAACGTAAGCATCGTTGAATACTCTATTAGGACTTGCACCACCAAAAAAACAGTAACTTTTGAGAAGGTTCATTGTCATCGACAACAGCGCCATGGCCCATTGGAAGCAGGAAGCGCAACGGGCAATTTTACATCACAGCATCGTGTGAACAACTTTAGTACAAGGTCCCTTATTGTAAGGACAAACTACATCCCAAATACCTGGCTTTTCTAGTCCATGCTTTTCGAGAACAGGATTGACGCGCATTTTTACTGATAACGAAAGATTTACCACCTTCGTTGTTGACTTGTTCACATCACTCGGCCAACAATTGCTTTCCATCCTTTAAACGTCAATGACGTCATCGTAACACTTATTTTGGTAAAATGGACGGTCAGCAAGAAGTTTTGTTTAGCCTGGGTTATTTTATAATAGCTCTATGCCTCGTTATACCTCCACGAGAATTTGTTAGCTTGGGACTGACCATACAAAATCTTTTTTCATCCTATCTTGGTGTGGAAGATGTGCAGTTCGTGTCATTCCATTTGAAGCGAACTTCTATAACTGTAGTTTGTCATTCTTTGATACCTTTAGGTAAATTAAATTCCCTTAGAATTATTTGGTTTTAATTATCTCCTAAATTTCATGTTTTCGAATCTCAGGTTATTACATTGGTTTGGGAATTACGTCTCCAAAACTTCAGTTATTCAATCATCAAGAGAATGGATTATTTGCAAAAGTACTTCTCCTGTTGTCTTTGTTGATCTTTCTGATTGCATTCTCTGTCGTCCTCTATTGGTCAAGAAATGGTTGGTAAGAGTCTACTTAAGTTCTCACTTAGCACTATAAAAACTTAGTATGTCATTATGTTACATTTTGTTATAAATTGATGTTTGATTATTTACTGTTAAGGAAGAATCACCCTTTGGTAGTAATCTTGAGTCACCATGGTAACCCTTGGACCGATGTTGCATCAAGGCTAGACGTGGAATTTCGTAGGATTGACAAGTTTTCTACTATTATTGGTGGAACAAGCGTGTATGTCACTGACTCGTGGATAATCAAATGTTCGGCATATAAAGTTGATGTTGCACACAAACCTGATGTCCACTTGAACATCGTTAAGGCAGAGGACCATGAAATATCGATAGAAACACATTTTGCCGTGCAGTATCTCAACATTGAAGTGTTGAGCATAAACTCTTCGGTGAAGCCATTTGTGATCAGATTGAACTCGCTTGATTACTCCGAACTCAGAGAAAAAATTCAAGCTCCAATTGTGAATGCAAGAAATGTTATCATCCATCAGTCAATCAGTGATCAGTTTGTCAAGGCATTCAAGGAGCAAGTTGAACAAAATGAGCGCTATCACATTGATAGAGCTTCAGAGGTATTACAATAATGCCTGCTCTACTAGAAATTTTTTTAATTTGGACAATATGTTATTGCACAACATGCATGATAACTGGCTGCATTTTGGTGTTTTTCAGATCATAGAATCATGCATCGGTTGCATGGTACAGGATTCAAATGTTAAACTTCAAAAACTTTGTGCATCTTCAGGCAATGAAGCATGTATTAATTGTTTTTGTCGTCCAATGTGGTGTTTGGAGTGTATGGGCAAATGGTTTGCCAGTCGTCAAGACCAGCACTCTCCTGGTGACTGGATGTCATGTACGTCACCATGTCCAACTTGTAGAGCAAAGTTTTGTGTCTTAGATGTCAGTTTACTGGCATAAAAACAGCATGAACCTCTAATTTATGGAACAGGAATATATGGTCATCAGAAATTTATGTTTCAAACGACAAATGCAAAGTAGATTATGCAAATCTGTGAAAGGAGACTACTTCAAACCTGATACGGGCATAGATAAATCTTTAGATATTAAAAAAACTTTTAATTGATTTGATTTTTAAAAATATGCACGCGGTGTACGCACATTTGTCCTTAGCACCAACCTCCCATTTAGCGACATCCCTCATAAATGCCTTCAATGGCACGCGTTCTTGTGTTAACTTATACATAAATTTATGTAACCATCGAGTTAAGACCGTGGTCCATCGCCGAATTATGTAATTAAGATCGAGCAACTCGACAGCGACGTAGCCAAGACGCAAGTTTTGACCCTGCTAAGTAAATTTCAAAACATCGTCATTATTCATTTCTTTAGAAATCTTTGTGAACAAAGTAAAATTTAAATAGCAGGACTAAACTTGCAAACTGGTTACGACCTCAACTCGAGCATCTAGCAAGTATTTACTTCATTAAATGTGTGCAGTGTTCTGGGATTCTAACCCAGAGGCAAAAAAAAATTCATTTTGTTAAAGAGGAACTATAACATACAATTTGAAAACGCATCATTTTAAACAGTCGTACAATCCTTTTCCATTTAAGATCTGATAGTATGAAAAGCGATTTCAAAAAAAAAACGATTTTATCTTGTGCTATCGGTCAATATAAAACTCCACTAACCTTAACGTGGAAACTCCAATTAAATGAAAATTGCCAACATCTATATACATTCAAATCTTCGAACTCAACAAGTTTGTTCTCTGATTGCCACAGTCGGGTTTGTAATTGCAAACGAACAATAAGGTTGTAATTTTTTACTCTGAAGATGACCACCGCTAAGATTGTCGAAACGTCAGTCAACAACAACAAAAACAGTCCTCAGGACTATACCAACCTGGACGATCTACATTTACAAACATGTAACGATACTCCCGTGTTCAAACCATTTACTTTAAGGTTGTAGCAGTATGTAGAACAACAGAAAACTGATGAGGGAACAGGGAAATCCTTTTGTCGTGTGACATTGAACTGAAGAAAGCGGAATACACATTTGTAGGTTTATTATATGTAATGCCCATGGTTCACACGACTGAAATATGCATGAACGAAAAGACTTTTGTTTCTTTCTATCGAAAGGTTTAGAAAGACAAAAACAAAGGAATTTCTATTTAAATATTCTTTTGTTCTTCTTTCAGCTTATGCCTAACTCTTTCATTATGCTTGCGCTTATCTATTCTAGTTTCACTCTAGTTTCACAACTTTCATTCAACTGTTTTCGCTTGTTTTCTTCGAAACGTGTACAGTTCAGTACAGTTAATGCTTTCATAGCAAAACTACAAGGTTTTTTTTTGCATGCCAGTTCCACTGTTCCAGCGATTTACATACCTTTCTCTTATCCACTTCAATTTTGGACACACGAAAGTAATCGGATACTTAACACAATAGCGAGTTAACTCACTTGATTCTTTTGGTACGATTGTGGGGAAAAATATTTCTCCAAGAGAAGGCATAAACACAGCATGGTAAACAGTCTAAAATGACCGACTTAAATGGCCAAAATGATACACTGATAAGATGAGTAAAAAGATTGATCTGGGGGAATGGATATAGGATAGCAATTGATAGCAGGTGACATCTATTGATATAAGTCGAACAATAAAGATGGCTCGCTGTCACTAAAAATTCAAGTACGTTGTTTTGGTTTTGTTTACAGTTTTGAAGCTTTTCTCCAGTTGTTCAATGCACAGATAATTCATGGCTGTGGTTTGAATTGCAAAGGATTAAAATTTAGCAACCTTATTTTCTTTTGTGACCCAAAATTACATGCACAGGCAGTAGCTATGCACAACTAACGATGGAGCAAGAAAAGTCTAAAAATGCAAATAATAAGGAGAAAGAAGACTACTTTAAAGATGTGGAAAATAATATTACTCTGTCAGATTATCGAGACATTTCGGCGAAGGGCAATATAGAGAAGAACAATTATTTCTCAAAACCTCAACCATCATCCGAAGTAGGAATGGAAGACAAGTTATTTATAGATGACAACATTGGCCGGTTGAAAGATGGAAAGAAAGAAAGTGAGTCGGTAAATATATAGTTATTTATCTAGTATCTGGAGCCGTGGAGCGTTTATAGCACTGGTTTATCGATTCTTCTGACGTTAGCTTGCATGTACATTCATATATTGCATTTTTGAACGATCGTAATTGAGCATTCAATTTTTTATAATTAATAGTGTGATTTTCATGTATTTGTCATATAACGTTTATTCCCAAACAATATCTTGATGCATGCTTGTGGCCAGTTGCCATCTAAAAATTTAAAAAAACCGCTTTTCTAGCAATGCTTGAAAAGTGCAGATTGGATAAGTCGTCAATTGAATTGCAATGGATAATGATTGAAATTTCACAATCCTAGTTTTCAGTCTATGAAGACCTTACAAGAAAAGTATTGGTATTCTTAGAGAATGGTCCCGAATTTGAAAATAATGGTTGAGTCTTTTTAAAGATACTTTTATGGGTCTCATTCTGTTTTTCCCATTTAGATAATAAAGTTTTGCTTAAGACATTAGTTGTTTTCAATTAGGAAATTTTGCTTTCTAGACAAGGCAAACAACTGGTCACTACGGCAAATGGAACCTATATCAAAGGAAAAAAGTGATGAAGGATTGTTAAACTCTGAAAAGAATCTTGTGTTACTACTAAATGATAACAAAGTAGATAGTTTAAAATCTGCCAGACAAGACAATGCACATGATATTGATATGGTTAAAAAAAAGAAAAGTAAAGATTTTAAAGAGATTTCTAAGCAATCACAAGATCACCTAAAGACATCACCTAGACATCCTTTTTTCTCTCATACCGAAACAAAACCTCTTGAACATGAGAAATCCAGTCTATTGGATGGTGATTTAAATTTACTTTTCCCAAAAGACGTGATGGCAGACAAGTTGTTTGATTCAGCTAGAAAAATAAGCCATAAGTCTGTCTCATTTGAGGATACTGAAAATGATCACAAAGAGAAAATCAACATGAATTATAGTACAAGTTCAAACATTAAGAAACCCAAACCTGAAATATTACCTCGAAACAAACTACTTCTGCATAGTGATAGGAGGAAGTCTTCAGATAAGGATGCTTCTAACCATTCAATGGTTGATAAAGAAGCAGAAAAATTTACACCATTTCTTGAGTATGATACTAGCACAAAACAAGAGCATACTGACCATGACAAGTTAGAAGACAAAGTTCTTATGCGAGAGAGGAGAAATATTGCATTAGAGAACACTAATATTGGAAAAGGAAGTACATCAGATATGTTTGAAGAACATGTCACTCCCAAAAATGATCATGTGATAGCAGGTAATACTGTGATTGGCTGGAATATTGAACAGGAGAAAAAAATATGTTCTTTAATAATGTAGTCATGGAAGTATCATACAGAAATACAAGTTAGCTGGTTTTATTTGAGTAGTGAGTTGGGTCATGTAATTATGTTGAAATGTTTTCAAGGTGTTGAAATGTTTTAAGGTGTTGAAATGTTTTCAAGGTGTTGAAGTGTTTTCAAGGTGTTGAAATGTTTTCAAGGTGTTGAAATGTTTTCAAGGTGTTGAAATGTTTTCAAGGTGTTGAAGTGTTTTCAAGGTGTTGAAATGTTTTCAAGGTGTTGAAAGAAAGATACGGTCACCAATGAAAGCACATAAAGCTGTGGAAGAAATGACAAAATCTCCTCACCGGTACGAATTCCTCTACGAAAGTAGGGACTCCCCTCAAACAGATCCTTTTTTTAATTACAAAGAAAGAGTAGCCACCATAACAAACTTGCAAAGTGCTGTGGATGAAGACGACGTCGTTGGAGGCCGATCCAACTTCACCTCATCTCGTGTGATCAGAGACGCAGTGTACTCCCAATGGTTACAAGAGAAAGAGAAAAAAAAGAAGGAAGTTCACCGTAAGAAAGTGGAAGAGAAGAGAAAAGAAGCTGAAAAAATTAAGGCAAAACTAGAGAAGGAAGTAATGGTATGTACGAGGTTTGTAGATATGCTTCATTTTTGTTTCTAGAGTATGAAATGGTTGATTTATTTTCGCAAGGCAAGGAAAGCTTTCGAGGCGTGGAGCTCCAAGAAGGATGACATCAACAAAACAGATGCGAAGAAGAAAAAGGAGTTGAAAGACAAGGAGCTGGGCGAGAAACGAGAAATGATTGTGAAAAAGCAGGACGCGAAAAAATTCTTCGAATCTTGGAAGAACAAGAAGGACGAAATTTTGAAAGAAAATTTCAAAGAAAAGAAAACGAGAGCGCAGGAAGAAAAACGAAAGAAAACAGAAGATCACGTGGAGAAGGTCGACATCGCAAAGAAAGCCTATGAGAAATGGTAGGGAAATTGATCAAATGATGTATTTATAAAGATTTCTTTCATTAGTCGACAAGTCATGACATGCGCATTTCGCTCCCAGAATACATTTATATCTACATTACTACCTTGCAACCAACTTCCTATCTTCTTATCAACTACGTATAATTGAAAGAGAGATCATTCGTTAACGTGACCGAGTTATCCACTCCACTTCAGGAAGTCGCAAAAGGATGAGAAGTTAAAAACGGATGCGCGAACTACTCGCCACGTGGAGAAACTGAAAGCGAGCTACGAAAAAGAGATGGAGCTCGAAAAACGCCAAGAATGCGAAAGAACTTTTCAGGAGTTCTTACGAAAGAAAGGGACCGGTAAGAGACCTCCGGCGAGTCCCACTTTGACTCAAAGGTAAGTAACTTCTTATTTAGTCGACAAATGAATATGAGTCTAAAATAGTGCATCTCTGAGTACTCCAAACGCTTTTTTTATGACAGGGCTTGGTGTCCGGGAGGGCTTACCCGAGGTACGAACCTGATACCGGAGAAGATTCAACCAGTGATAACCCCTCCTAGATTAAACAGATCACGTTCATTCTCTGGACTGACCACACGAACCACGGTACGTAATGCCTGTCTTATATAGTATAAAGTGCAATTACCAATGAATACATTTCTAAAGTAAATGGTTTGAGCCCGAGAGTATCGTTACATGTTTGTGGATGTAGATCGTCCAGGTTATTAGAGTTCTGAAAAGGACTGTTTTTGTTGTTGTTGACTGACGTTTCGACAACCTTAACGGTAGTCATCTTCAGAGTCAACTGACGTTTATTCTTCACTGGAATCTGAAGATGACTACCACTAAGGCTGTCGAAACGTCAGTGAACAACAACATCAACAGTCCTTCTCGGGACTCTACTAACCTGGACGATCTACATCCACAAACATAAATACATTTCTCTTTGATAGAGTTCGTTCGGTGCAACAAAGCAATTCAACAGAGGATGGTAATGGCGCTTTACGGTTGGAAGGATATCGTGCGTTCAGAAAGAAGTCCATGTTGTACCTTGGTTAGACATACGTCCGAGCAACAAAAACATGGTAAAAAAAAAACAGTGTAGAGTATTTTGCCATTTGAGAAACCTATTTATTTACAATGTTAAATCCTAAAAGAACTTTTCAAATTAGGTAAACTATAAACTCTTCAAAAAAAAAAAGACTGCAAGTCAATACAAAGGGCACATGTTTTAAAACACGCCATTTTAAGAAGACTGTAAAAGGCACAAAAAAAACATATAGGTATGTTGGTTGGTTAAGACTACCGTTGCGGTCACAGTTAGCAAAACATGAGAGAAAACACATCCTATCTTATGATATTTAACGGCAAAAACATTTTAAAAAGAAAACTCTGATGTATTATTTAAATGCAAAGAGTTTTCAAACGATTAAATTTCACACAAATCATATTCCTACCTACTTCGGGATAAACTATAAAAAATGCCATTTATTTGGTCCGTCTTTCCGTACCCATGTCTTTGTTCATTTTTCTATATCTATCCAACCACTCGTCCATCAGCTGACTAACAAGCGCTGGGGCAGGCGTAGCTTGTTGCTCAGCAACCAATATACCAGTGTTGGTGATATGACAGTCCAGCCACTCGCGTAACAGTTTATCCTCGTTGCCAAGCTAAAGAGGATGGCTTTATTAGTAAACAATGGAGACGCAATATAGTTATATATAACACAATGGGCTTACCTCCGCACCCTTGAGAAAATGCACAGGAAGTAAATTAAACTCGTTATCAACAAGGGGTAAATATGTCACATGGCAATCATCACTGTTCTCAATATGAGCACCCGCACCAACTGCACAGCGTTGTTCAGTCTCCATGGCAACTAATGCAGAAAAGTGCCCTCTGGTGTATCCCAGAGCAATCGGACTCTTCCAACAGAAACTCTTTTCCCATAATAATGGTAAGTAAACACCTGATACAATTACAGTGAATTCAGCAAAATTGTAATGCCTCATGCTCTTGATACCATTGGAAGTTGAACAACTTTTGCAAGTTTTCTCAAAATGTATAATTACCTTGAAATCGAGCTAATCCCAATGTTTCGCCACGATAACTACGAACAAATTTCACACCATATATTATGATAGGCCTTCGAATGATGTGTGCGAGGGCAAACACATGCATCTGCTCTAAAGATGCACCAGACTGACTCGCAAGGGAGAGGACCGATGCCCAATCCTGATCCCATTGATCTTCATCCAATGTAAACTGCATGTTTGTTGCTTGCATTTCTTCCCATTCTTTCCAACGAGGAAAAAATCTGCACCACAAAAGCAAGCATTTGAAAGCTGGATTCGCAACACTATTACTCAATAGCAAAGAAATATTTCAACAATCAAACTTTGTACCTGGTTGAGCATTCGCTTAAACTAATGTACAATGCATTTCTAAGTGTGCCTTCACGATCAAATATACCCCAAGTTGCTTGAGATATTGAGTCTAACAGACAATCTCCGGCTGATCTGTTCCACAATGCATAAATGCGACTATCCAATTGATTAGTGATCTCCACACTCCAATTGATTATAGATTCCAGTTCCAAAACTTTTATTTAAAAAGGATAAATATTGAACAAATAAGCATCTATATCCCAAACTGTACTTAGTTTCTGATGTTAATCATGATATGTGTTGAAAAGTAGCATGTAATGACTTGATTCATAGCAGTCTTAAAGAGATTGTGCAAATTGCACTTGTAGTTATGTGAAAACACTGGGAAACAGATACTTTATATAAACACAAACCTCTCTGCGCATTCTGATCAACAATTTCATCAAGTGAGTACTGTTGAATTGCACCAGGAAAGTTTTGAAGTTCTTTAAAAGAGAAAAATTTGCAATCAAAAAAATGAACGTACATATGACTCTTGGTGGAATAATGAATAAATACCTCCAGGTAAAGTGAAAGTCACCAAATCAGTATAGAAATAACATGGCCAGTCTGCTTTTCGCTGTCTCAACCCTTGCATTGCTTGCTTACGTACACTTGCAGCAAGATCAGGGCTTACGTGGCATGGCATTCTCTTAAATGCTTTTCGAGAAACTTCTTGAGGCAGCATAAGTGCAAGTAGATCATCATGATGATGTCTAACAGCCAAATGTACCAAAGTATCACCCACTTCAAACACTCCAGGGCGATTCAACACCAATAATTCATCAGTTGTTAACTTTCTAGTTGCACTACCTCCCGATGACAAGTATAATTTGACAGATGAAGGTTCGCCTTCAACAACAGCTATACAAGCACTTAGCCACATCCAATCGGACTCTTTCAAGTTATTCTTAATTTGAGACATTTTAGAGATGTTGGTTGTTGCAAGACCATAGATTATTTGCTCTTCGTCCTCGTTAGCAATTGACTGCATTATAGCTTCACTAAAGCTTGATATAGATCTCTGCCGGCCACTGTTTTTTACATTTAACACATTCTGTGAGTTTTTTGTCTTTAAAATAGCTGATTCATCAGTCTTTGTCTTGGGACAGAAGCACAATGAGCATTTCTTAGATTTATTCCAATTCTCAAAAGTACATCTTGGACATATCCATTTTTGCCCATTTTTTGAAATTGACTTGTTTTTTTCGTTGTTATTAGCAGTAATATTATGTTCCTCGGCTTGCTTTATTTCCAGTGAGTTGATCGTTTGAGAGGGAGGAGCAAAATCATTTGGTCGTTCACTTTTGCACATGACACACTTTAAGGAATTTTCCCAATTAAGGTAAGTGCAAGATGAACATGCCCATCGTCCTTGAAGTAAATCATCGCTTTCGCCAGACGAAACAGGAAGCCGTGTATCCTCTTCTATCAAGTCATTTTGCCTTTCATTAAAATGGCTTTCACCTCGTTTGCGTGAACACAATGTACATTTAATAGCAGCGGGGAAGTTGTCGTACGTACAATAGCTACACGACCACCTAGCACTTGGATCAATCTTTGGCATTTTATCGTCGTCTATTTCCTTTCACATTTCAAAAAGAACGAATTTCAAGACAGTTTGTTATTAACTAACCTGTCCCGAGAAATATCGCACCATTTGCAATAGATATAACAATATCACAAAACTGTGAACATACTGAAAATGTCAACACAACTTGTTCACACAATCTACTTCTTTGAGTTCTTTCTGGTTTTCCCCGACAGCAGACGCTTACGTATGTCTCATGGGAAGTTCTTAAAGAGAAAAGCCGTCATCGAATGTCATTATTACCTTGGAAAAACAAACGCAAAGATAGAAAAATGAATTTCGTTTACTCGCCATAAGATTCCATTATTATTATTTTTGTCATGTAAGATTTACAATTAATTTAATGGAGCATGCGCACAAAGCTAATATGCCTATATTATGACGTAATCCGCATAATCATATCAATTTTTACATTCCCCAGCACTAAACGACAAAAGCGACGGAATTTTTATGAATTTTTGAATTTACTTCAATATCAATGAAAAGGCTTCTTTCACAAGTTTAATTAACACACCAAATTTGGTGAATTTAATTCACCAAATTATGTGTCATGTGAGTTTAGCGTGACCATCAGAGAGAATCCACATCATGCATGTGTAATTATTACCTAATCCTAACAAAGTCCGTAAACATTATTTGAAGTACACACAAAGAATAAAAAAACTTTCTCCACATGATCACTTTCCACAATTTATTAGACCAACACAGCCCCAGGCAGTTTTTACATCATGTCAACTCCTATCATTTACAAGAACTAATTACAGGAGACATTAGCTGCTACATATGTCATTATCAATAAAGTTTGACAATTTAACTTCGCTTGACTATTTCCTCATTTACTTTGTCAAAATTACTATTCTCACCATATATAATCATGAGACACATAATATCAGAGATTTGTTAAGGTCAAGTCATGTCAGTGGTAGTTAGTCCATAATTATCAATAATGCAAGAAATTTTGTTGAAGATGATTCAAAAACAAAAAAAGGTAAGCATGCATTGATAATCATACACAAATTAATTTTACTTTGCATTACGACATGAAAATGTGTACAAAATTATGAAAATTGAAACATAAAAATAACACGAATTTGAATCATCACAACAAAATTCTTGCAATTACTGTATATTTTTTTCTTCTTCTTCACTTCATCTTCAATCAATGAAATTTTTCTGTTTGTGAAATGTGTTTATGTTGAGTCAAGTTTTCAAGTCTTCAATATGTAGAATACATTAAAAGCCAAAAGCTTCTTGTTCATCATCTTCATCATCATCATCGTTTAAAACGTCTGTTCATGTTAGTATCTCCGAATCATGATGTCAGTACTAGCATTCTTGATGGAAATTTTCATAATTTTTCAACAAGAAAATGGTGATTTGGTGTTGTGCAATAGATTGAATTGATTATTTCTTTGATCAGCCAAAACAAATTCCAATGAATTGCAAATCCATTTCAAGCCCTTTGTTAAATGTAAGAAATCAAGTCATTGCCAATCTTTATGAAAGTTTCACAGGTTCACTTGTCTCGTGAGAGTCATTCAATAGTCTTTCTTTGCTCGCTTCTTGTTTTTGCCAGGTTGTTTCTGTATGTGCATGTATGTCAAAAATGTTCGTGTTTTGTAGTCTCAGTCTTTTCATGGTAGCTCTTGTTAGTGCCATTTGATAATTTGAATGCATTATAAGCCATGCAATTTTAGACAAAGTTGTCAATGTCTGTAAAATGTTATGTTATGTTTACAAAGATTGCTTCAATACATTACTTGTAGTGTAATGCTTCTTGTTGTTTTTTGTTGTCGCTGCTGCTGTTGTAGTAGTTGTTGTTATTTCCCCAGCTGTTTTTGCTAGAGCTGTTTTTGCTAGCAATGCTTTTGTCCTATTTTCCCCCAGCATTATGACTTTGTTATTAGTTTTTGCGAGTTAAGTAATAAATGTGTCATTCATTTCGCATTAAGCCCACAAAGTAGAGGCAAGTGCATGAATAAAAAATTCAAGTGTTTGTATTAAAGTCTAGTGTGTCAAGTGATTAAAATGACAGATGACAACTGCCATCGTTGACTGGGTTCCGAGGGGTCGTCAAGCCCTTACCAAGAAGGTAACCCTGCGGTCAAAGATGTAGATTACTTCCTTGTCTGTCTCCAGGACCTTAAAAATCAAAAACATTTTTGTTAAAAATTTAACTGCCCAATCTCAAAGTGCCACATGTCATCAAGTTATCAACTTCAAATGCATACTTTTTTCAGGATTCACACGATGTTCGGGAACTTCTAGCTTTTTTGCCGATATTTTTCAAATCCTGCAACACATTGAACACAAAATTACACAAATTTAAACAACGCAATAAGCGAGGTTTTTGGTAAAACAAGAAATAAAATATGACCAGATTTATTTAAGATTTTCGCAAGATGTACAAATATTATTTTGATATAAAAATACTTACACCAACAGACCAACTTGAAAATATAATTTCAACTTTCATTTTCAGTCAACCCGACTCAACCGTTGTCAGTGTCAGTGTGGCGTGAAACAAGTCAGATGTCTACGACACAAGTCACTCTCCCACGACTGTAGGTTCATATTTATAAAAGTTTCAAAGGATCACAAATGAAAGCTCTCTTTTGAAATCCTATTTTAGCTATAAATTGGAGAAAGTAGAAAAAATCCCCAGTATGGCAGCCAAATTTATTCGTTCCCAGGACTCCGGGAAGGTGGCACCACTTTCTTTGCCCACATGACTTTGCCAGGGAGAGACGAAGAACAATGGAGGAGACCAGCACTAGTTTGTCCATTGATTGAGTTTATTCCAGTTTATTCATACGAATATTTCGTTTCTTTTCACTATTTTACATAAAATCGCCTGTTTTTCTTTAATGCAAATAGTTTCCACAGGAATGAGCAAATAGTGACAACAACGCATTGCCAAGGGCTCTGATTTGCAAGTTTGTGCAACCAAAACGTAATGTTGCAAAAACGGAAAAGGAAGTAGGTCAACAAAAAAGTAAATATACTTCCGGTTTGCTGCTTTTTTCACCAATTATTACTTATTGCACAAATACTTTCAGCACGAAGCGCACAATTTAAGAGAAAAGCGAAAGAAAAACGGCATGGCAGCAGCCGTGCAAGCTTTAGATGAAATTATAAAAGAATACTTGTTGTTTCGTGGATTTGCGAACACATTAAAAACGTTTGAGGCAGAACTTAAAATCGACAAGGACAAAAGTTTTCGAGTAAGTTCAGATTTTCTAAAAACGACAACGTGTTTGTACTTGCACGGTGGTCGGTTCACAAACAATCATGCAAAACTTTTAAACCTAGTTTAAAACCTTATGTATGGCAAACTAACCGCAAATCGGTTTGTCAACAAATGAATATTAAATACATAAAAATGTCTTAAATTATTCATTATTAGTTATTTGTTACATTGATGTGTAAGTAATGATATTGTAACAATCCGCATTATGTAAATGATTATTCCCATAGTAAATAACAATACTATACCCGGCCTTTATTGTGCAATATAATTGTTTTGAAACCAACACTGTCTTTGTTTCTTACAAATCATTTCAGGTGAATAGAATTGTGGAACAGTTTATGAACTATGTGCATATTATTCTACAAGGAATTGGGAATATTGGACTTACTAAAAAAGACGGTTTTCTCTCGCTTGACAGCATGCATTTGTAATAACAATGCACAAGTTGGAAAGGTGTCTCTATCGATTTTATTTGGTGAATGCTGCATGCGCCTAGAATGGATAAGGTTACAGAATTTTTCAAAATGTCCGCAGAACTTCAGAATCATGCAGATTGGAAGGAGGGTTTGGTAATCATCTCATATCAATAGTGCTTCTTGTCACCAAATTAATATTTATGTGATTTTCTAATTTTAGCTCTGCCATTTCTTAAGAATCCGAACAAAATCCTACTTTGAAATGTATTTTCTCCTTTGAAGGGAACGCTCCACTTTCACTCCACAATTTCCTTAATGCCATATTTCAAAGTATGCTTATCCTTGAAACTAAACTAGAATATCCTTATACTCATAAAGCTGTACCATTAATGAATTTTTATCAGTTTAAAACTGAATGCGAAGGTATGAATCCTTAATAATTATAAAGCCTTGCCTCGCTTTGCTTAAATTTGATGCAGAGAGAATAATTTCAGATAAATTAAAGCAAGATAATAAGCAATTACAAAGGAAAGTTGCAACATTACAACTACAGATTAATTCATTGCAGGAGAACAAATTGATAAATGTCACAGATGTTGAAAATCAACAAAGGTTTGTACAATATATGCTTATTAATTTCCACAATTTGAAATTCCTCTCGATCAAAATGCCCAACATTGATTATTTTAGTATTAATTCAACTAAAACGACAGAGAAATATGCAATGTCAATCCCAAAGACTCCTCCAACAAAAAATAAGGAGAATCAGGAAAAACACAAATCATTACCTTTGCCCAAAGATTTTGAAATCTTGCCATCAACTGACAGAAACATGAAATTAGATGTGGAAATGAAGACATTTGATATGCCTCCACAAAACATTAAATTTGATAGAGGCAACACTTCAAGTCCAGTGATCTCAATATGATACATCGAGGAAATGACTTTGAAAAGGATGTTGAAAAAAAGCCTGAAATTTTGAACGATGATGATTTTGAGAACATTCACAAAGACATGCAGTCTTCAAATGCTGAGAATCTTCAGAAACTAGTGGTAAAAGAGACTCGAAGTCTTTCTTTCTCTACGAAGAACTCTCCGCGTTACACACCCGGCCTAAGAAGAGCAAAGAGCACTGTGTCTAAACCACAAAAACGTTAGTACGAGTTTGTTTGCTCTTTTTGAAAATAACGTCATTTCGTTATAGACAGAATTATTCGAAAAAGTAGTTGCAAATTACTGAGTTTCGTTGCGAGTGCAACATGATGGTTAGGATGTATTAATTTCTGTTACTCAATATAGGTACGACAAATTTCTTGTTACAGTATTTGCGCGACTTTTTTAATCACGAATTCTACTATTATAGAGGAAATGAAGATTGCAGGCAGTCATTTTGAAAATACGGAGGTAACCGAAGGTAATCTTCACTCCTCCTACTACTTTGGAGTATTTAACTTCGTAATTCATTGAACGATTTTTTTTTCAGAACGCGAAACGCCATCTTTTATAATACTCGGCGAGGTATAATCACTTTAACACAACAATTTACCAAACATGTTTGTAAATGTAGATCGTCCAGTTTGGAAAAGTCCTGAGAAGGACTGTTTTTGTTGTTGTTGACTTCGACAACCTTAGCGGTAGTCTTCTTCAGAGTCAAAAAAAAAAAAAATAAAAAAAAATATCACCAAACCTCTGTAAAGACGACGGTGAACTTTAACCATGCGGCGAATCTCTTTTGTAGGAAAAATTTTCGGAACACAATTCGGCAATTGTTCAATGCGATTTTTCTCCAAACGGTCAACTAGTTTCGAGCCTGGATACAGATGGAATAGTAAAGTAAGATCGTTAGTCTTTACTTGACTATAAGCATATGTACCATAATATTATCGGCTAGTGTTAGTCGAGTCACACTCATCTCATACCTAGGATTTGGAAGCATCAACCGATCATATCGACAGTTGCCACAGTGATGTTGAAAACATCGATATTATCTGCTGAATGGGCGTCAAAATCGGATAAAGTAGTAAGTATAAGCTTAAGTTTAAGCTACGGACCGAGCCGAAACAGTTTTTGTTGAATTTGTTCAAAAACCGTTCGAACATATTTTCAGTTACTTATGGGAACAAGCAACGGTAAGATACGTTTCTATGATACGGAAACGAAGATAACACGTTGCGAATTGTCTACGGATTCACAGAATTCGAGGTAAAATTTGCAGAAATTTTACACTTGTAGTAGTAATGATAGATGACTTAGCTCACATACTACGTCAACACATTCGTACCCAGTCCTGACCGACGATATTTTTCCAGGATCGTAGCGCTTGCGTGTAATCCATCTGGGACGTCCTTCGTATGTTCGACCAATAATGGCATGGTTAAGTCAGCAAGTTTAGGAAGGATGCCGTCGTTTTCCAAAAATTTATCATCCATGGAACCCGACAAGTCGGCTCTCTCAACAAATAATGTCAATCGCGGTGCATTGTTTCTGTGGGACCTAAAAACGTTGAAATTTGATGTATGTTTTCTGCAAGTATTCATACCATTCAACCCCCCAAGAAAGTTAATTTTGGGGGCGGGGGTAGTTAATTGATATATTCATTTGTGGCTGACTTGCTTATCAAAGAAATCAGTCGTGCACAACTGAGTATATTAATAACCCCACCTAGAATATCATTAAATCATTTGTCGTTGATTTAGCGTAATTTGCCCATTAATGGTTTTCAAACTCGTATCAACTGCATCGCTTACAACCACAACGGGACATTACTGATAACCGGGGGTGCAGACGGGATCATCCGGATTTACGGTAGGATGAAGCAACTTTAGGTCGAGGTACATCAGTGTACCTTTTGAAGATTTCTCGCAGCGATGCTCTGCCATGAGCTGGCCACGGTCCAGTTTTCTCAGTACAGTTCAGTGTGGACGAGACTTCACGGGCAAGGATGACCAGGTTTGTGTGGAGAAAAATAGAACGTAAACGTAATGATAACTTGAGCCTTGACTTACTTCGTGTGTTTTGTAGTTATTTCAATGGAGCTTACGCAAAATGGGTCCGAAGACAGCCATTTTATCACCACACGTTGGTATAAGCGGTCCACGTGACTATTACAAGCCTGTGACGTCTACGTCTATGGTCGAACCAGCGGTATTTAGTCGGTTGTTCTCCTTCAATTCCACTGGAGATCACCTGTTAACTTGTGCACCTTCTTCGGCGATTATTTACGAGGTGTGTACGTCATACATGAAATTCACTCAGAATATACACCGACTTCAGTTTATCTGTTTTGTTGTTGCAGCACGATAAAAGCAACAGCAAGTTATCGCGTCCCTTTTCAATTGGCAAATCGAAATCTCACGTGACAAGCGTTGACTGGAATACCACAGGAGACTGCATTACCTGTACGACCGGTGTGTAAGCGGTCAGGTCTGTTTGACGACTCTGCTACGTGACAAGCGTTGACTGGAATACCACAGGAGACTGCATTACCTGTACGACCGGTTGTGTAAGCGGTCAGGTCTGTTTGACGACTCTACTACTACGACGTGACAAGAATTTTCAGTAATGGTAGGAAAAACAAAATGAGATTAAGCTGCCCATACCGTTTAATCATCTAAATTATAGCTCATGTTATGGTTGTTAAATCTGGGAGATCAAGAAAATGTATATATATTCGTATAAATAAGAAATGATCAGCCCAACGTTTAAATACTACAGCACACTGTATGCTAATGTACCTCTAGTTTTAATTTCATTTTCTAATTCATCATTTTAATAAAGTTGTTTAGCGATCATAAATTTTGTGGTGCTTATGTTGTCTAGTTACTTATGATTAGAGATTGTTATCGTTCAGTTCATTTTAATTATATATCCAACTGGTAGACAAAGTAAGGCTTCTCTTGCCACGAGTTATAGTTTATTTGTGAAAATTTAATGTCTTATGGCATAAGACAACATAGATAGTATTCACCAGACAGGTATAACTTTACCATAGATAACATAGTATTTGCCAGACAGATATAACTTTACCATAGATAACATTATTTAAAAGACAGATATAACTTTACCATAGATAACATAGTATTCACCAGACAGATACAACTTTACCATAGATAACATAGTATTCACCAGACAGATATAACTTTACCATAGATAACACAGAATTCACCAGGAAAGTATAGCTTTACCAGCAGCTTCACCAACATATCGCGAATTCTAGCGCTTTAAAGTAGCAATTGAATATTGCTTGAGACCTCTCGAGATCTCGCAATACACACCATGTTTTTTTGAGCACATGGAAACACTTCAATGCTCTTGCACAATTTATCTGCGTAAAATAACGTTTTCCTCTAGAGTTCCGATGCTTTCTGTTTCGTTCAGCAAAACAAAACGCCACCATACAATTCATCACTCATCACAATTCAGGCAATTAGACCGCGGTCAATGAAGGTGACACCTCCCTCCACCACCCTAAGATTTTCCATGAAAGAAAGACCTCGCTTTGTACGTTATCTGTCGGCTGGGACGTCAACACCATGAAGACTTTTTCCTTAATTTCTTTTCGAGTTCTTTCACAGCACAGTTCTCTCCTAAGTTTATGAAAAAGTCTCGGGCTTCTTGTTCGACGTTTCTACGAGTAAACAGCACGGTGATTATTTCTTTTTGATTGCTACAATTCACCCCCGCATCTATATTATAGTCCGGATAGTAATTGCTCGTGGAATCTTCGAGCTCAGTGAAGTTGAATTTGTATAAAACCTCTCTGGAATTGATAAATCGCGATCGTGTCCGTGCGTCCTTATGTATGATAACCGTGTTTTCGCACTGAAATAATCCTCGCCGACGCTCGATTTCGAATCTGGAGTATGAAGAATTAAAAATCATGTTCGTGAGTCAACAGTCATGCCATGATGATATATCATTTCAAACTTAATGTTATAAAAAATTGAAAAATGTTTTAAAGGGATCGATCATCTTAAAACGCTATAACCATGGCTATGGCAATTGCATTAACGGGGAAGGGGGATGTTTTGCCCATCCACAATATTTTTCAAGGATTTTCAATTGAAAAGAATAGTTATTGTATTAAAAGTCGAAACACTTGAACATTTTCAGTTCAAAGATAACTTACACAAACAAACAATGAATTCACAAGAAATTCATTTATTTATCATTTTATCATTTACATTTGACATATTTAAATATATTATCATTTGAGCCCCATTGTTCATTGTTTAAATTATCATTTAACTCATTTTCCGGTAGCCCCCCCCCCCTCATCTCGTCAAGTGTCCACACTTTCCCGCATGTCTGCACTCAGTATGTTATAAAACACAGCACCAAGCTTCACATAAACCCCCATATCCCGTCAAGTGTCTACACTTTCCCGCACGTCTGCACTCAGTATGTTATAAAACACAGCACCAAGCTTCACATAAAATCATCCTTTTCGTGATTGAAAAAACACAAAAAGAGAACTTACCCGGTGAGCCTGCAATGAGTACGTCATTAAAAGTTTTCTGTCGTTTCTTGTTGACGGGACAAAAAAATGTCCCATTGACGCACAGCAGATCTTCGTCATCGTCCTCGGAATCATTGTAGCCGTTTGCTTCTTGGACGACGTCTCCGAAGTAAGTTAAAATTTCGTTGTCAAGTAAATATTGGCCTGCATACAAACGAAGCAAAAAAAAAAACACTTCCTACAATCTGTTGAGAACCAGTGAATGTTTCATGTTTTAAATATTTAAAGGAGCATGCAAGGAGATTTTACTGAAGCTGGTCAAAAGCAAAAAAACAAACAAACTGTTTTGTGTACTATATGCAAAAACTTAAAAATAAAATCTAGGAACGTTTAAATCTCACCGAACACTTTACTGCTATCTGCATCGCATCCGTTTGAACGGCACAGAATCCCAGACCTAGATTCCCTCTGTAACGAATTTGATCTGAAACGCACTCCACAAAACGATAGCCGCTAAAGTGCGCGTTCTCCGAATGCAGTTCGATCCGTACATCATTGATAAAAACATTTGATGGATTTCGCTGGTAACGGTGCCTGGAATTTCGACCGCTTGTAAATGTTGAAAGACCCTATAATGGCCATATTATACAAACCTTAACGAACGTCGAGGGTAATAATATTATAGGCAGAAACCATTTCTAGATACTCTATATTTCATATAGAAGTTTTTCCTGTCGAAAATAAAAGGTCTTCTTTCCAAGCGTATTTTAACATGCTAGCTTATTCAAATGGAAAAAAGAGCGCGAAAACAATCGTGACAGACAGTCCAAACCTCTTTGGGTCTTACTATCTTAAAAGTACACACCGTCCTTTCCAAAGCATCGTACATCTGAATCAGCGTTCTGGACGGTAAAGTATAGTAGCTCAGTGATTGAAATACGGAATTCTATGGTGAAAATAAGAAGCAGGATTTAGTTCAGCTAAAAATGAATTACCAATGCAGTAACGTTAAAGTTAGTAAAATGCAATGCACAATCGTTCGTGTATTTGCCTGTTTTAAGTTGCACTTACGATGTTTGTTGAAATAAAAGCAAACGAAACGAAGTCTTCTTCAGCACGAAATATATCAATGAAGTGCTACAAGAAAATGATTTATGGGTAACAGCTGATTTATTCGTCTAAGATTTAATCCGTATACAAATTTAGGGCAACTTTTGCATCCGGGGAAGTACTCCAGGGTCATTTGGACTTTTTCACCAAAGTTCAACTCTAATGAACATAAAGTGTGATGAATAAACAGTCAAGCTTACCGAAACGGCCTCTAACAGAAGATCGGCTTTCTCTTTTGCTGAGACAGTTAAGAAAAACAAATTTTCTTTCTCTTCAACAAAATCCTGCAAAAGGAAGACTGCTGTACAAAATATTCAAGTTTTTCATAATTGTACATCTAAATGCACACAGTTTTTCATACTTATACATCTAAATGCACACTAATTTCACAAAAGACAACAGGAATAATACCTTTCCAATAGCGAGCCAGAACTCACGAAGGACAGCGGTATAACAATCGGGATACAAGTTAGCTGCCAACGTGTGCAAGGTCCGTCTGGTAGCACACAAAACCGGTCGGAATCGTTTCTTCGCATTAAAACTCCCCAAGTTCAAAGTTAGCAGAAACCGAAGTAATTTATTGATGCAATCATTCGCCTAAAAATATAATCGCGGAGAAAATTTACCAAACAAAGAACAAACTTACGCCTTGGGCTATGTTTTTCGACAGTCTGTGATCACGTACACGGTAAGCCATAAGTTTCACCAAACCATCTTCTATTTCCTGCAACTCCTCCAGAGTTTTTTCGAGAGATTTTTCATTTCCATTCGAGGCCATGCTATTCTGCGCCTGGGCTATAGAGAAGAGTTTTCTTTACATCAGAATGGAACGCATGTCATTCGTGTTCAAAGTGAACACTTTTTGTTGATGGGAGCTTCAATCTAATTAAATGGTAACGTGGCGGAAGTAAGAAAATGTTATGCCGTTGCTTGATGGCACGACGGTCTACAAGACGACAACCAACGTTCTTTCACAATCCCTGCTGTTAACCACGAAACCCATTAAAAAATATACCTCGAACTGACCCAGTGACTGGGTTCCAGTCTACAATCATAGTTGTACTTGTTCGTTGTGATAATCTTTGCAAAATATCGGAAGTGAAAACCTACCATAGGCCTGACTCGTGCTAGCCTCATTTGACGGGGGATTAGACACGTCTATTTGCCCAAAATCTTCGGAATATTTCCCAGAGATGTTAAGCACATTCTTCCCGGCCGTTTCAACGAAAAACAACAGATGTTTCCTGAGGATATGAACATTGTTAAGACGAACACACATCTAAAATGAAAAACATGAAAAAATCAAGGTAGAAAAAAACAGGCAGAACATTTTCAAACAGGTCGTGAGAAGTAGAATTGACCTTTAGATTACACGTGTTTTGTCTCGTGATCAAGCACTTAAAACATGCAGGAGTTTGGGTACGAGTTAACAGCGCACAGGAAGTTGCGTGACTATATAAACGGGGCTGTCTTACGCCTTTGTATCTAGCATGTAATTGGTAAAGTTTAAGATAAATGCAAAAATAAATAAATCAACAAATCAATAAGCACATAAACAATAATCAACAACTAACTTCTTCGACAACTTTTTCGTAATGAAGTGGACGGTTGTTACTTGACGGTAGGCAGGTCTCTAGAACACACGTGGAAGTTTGGTTTGTTCACGTGTTCGGTTAAAGAAGCAATACCTATATTATCTGTACACTTATATGAAGTATTTACGTGGCAGTGGCAATCGTCAAGTATACCAAGGGTGGAAAAAGTATCGGAACTTGGGAACATAGTTCTCAGAAATCTTACAGAGTTGAGAGCTTGGCAGAAAATTTTCCAGGAACCATTATAACACTTTTAAATCAGTTTATTAAACGTAATAATTAATAATTTAATAACTTTTAAACATAATTCATGTTTTTGCTATTTTGGTGATTTCAACAATCAAATTTCAAAGAAAATTTTTAGCATTTGGCTGTGGTTCCCAGAAAGAAACTTTTTCCACCCCTGAAGTATACTTAATCAAGTACTTCAACGCAGTTAAGACAAAATGCTCAAAATTTACAGGTCGAAATGAGCTTAAATCTACAGTGTACTTTGTAAAGCATAATGCACCTGCATGCACATGAACAAGTTACTAACTTTGAGAGTTTTTTGAGGTGGATCTTTTAGAAAACTCAGCGCTGTTTTTACGAAGTCTAACGCGTTCTTCAGGTATGACATTGAGTGATCGTGTTAAACATTGTTCGCCAATAATGCTTTCTAACAACGTTTCATTCAAATCAGAACTTTCGTAACCGATCACATAATGGCAGTATAATGAAACCAGTGACTGTATTACCTGAGGAAAGAAATGTCATTCACATATTGAAGCAATGTTGAATATCTCAAAGAAAAAATCAAAAATAACAAAATTCTATTGAAAAATTTATTTAGTCATTTTAAATTGCCTCTGCAATGCAGTCAGACAACATTACGGTAAAATTCGGTGTCACAAACACTTTAAAAGATGGAAACCACAAAAATAAGGAATTGATTGGACTATTGTTTCACGTTCAAAACCACCAGCTGTAAAACCAACACTAAATGGAGCTTTGTACAATAATGCATTTAGCAAAAAGAAAACCAAATCACAGAATTCACTCAAATACATACGTGAACAAGTTTGTTCGCCATATCGCGGCGACCTTGTTCCAGTTTGGCACGGATTTCGTCACAATCTTCGGGTGACATTCGTAATGGGCCGTAGTCAATCTTGGGCGCGTCGGGACACAATACTTGAGCAACATGACGTACTACGTGTATGCAACGATTTACAACACAGACAATGTCTACGAATGAGGTCGAGACCGGTATCATGGTGCAATTCTCTTCACTAATGATGGAATGTACACTTTCTTCATCTTCGCACGATAAATAATCCTCGATGTTACTGATTTCGCTTTCAGCGTCCACATAAATACTTTCCAAGGATTTGGATGAATCACTAAAATTCACTGGCATTTTGGTGATTTTAGAAGATGCAAAGCTAAATCCTGGCTGTTTGGAAGGGCTGCCTTCTGCTGTAGTTGATGATTGCTCATTCGAGTTCGAGCATGCTGCGTTATCATCATGTTGAAACTCTTTATCGATAGCACCTTTGCCTTGGCTATTTACCTAGAAGAGAAGAAATTTGATTTTGTTCGATATGAAAAACCGCATTCATAAAGCAGCAAAAATGACAATACAGCGTTAAAGTCACACACGGTGTACCAAAATGCGGTGACCAAGGGGACAGTGGGCACGCATGACTATAAAAGGATGTGAATGAAACTGAACAAGAAAACAAACTCTTTTTCATCATAAAGAGCTTTCAGATAAAATAGTGTAGAAATACAAGTGCAAAGCAGTGGATAGTGTTTCATATAAATCTTAACTAAGTTTTCGTTGACGTCGAGTTTGTCGTCATTTTTTTTTTCAAAGCCTACCGTAGTTTCTGAACAATGACAGAAGATGTTTGAAAAACTGCATTTGCACGCAAAAGAGACAAATAGACCTCTGGCTCCTTACCGGTTGAAATGCAGAATTACATGAAGGAGTAACCGTGCCTCTAAAGACAGAAGTTGAATCGCTTGGTGGAGTAGGCACAGCTCGGGGCCGAGTCCTGACACGACTTTGCAGCGACATATCAGATTCAGGGACGTGTTCGTCAAGTGTCGATAGTCCTCGCCAAGTATCGTGATTTAACGCCGATACTATTAAACTTTGGATTTTCCAATGAAGCACGTTGATCAATGCAAAAGAATATTTGAGAAAAGCTGGTCGCCAAACTTGACCCCTAAAGAAATGAGAAGACAGAAGTAATCAATACCTCTGCATCATGTAAACACATAATAATAACTAAATGGTTTACTGTATCAAAGATCCGCCTTTGGGGGGGGGGCAATAGGTGTTTTACTCCCTCTTATGCTTTCTTTCTTGAAATTGCTGTTGTTTGCTTTCTATTGATGTATTGTATAGCTTTGGATCACCATAAATACGCAAGAGCATTGCAGCCCCGTAGTGTACAGAAAACAATGCATATTTTAGATCATAGTCACCGGAAGAGAAGAGATGGAAACTTATTGAATTTGACTTTGAATCTCACTATCTATGTTGTATCTTGGTTTATGCAGAAACATGCTCTCTAATTGTCACGGTCCTTTTTTTTAAGAATTAATCATTTATTGAAATCTTCCAGATAACCAACGGGGAGTTGAACAATTAGCAGATTCAAGCATTCGATGGATAATAAATTCTCAAAACAAAAAGTAACGCGACAATTAGAAAGCATATTTGTGCATAAACCGTTACTCAACGTAAATAATTAGGTCCGTTCAAATTAAACAAAGTTTCCAGGCCCACTCTTCTAGGGACAATGCATATCGTTAATATGTGTAACCAATCAGAATTCTCGCTTCTTCACAGCAAATAAATGAGATGAATAAAGAATCTTCAATGTTGTCACAATGAATAAATAAGAACGCGCTTTACAGTAAAAAACACTGCGGAATGCTAACACGATGTTCTTACTCGATAGGAAGATAATCCCGCCATTCGGAATCTTCATCAAATTTTGTGAGTCGATAGGCTAAGGCTATCATTTGATAATCTATCTTTCCACTTTCTTCATTAACAGGATGACCATCACACAGCTCGAGAACATCTTCCATCAATAAACTATGGTAAACCTCAACTCCAATCTCGAATATGTCGAAATAACTAAGAGGAATAAAATAATGTTTACACACACAAGGACAGGGCACAAAAATAACAGTGAACTTTCTCGTGACCGTTGCTTTCAACGCGTGTCCTTACCGTATAAATTCATCTTTGAAATACAGCCGATAATTGCGTAATTTCTCACTAATATCATACAGCATCAAGCTGATCATGCGAGGAGTTATCCGCTGACCAAACGACCGTAGTTTCAACTGATCGGCAACGATGATTTTCTGTCTTTCATAGTTCGTATGCATTTCTTCCTGAGCATAACAGTAAAAGGAAGATAGATGGCGGTTATTTCCTGAAATAGTTCGTTCACTAACGCAAATACCAGTGAACTGTAACATCAACTGGAACGCTAATTGCCATATTAGGGCTAGAGGCCATTTTGAAGCCAGCTATGATGCGGTTTTATCTGCGTTTTTAGGCACATTACCTAATCTTGTAAGGTAAAACTCATCATGGCCATTTGTGCTACTGTATTTTATGTATATTGTTGTTAATTTGTTAAAATAATACCATGGAAATTCAGAAAAAGAAGCATCAGTATTGGCTTCAAAGATAGCGGCGCAGTTAGCGTTCCAGTTAATATTACAGTTCACTGGCAAATACGAACCTTAACATAACTCTTCAGGTAATATTCCACTGACATTTTATGAGAGTTACCAAAGGTATCATCATCATCAACAACTACCAAACATAACAGGAGCCGAATCACCTCTTGCAACTCTCCTTCGGGCATGTTCTTCGGAAACACTCGGTTGATTCTCGTCAATAAGTGCTTCACGTGACTATGAAGATGCGTAATCGCCGTTCTCAACATCGTTGCCTGCGTGTAAACGTAAATTTTGCGGAGAAATCAGAAATTCGTGCACGTCTCTTTTTATTCGCGAAAATATCGAGATTTTTGTGAAGTCTTATTTATACAACCAGTGACGTGGCATAAGAAATTCAATTGTCAGCTATGTATTTAATGATATGTCACTCCTGTCGAGCAGAGATACATTCAAGGCTTGAGATAATCCGCCAGTATGGCAACATGTTGCCATGGCGACATACTGCCATGGCAACATGCTGCCAGGAAATTTTTTTGACCTCACAAGAAATTTTCGCGGAAGTGCATCGAATGAATGCACATAAACAAACAAATGAGTTCATTGAATGCTTCGAGTAAGCCACATGATTTTGGAGGAAATCGTTTGTATATGTATGAACGCCTTGGGAAAAAAAATTTCATTTAAGCTAGGTTCCCTAGGCTAACAGTGTAAAAGTCAGTTCAAGAAATTTTTTGAAAAAGATGCCAGGAAAGTGAAAGATGTTTAATATATAACAATGTGAGGTCAAAGGTGGGAGAGGTCGAGGGACATAAAAATACCTCGTCAGCTGGAAAATGAAAAAATATGCATGAACTGTTCGAGACAGTCTTTTGTCATTTCGATGAAAATACAATGCATTAGCACTTTAACTATACCTCATCTTTACGAACAATAAAATCCTGTTGGTGCGAAAGATCCAAGATCGCTTTCAAAATCGATATGACGTACTGACAATACCATTTCTTGCCATCAAAATTTCTAACAATAACACAGAACAAAAAAAACACCCCAAAAAGTATGAGACAAGCCGTGTTCCTTCAATAACTCTTATGTTATGCACACCTTGCTAAATACTGAAGAAGTACCACGTGACGGTATAGCACCCCAATTCTGTATCGCTCACCAAACTCGTCAAGAAGCCTCAAAGACGCTTCAGATAATGGCTCTTTTGGTATTGCCTCTTTTGTACCCACATTCATACGTGAATTCAACGACTCTGCCCTACGTCGTGTGAACAACATGTCAAGTATCAGTCATAGGATATTGTAACCCTTTACTTGACAAATTTTATCGAAAAATTGGCGCACATTTCGTTTGGTGATTGTTGCCATACAGTAACATTGCCAAGTAAAGTGTTAAGGATTTTAAACTGGAAGGTCATTAACCTAAAAACACCTAGGGGAGCCTGTGAAGCGTGAGCCATGTGGCAGATGGTCCGGCAATATTCCACCCTCCCCCCCCCCCTACCCCCGCAGTGAAACTATAAAAACTGCAATTTCGTAAATGCTATTTTGTGCATTCGTAAAGCAACTTAATAACAAACGCGCTTTGAAATAAGCATTCTTAGTTCAAGCGAGCAATGTATTATCCACAATATAATATTTAAATACCAAGTACAAAAAACGCCAAAATAGCATAAGAAGTGGGGGAAGGGTCGTTTCAATGTGGGGCCAACAAGGGGTTCTGAGAGGACAAATAGCTGCCCGGTGTAAATATGTTGAAACATGCCCTGATTACAGTAAAATATTTAGGTCAATGATACAGATATCACCTGAAGAGTTTCAGCAAAAGCTCCGTGAACCAGGAATGTTTATCTTTGTTCAACAAAGGAATTTCTTTTGGATAAGAATGAACACTGTGTGGCGTTCGTTTTTCTTGATTTCGAACAATACTTTGGATCGCTTCTTTCTCTGTCGACAACCAACGGTGAAAGTCTTGCCTGTTAAAGAACTTCTCCGAACTATAACATGGATGACAATCGCTGTCAAGGATGAGATAAAGCTCGCGCATTTCTTTTATTAAAACCTTTAAAAAGAAAAGAAATAGCAAAAGAACGAGAGACTAAACAAATCGTCCTCTATTCCTCCAAACAATATAAACAAGGACCGTTACCTTTGCAGGATCATTGTCAATAATCTTTTCCAAGTCCCTCAAGTAATATTCGTGTCGGCGGTGCGTCAAACAAAAAGCAAGGCGAACCATTTCAATGAGATGCTCAGCTTCAAGTGGAAACACGCTACTTCTCTTCATTGGATTACATTGAAATGACATGCATTCCTTTGACGCTGGAGTTAATCTGAAACAGAACTGGCACATTACTAGAATAACCAACATCATCACATTCAACATGAGGATACTGTAATTACAGAGTAAGGAAGAATAAAAAATTTTATGTTTTGAAAACGTGTAACCATTGAACTGAATATAACTGGATGGTTTCGGGTATCTCCGACCAAAATTTCAAGCCAGCTATTTAGCTAGTTCTAGTCCTGCCACATCCGACCATAGAAAGATCATTACGTCACTGAGCTAAGCTGACAGAAGGTAAAATTTGGTTTCATTCAAGGATAGGTATGTTAACTAAAGGAAGCCTTGAAGTTGTATATTCAGTTCAGTGCGCGTAACCTCTTTCCAAATAAAGCACGCGAGGAGTGGAGATTCACTAAGCATCGTCAACTCTCGAAAAGAAAGGGGTTCATGGGCTCTGTTTGGCATATGGATAGGCGTTGGTCGGGGGGGGGGGCAACGTCTTTATGGCAGTCAGGGGTGAGGAGGTAAGGTTTTCAATTTCCTTAGTGGAAAAAAACGACACATGATGTCTACCTTGAGTCAATGAGATCGCTTTCTTTCTGCTTTTGTTTCCATAAACATGATAAATGCATGGAATGGTCAGAGACAGCCAAGACAGGATAATATGCAGCCAACAAAACACACTTGTAAAAATGTAATTCCTACAATGGCAAATTGCAATCAAACCATGAATTATAAAAAAAACATTTCCAACCATAAAAAGCATTCTCAAGCTTTTTTACACAGTTTACAGCTTTAAAGCAATGCTTTGCCCCACAAATAATATGTGATGCTAGACATGGGTCAAACCTTGAAGAAATACGTAAAAACTAACCTGAAGATGAAGTTGCTTGTCGGACTCTTTAAATGTGACTTTGGGTAGCTGACTTCCTGGAAGGAATTGTGTAAACAATTACAAATCAACTGTCATGCAGCTCTCTATTTGAGCAGTAATTATGATCAAAAATACCTGAATACGGAGGTCTGTAGTTATCAGCAACCTAAACATACGTATAATTAAATAAATACTTGGAGACAAAGAGGATGGTTTGGGTTCGTATATGTACTCAGATATAAAGAAAATATAATACAAAAACACTTGCATTACTAGATTATTATGAGAGAAAATGACAACCATTTACAACCATCATATGATAACTCAGAGTTGAGCAAACAAATAAACATTAATGTGAACCTTTAACACTTATTGCTTTAAAAAATGAAAGATTCATACAAGGTTATTGAATATGACAAACTTTATATTGACCACATGTCATGGTCATGGCAAATGAAGGTTGACAAGTTCGTGTTTCGCTAAGCTTTTAGGGTTTGTATTGCAATGATCTATCTGCCAGCCATGGATAAATAAAATGATCCATGCACTCTAGACAGATGGCTCATTTACTCATCTGCAAAATTAGTCATGAACTTTTACAAGCATAAATAAAACAATCCATGCACTCTAGACAGATGGCTCAATTACTCATCTGCAAAACTAGTCATGAACTTTTTCAAGGATAAATAAAACAATCCATGCACTCTAGACAGATGGCTCATTTACTCATTTGCAAAACTAGTCATGAACTTTTTCAAAGATAAATAAAACGATCCATGCACTCTAGACAGATGGCTCATTTACTCATCTGCAAAACTAGTCATGAACTTTCACAAGCATAAATACCACTTGAAATTGACCAGGTTCCATTTGACCAGCAAGCTTCATCTTGTATCTATTTGGACTGAGAAAAACACACAATATTTTAACAACTCTTCACATAGAATACATTGGCATTGATTTACATGTGAACTATCTACGTAAAATGATTTAGAGTTGCACTGATTCATTACCGTACTACAAAGTTGACCATAAGACTCTTAATGTCTACTTAATAAACAAAACTAGCTTTGACCATTGAAAAACCTCAAAAGATGACATTCCAATGTTTTTTGTGCTTATTAAAAGCAATGCCTTGCAAAGAATGCCTAGCAAAGAATTCTAAGAAACTTCACTTTCAGGCAAATGAACACATGTTTACAATCAGGTGGACAACTATTTGATCAAATTTCATGAATCAAAAAGACATGCTAATTAACTTTGAAGACCATCAACATTGTTTTTATATCCCCACCCTCTCCCCAGGAGACACAAGCTCCATTACGCACTCACGTGAGTTGTTTGAAGAAATTATGAATTTCTTGAATGTTTCCAACACGTCTAAAAGGAAAAAATTATCTTCTCAATACCACACATTTACCGGTACTCTACTTTTGAGCTCATACTAAGTTCATGGCCTTTATGATTTATTTAATCTACCTGTTAAAATGACTTAATTTTTTTGTAATTTGAAGCAATCAAACAATAATATATTGATAAAATACGCATATTTAAAGTCAATAATAATACCTTAACAGCATCGCAGCAACTTTACAATGTGGTGAATCATTTTCGTTCATTGTAGATTCGAAGGGTTTGCTAGACCCGTCAATGGTTGTGCAAATTTGACGAAAATATTTCGATTCAAGATGAAGAATATTAGTCAATAATTCAACATCGATACTTGTCAAGGTTGGCCTTGGCAAAGACGATGTTGTGAAACTTTTTCTAGCCATTCTAAAGCTAATCTTTCTGGTCGTCTTGGTCTTGACCTTGACTCTGGCTTACGTCTCGGGGAATGCCATTTGATTCTGGCAATAAGCATGTTGAGGAGCATACACCCCCCGGAAACATTACCAATATTTAATGAAACCGGGAGCTAAAAGCTCCGTTGGTTTCAAAGAAAAGCGCTCTTATAACATATCGCACTCAGACAGCAAATATTTACATATATATTTCAAATTTTGAATAATGAATGCCACAAGCATTGAATACTTGTTTAAATTGAAGGAGTCAATAACATAACAACAATAACAGCGGGAAAATCACCCTAAAACTTTTCGTTGTGATAACAATCTTCCCATCCTATCTTTGCAGATACTTTACAATGAATTTACTTCGCAATAGATGAGGTCAACTGTTTCTTTCCTTTCGACGAATTCATCGGAGTAGCATACAGATTTCTTATGTCTCTTCCAATCAAGCTTTTCTTTATGATAGGTGTAACGGTCGATGTCTTGTGGGTCTTGTATCCCGTCATACTGCAAAAAGGATTGGTTGTTTTCGACGATTTTTTTTCCAAATCCGAACTGGATGAGCTGCGTCTTGGTTTTGGAGTGCGCGGGTTTGAACACTCGTCCGAAGAATCACTTGTGTTGCTTTCGATAGTTTTTGAACGTCGTCTCTTTTTTAAGACATTTCGTAAGCTATTTAGGGATGGCGAACGACGGTGTAAACCACGAGACGGTGTACCAGGAGTCTTTATATGCGAAAAAAACAACATGGATGCGTTCATAAAATGACTTTCATTCAACGTGATTCGGACTATGTGTCTCTAAAACAGTTTATTCTAGACGGAAAACGGTTCGTTCTTTCTTTTTTTTAGTTGAAATATCTTAAAATTAAATATGAATCGGGGATTTTGGGGCTGTCTAACTCTAAGATGCATCATTATAGGTATAATTTTTCATTTGCTTTAACCCAGTTTTATGGAGCAAGATATCATAATGTGCACGAAAGATTAGTTGTGTCAAAAATACTCTCGGACAATTATAAGCACAAGAAAGCTAAGCCGAAAACACAAAACCTCGAGTATATAAGCTCTCATACCCTGAGGTCAGGTACTTTGCAAAAAAAACTTTACCATCGTTTCAAAATCTCTTAACGGCAAAAACCTAAGATTTAAAAAAGGCAATAATTCGGGCAAAACGTCAATTCAAAGGCGACAGAGCTTTATTTTCGCGAAGAAAACAATAAGACACATTCTCGTGGACAGACGGCGCGCTATTCAAACCATACCTTTATCTTGTCTTTCTTGGAAAGAGATTTCCAACCATTTTCTAAGAAACTTTGCTTGATTGGAGTGTTCAACGGTCGGTAGTGACCCGCGGGACTTTCGCAAAGACCCTGCGTGTCCATTCGGTTTGCCGACTGCAACGGAACTCTGCGATGGCGGGGCGATAGGATTTTCGGAACACTTACAGATGAAAAGGTTGATTTTTTCTCGTTTTCACTTGGTGGCTGTTGATGAAATATGAAAAGAAAATTTCAAACCGGAAACTTTAAGTGTCTTTAAAACGTGTCCACGTCATAAAAGTTGCAAGTTTGTCCTTAATGTAACTACGAGATCAACAACAAGGAAGGAAAATTCAATTAAATTTCGTTTATTGTATTACTGAAAATAATACAGACTTATACAGTACAAATTTCGCAGTAACACGTCCCATTAATGAAGTTACGAGTGAAAATACGACAAACATACCTTTCTCGTTTTTGGTTTGAACGGTGGAGTACCAGGATAGAAGTCTGCAAACTAGGGGAAAGACAAAAAATGAAAATTTCGGGTTGGTACGAATTTGCGTTAGTGAGGAGCCTGAATCTACATATTATACCATAATACATACTAACAATAATACCTACATACCAACACCAATACCTACATACCAACACCAATACCTACATATCAACAACAATACCTACATACCAACACCAATACCTACATACCAACACCAATACCTACATACCAACACCAATATCTACATACCAACACCAATACCTACATACCAACACCAATACCTACATACCAACACCAATATCTACATACCAACACCAATATCTACATACCAACACCAATACCTACATACCAACACCAATACCTACATACCAAAAACAAAACCTACATACCAACAACAATACCTAAATACCAATACCTACATACCAACAACAATACCTACATACCAACAACAATACCTACATACCAACAACAATACCTACATACCAACACCAATACCTACATACCAACAACAATACCTACATATCAACACCAATACCTACATATCAACACCAATACCTACATACCAACACCAACACCTACATATCAACACCAATACCTACATACCAGCACCAATGCCTACATACCAGCACCAATACCTACATACCAAAACCAATACCTACACAACAAGATCAATACCAACACTTAAATACCAACATTAATTATTACAAATAACACCTGCATATCAAAATAAAGGGCTTCATAATGGGCTTTATATCTCAATAATTATTATCTTCAATCAGACAATCAAATGACAATTGTAAGGTTCTCTAATTGAATTGAGTTAAATCATAAATAATTACGTTTTTCAAAAACTGTCGTTTCATCGGAGTATCTTCCATGGCGGCCATTTGTGTGTACAAATCGACAAGTGCATCAGATGTACACTTATTTCCAGCAGTGCTGTACAACCTCGCGTCTATCTGTGTGCAGAAAGGCTTAGAAAGAACGGCAGCATCACTATCCTGAAATAAGAATATTCCAGGCACATGAGATATTAAAGGTTTGTCAGTAGGTTAAAATCGACGAATGAAAGCTCATTTTTCGATTTGAAAAAATCACTATCTAATATCCAGATTTCGTGCAATCAGTCCCTGAACTCCTCTAAATAATCATGAAAAGACTACAGACACTACCAGGGTTTAAAACAACGGTCAGTCAAGAGTTTCAGTTGCTGAGCTACACTGAAGAGTCATACCTCTTTGAAATGATTAAGTTTTTTTGAAAAGACAAAACACATAAAGCAATGAATATGTCACAAAAAAAAAACATAAAAGCTCATCAACAGAGTCTCCATATTAAAAAACTTCAACAAAAAATCCTATTTATTGGTTATTCAACAACTTATTACGCAATTATGAAGACTATATGAAGTTTTGCAGCATTCGTGATTACGCAAATGTCGCTGGTTGAATAACTCGGGGGAAACCCTCAATGTTAACATCATAAGAATGAATAACGATCTGACACTGCACGGATCCATCGAAACAAACTGTGGGGCCTTGGACAAAATGAGCCCTGCTCTCTCCACCATTCGGGCTGGCATGATTACGCATAATTTGTTAAGTAGGAATTTTTGTTATCTTTTTGTAAGTTCCGTTTAATAAAAATATAATTTGAATAACAACATTTTCGGTTCACTAGCATCTTAACTTTATGTGAGTTAACTTTTAAAAAAATAAACAGCGGTTGCCGTAATATGACTGTCGCTATTCGTCGAGACTCGTTAAAAGATCCAATTTTACCATAGACTAAAACTCAATATGCACGACTCCATAAATAAACTAGTCTACGCTATATCATTACCTTGCTGTCTGCTGATGTTGCTGTCATTACCTGGAGCTGTCTACATGATTTCTGTTTTTCAATCTCGCGCATGAGATCGTCAGGGATGACGAATACCTCTTGCGCATGCTCAATCATCAACGTCAACGCTGACGTAAAAGTCTGCAAATCTTCAGGAATGGCACTCAGACATAGTGAGGACTTCTATAAAGCACACAAGATGCACTTTATCAAACCCAAAATATTTGTTTTCTTTACAGACCAAAAGATTTCACAATATATTAAAATCTGAGACAATAATGATGTACAAACTTTCCGGAAGGCATTGTATTCTGGGACACATACAATGAATGCTACCTATTTAGCAGAATGTTTTACCACATTCAAACATTCCAATAACGATTTTCAAAGTGTTTTCACACCCTGCTACATGTGTTTTAGAATGAAAACCTCTTACATATGGTATTGTGGTAGGATAAAAGAGAATAGGAAATGGGTTGAGGAAGGTCTATCATGGATTAGTAGAGTTATACTTCACCACAAATCTCCTATGCTCCTAAGAAATTCCTACAAAAAACACCCAAATCATAAGGAAGCCGGGCGTAGAAAGTTTGATCGTGCTATGCAAATATTTCGGGGTTCCTTTCAGTAAAAACAGTAGGTTTTAAAGTAAATAATAGTAATGGTATAAAATTTACATAACACGACCAAACTTGCCGCTGATAGTGGAGAATTTTAAAGTAGACTACCCATAGAGCCGTTCCTAAAACGTTAATTGGGGAGATGTTTACTCGTATATTCACGTGTGCCCGACTGATATATTTCAATAAGCAAGTCAGCCACAACTGAATATATGAATTAACACCAAAATGAACTTTTCGGAGCGGCTCTGAATGATATCAATACTTGTTTAACGTATGATTGCTTAATACCTTCGGTGAATTGCTTTCAAAAGAAACAGTCTAGCACAACTGAATACATGAAACAACCCCCACCACATTCCTAGACAAACTTACATGTTTATAGTGAATGACACTGGGTGCAAACACGGTTGCCAAATTCTGAGCAGTCATCTTGTTCTCTTTGATATTTGCAATTTCATTAAGCAGCAGAAGGAGTTGCTGCAACAGATGACGGTTTGCCGGTGGCAGAAGCAAAAGTAATAACTGGAGTGCGCTCAGTTGATTGTCACTATCTTCGACATCTAGAAATATCAAGGAATTGCCTAACATCGTTTTCATGAGTTAAAATGCTAATTTAATCATTCGACGCTTATTTAATTTGAATTTTAACCAAAAATACACGACTTGCATAAAAAATGTATTTAGTGGTCAGACATATGCGATCTGTACATAACTCATTGAATGTCTTCAAAGAACAGTAATATGCAAATTGTATCAATAAACTAACACCACGTTAAACAATTTTTGCAAGCCACCATCGAGGGATGAGAATCCTTGCAGAATACTATAAAACTTCAAAGTTTTAAGCTTTGTTCACAAGCAGGCAAAATGAATTTCCGAGACGGCAAGATGACATTTACGCACCCCAAATCGACCAATAAGCTTGCTGTATTTCCCAATGACGTACAACAGAACGTCATACAATCGACTTACCTTTGATTTTTGAAAGAACGATAACATGAACTCTTGTAATAATGGGCTCGGGTAACTCGGCCAGGAAATATTTAAATATCGAAGCGACGTCATGTTCGGTGAAGCCATAGTCTTCGAAATTCAAAGGAACATCATCTTGATCGATCAAATGCTTCAACTCCTCCTGGCGTTTTTTGCTGCCAGATATTCGAAAAATACCTTCGGATGTTAAATCTACAAAAAAAATTATCGAGGAAATGCTTGATAATTGATGAAAAGTTATGGATAATAAGTACTATGTGAGGGCGCATTTGTAAGAGATAGAAAAGTTAATAGAAGAGGCTCAATACAAAACAGTGGCGGACACTTCATCAAATATTTCGGGGGTTCGTCCTCGATGAATGAGATTTCTAAGGGGATCCCATGACATGCCTAAAGGTATACTTTCAAAATTCGATCTCCAGAAATTCTATTTCAAGCATTTCTGTAGATAATTTTACACACACAAGAAGGTTTGATGCGTCTGCTGGTACAGATACAACATAGGAGTTTATTAAATAGTCATTATTTAACATCACACTTGTGTTTTGTAGGTGTCATTTGAGAGATGTGATGCACGGTTTTTAATCTTTCAAAATTATTGCGGAGCCTCAAGCTCCCCTCTCACCCCCCTAGTGCCTGCCACGGGATACAGTGACACGTTGGTCCTATTGTTTACATAAGGACAGTGTGAAATATGGTAGGGATAAAGAGAGGGGAGGACACCTGGGGATGGAAGAGTATGATTGGAATAGAAAATCAATAAAATTAAATATTAGTCTTATTGTTTTAAGTTAGGAAGTCTAGGAGAAATGAGGGGGGGGGAGAGGACACATTTGGGGGGGGAGACGTATATAAGTCAATATTACTTCTACTTTTCACATTTGTTTGAAAGTATGTAGGATTACACATTTTTGATGATCCCAATGCATACTATGAAATGACAAAAGAACTATTTTCTACTTACGCTGTTTTAGAAATTCAATGAGTGAAGAAATTCTATGAACGTTAGCCTCGCACAGCGGTTGATTAAATATAGGAGACGATCCTACAAATGAAAATAAATATCCCTAAGTTACCAGTAAGTACATAAGTATCTATCATAGATCTTCATTAAACCCTTTTCCGAGTTCAATGAATAGTAAAAAAATGTTCTACAGCAAACAAAAGCTGGACAATGCGATTGACCACAGCGAAATCTATGAATATCCACATTGTTTATGCAAAGACTATACTTACGCGCAGGACGTCTCGAGCCTTTGTCACATTTAAGATACAATAATATATTTTGAACGTGTTCACGATTGAAAGAACCGTGATTCTCATAACAAGCCATTTCAACAAAGTAAGTCTACGTACATGTTAATCATGAATACATGAGCACGTCGTAAAGTTAACTAAAAAGGGTGTGACCGCCCATGGTGTTTGAAAGCATGGACAATTAACCACGCTTTACCGTCGTGTCAGTGCTTTGCTCTATAGCAGGAAATGATACAATAGACAAAAACAGCGCAGGTCACAGCTGTCGAGAACTTATATTTTAGCAAGCTAGTCTTACTTCATGCCATTACGCATAAACTTCCATATTGAAGATCTGCATTTCCAGTTTTTCAACAGGAAACCAACCTGACTATTATCACTTGCCCATTCTATGATAAACAATATAACAGTTTGCCCTTAAAGTTCCATGTAAATGGGGGTGCTGATAATCTCACGGAGTTGGTTGAATTATTTCCATAACAGAGTGAACGCACAAAGATTGAGTAAGGATAGTTCAACGTGAAATGAAGAGCTGTCTGTCAAAAGAACACTAGACACACACATAGAATGATGTTAGAAGACAATCTAGGATTGACGAATGGTACAACATGAAAGGAAATCATGATGTACGGGGGTAAATCCATTAAACTTCGTTCAAATATAACTTGTCATTGCAAACGTAAGATCGAGGCTGTCATGTTTGGATGATTCGTCAAATCGACAAATTAGCATCAAACAAACTTAGTGCCCAGGCTATTTCACGGTAATGGTTATCGAGGCTCATAATGTTATGACCGTGCACTTGCATTCAAATTTTTGTACAAATGAAGCTATATACTTATAGTGATAGTACTTATCTACCAAAGTAATGATATCATTAATTATATGGTATATAATGACGTTATCTAGCCACGATTGTACAATGATGTCGAAGGAAATACAAAATAGTAATACTTTGTTTGCTAACGGCTATGTCGTTGTTGTTTGACCTAATGCGAATACAAAGCTGGCAATTTTATAAGACTGATGCACCACAAAAGGACAAAAGTCTGTTAAAACAATAGAATTTACATGAAGCACGTGTTTCTTCTTCAGAAATCACCGATGCGATGCACTTAAGATTTATATAACACGCGACTGCCATGATATAATTGATATCAACTAATTCCACTTGAACCATTGCCAATAAAACGATTGCTAACGTACAAACGACACGTTAAAAAGTCCACCTAAATAGCATGGTGCTTACTGCAATGTATTCTCACTTGTGTCATAGTCTTTACTGAGCAAAATGAGATGATATTGCATCGTAGTTAATATTAAATCTACAGACATATTTATGAAAGTATTTTAAACTGATTACGTTGCGTCAAGCGTGCAAAAGCAAGGCAACGGCATCATATTTCGTACATAATAAAGCTGTTGACAAGTTACCTGACTTGTGTAAGATCTTATTAATCCTTTCGCTTGATTTCGAGAAGAAATTCTTGCCTTTTCTCGAAGCAAGGTTTCCAGCAATTTCAAGATTTCGTGACACATTCTTGGTTGATTCGGCCTCTTGTAAGTCCTCTATCATCTCCAAATCGATGATTCGCAATAGTTTGCTAATGACTATTACCGCATAGGAATCCTTGCCCTCTTTTTTACTCATATTAGAAGAGGCTTCACGTATAAAATCGAAATATTTGGCATTATAATTGTCGAGAAAGGTCTTTCTACTCACTCTCACACATCGTCATGTTTGTGTCTCGCGGGGAAAATTAAATTTCTCGAACAACCAATAGGATTGCTTGAAAAATTCATCATCAATCGGCGAAATACAAAAGAATGAATACGCCACAAATAATAGAGGAATCTAAGAAAAGTCTTTTTTTATTTTAATATTTAAAAGTATTTGAGCCCCCGTGGAATATAATGTCATTTGGAAATGTTATATTTGCATTTGTGGGCTCTCAGCTAACTTCCGACACAAATCGCCAGTCAAATAGTAAGTCAAAAAAAAATCATTTCAAAGATTTCACGAAGCAGACTTCAGTTGGATATAAGAAAGCACACAAACTTTCCCTGTATCCTAGCCATAACCCGACGCTCTTTCAAACCTCGAGCAGTGTTTCCAACTCCGAAAATTCATTAAAAGTGTGTGTGGCTTATTGTGGCATTTTTCTTTTGCTATTTTCTTGGAATATGATCTTGGGATGGTAAATATGACAAAGACTATAATTTTTAAAAAGCTGTAGTTAAATGCGAGGTTCAAAATTCTCACTATTCAAGTTCTTCTTCCACAGATTATATTTTATTTTCGAATAATTAATATCAATTGAGATGTTTTAAGGGAGAAATCATGAAAATTTATAACAACTACAATGCTACATTCGGATTTTTGTAAAACTGAAATTGTAAAGCTCACTTTAAGGTCTAGTATTACTATTGTTCCGACTCGTGGACAGACAACAGTGTTTCATTATTGCCATCTTTCATCAATGCATAAACATTGACGTCTTCCTGCTGAAACAAGTTCATTTACACCATGACTTGTTCCGAAATACAATTAATACTGGCATTCATTTAAGTTCTCTAAGATCATTCCATAACAAGTTTCAGTAGAAAGCCCAATTCAACAATAAGATCCAGTTGAGCAGTCTGTTGTACAAGTGTTGTACAAGTGTGACCCCACAGCAGAAAAGATGAGGACGAGCGTAACAGCCAATGTCAAGACTCGTTAATTTCATTAACCCAAGTGCCGAAGTTGCTTAAACCTAAACCCTTAAATAAACAAAAACAATATGCTCAGTAAAATCTCAATGACGCAAAAAAGGCGTGACATTGACGACAATAGGAATACTCGGTAAATATAATAGCTCTCGCTGCAAAACATCAACTCATCTGTTCACAATTGATTCGACCTAGCTCTCAAAATAAAAAAAATGGTTCAACCATCAGTGGTTTTCTTCTTCGTCTTGATAAGCATCGGTGTTACCAGCTTCACAGAAGCCAAACAATCTTCTCACTGTGTTCATGGAACCACAGTTAAAGATATACTCATGCTTGCTGGAATCAAGGGAGCGGATTTACTCTCCTACGTCGCCAAGATGAAGGCAGAAAATATTGATGAAACTGTCCTCTCAAGTTTAACGTACAAACAACTTGGTAACATTGGAATATCAAAGATTGGAGATCGTCACAAGTTACACAAATTTCTTTCAAAGGATGGAAATGACTGTAACAACTCCGTGTGTAAAAACAATGGTATTTGCCGAGATGGTTTTCGATGTTTCTCATGCATTTGTGATCCAGCAAGTGGGTATTATGGTCTGACTTGCCAACAAAAATGTCCATGTTTAAATGGAGGTGTTTGCAAGACAGTTCCTACAGGTTTTAAATGTGTCTGCCCGCCTGGCTACTCTGGCAATCTATGTAAGGTGAAATATTTAACTGAAGAAAGATTTCTTCAACTGGAGAATTCCGTGAATCAGGTAAAATTTCACTGATGAACCGACTTCATTGCCTGTGAGTATAGAATGGTGGGTAAAGAAAACATGTTTCTTTTCGTTTAGTTAAGCTTAAAGTTGAAACAAACCGAAACAGAGCTCAAATCTCAACGCAATAATAGAGGATTATGGACATTACGACGAACAAATGAGGTGAGAAAATGCTTTCATATAATAAAGACAAGGCAATACTACCAATTTAATTAAAAGGATAGCACTATGCATTGCCTGACGATTTTTATAAGATGAGAAAATTTTTTGATGAAAATGGTGCTAGATTGACCACCGTTTAATGAATAGATGAAGGGAATGTTTTGATGACGTAGGTGATAGTTGATGAAAGAAATCACAGTTGACTTCTTTATAAGATGAGAAAAATTTTTGATGAAACTGATGCTAGATTGACCTTTAATGAATAGATGAAGGGGATAATTTGATGACGTAGGTGATAGTTGATGAAAGAAATCATAGTTGACTTCTTATTTATTATTTATTGTTAGCTCGATGGCTCGACGCGGTCTTTGTAAAAAGTTGAATTTCCTTTTTTCATCGGCTAATAAAAACATCTTCCATTTATCATAGATTTTGAATCAACTGGAGAAGATACAACTGCATCAGACAAAGCCAACCTACACGCAGGCAATTCCAATAGTTCTTCCCCAAAACACTCGAGCTATCATTATTTCCGTTTACTGCTATTTCTTGAACAGAAATGGACATGCGTACTTAAACTATGTAACCCATCAAAAAGGAAATGACGACAGTTCCGCGAAAGCTGAAGGCTACAACACACATTACAATGTTTACGCAAACACGTTCTTGTATGAACAAATGATTCCTGGAACACCACTCTGCCAAATGATTTGATCTTCAAAGTAACTAGATCTCATCGTACAGGTGGAGCTAATAATTGGTATCGCGTTCGTTTGGTTGGTTATGTGACTGATTAACTAAGTCTGACATGTATTTACTTAGAAAAAACAAACTTGCTGGTAGCACAAGTAGTCACAAAATACAATGTTTCAAAAGAAAATGTTTTTCTTTGTTTGAAAATGTTGTAGAAGTTGTAGAAGTAAAAGGTTTTGTAGTCAATTGCTTTGTTATGTCTTTTGCAAGTTTAACATGAGCGAGCAGATGAAAGAGAAATTTGAAGGCCTTTCAACAATATAATTTCATGAATTTTTGTTTGTCCACGTGAACGTTTGGTCACACGTAAAAGATTCTCAATATATAAAATAAACGCGTAGCTTATATTACGAGTGGCGTAACAAAGTATTCACGAGTTTGATATGCATTTGTCAAAACAAGCTTAAGAAGACATGTTTGCTATGAGCATATACAAGCACTAATTTCAGAGCTCGCTCTGTCAAAAACTAATTGAGAACTAATCTGAGAATGCGTAGTCAACTCCACCAACTCTCCAAGTTCATGGTCATGGCAACGACCAGCTGTATGTACCAGTACCGATTACGGAGTAATTAGCTCGCTCAGTCACAAATTTTCAAATAAATCATCTGCGCATGCACAGTCTGATTAAGCATGCGCAGTCGAATTGACCAGTTGCCCAAGTTCATGGTCATGGTACCGAACAACTGCATCTACTAGCACCGATTTTGAAATAAATAGCATGCTTAGTAACAATTTAATAGAGAAATCATCTGCGCATGCGCTCGAGTATGCGCAGTCCACTCGAACAATTGTTCATAGTCTTGGCAACGACTAACCATATGTACTTGCACTACATTTGTTGCAATTAGCTCACTTAGTCGCAATTATTAAAGAAATCATCTGGGCATGCGCAGTAGTGACTTTAATAATACCACAACTTTCGTAAGCCTTTGAATTTTATGTATATATATATAAAGCTAAAACTTCACCTAATAGATGTCAACCAGCAGTGGAAGCTGGATGCCCAGACTTCGGTCGCGACCGCACTTTCCCTGCGTACCCCGAGCAAAGCATATCGCAGGTGATCCGGGGGTCTGATGGGCGGAAGCTTTTGCATCTCCCAAGTAGGATAGCGTGGAGGGGCCGAAATCTTCTATCGAAACGCTAACATGCGGCGTTCTAGTGCCTTGCGCTTAAGAAGGTATCGGGAAGCATGTACCAAAAACGGATTTTTTATTGCTTTCGAATTTTATCTTTTTGTTTACAAAATAAACCAAGCAATGTTTCAACCAACTTCTTGTGACAATGTTTCAATCAAAAACTGAGCCTTTTTCTGACACTTATAATTTAAGACAACCTTAAACATGTTTTATACAATTTTTATTGGTTTATATCTTTCTGATTTAACTCTCTCGTTTACTGTTTCTCATGTATCACGAGCAAGCCATACACGGACTTCATAGCAAACAAGGATTATCTGGTTCCCTTAATTGACATGCGACGCTCTAGTTCTCAAACACAATCTCGGGGCATCGGGAAGTATGGACCAAAAACTGGATTTTTTGTTTTCAAAATTACTTGTCTTTTTTCTTTACAAGAATTCTTCTCATAAAAGAAACTAGAACATCCAAGGATACTGCAAACGTTCAAACAACTTCTGCCTTTTTGACTTAAAATTTAATGATGGCTTTCGATATTTTTCCTGCATTTGTGATTCAACAAGTGGGTATTATGGTCTGACTTGCCAACAAAAATGTCCATGTTTAAATGGAGGTGTTTGCAAGACAGTTCCTACAGGTTTGAAATGTGTCTGTCCGCCTGGTTCCTAAAGTGATCTATGTAAGGTGAAATACTTAACTGAAGAAAGACTTCTTCAACTGGAGAATTCAGTGAAACAGGTAAAATTTTACTGATGGACTGACTTCATTGCGTGTGATTATAGCTTTATACATATTTAAGGTCATTAACTTTTATAGCCCGTTGAGTAAAGCAAACATTCTTCTTATTTTTTAGTTAAGCTCAAAGTTGAAACAAACCGAAAGAGAACTGGAATCTCAGAAATCTCAACTGGAAACTTTGAAACGCAACGATAGTGGAACGTGGAGGTTACGACGAACAAATGAGGCAAGTGAAAAATTATACATGACAAAATGTCATTACGATCGTGCTAAAATCCTAATTGTCTACACATCTCAAAAAAAAACAACATAACGCTCCTCTTCACTTGTCAACAAATTATAATATAATAATTGCTTTAACAATGGACTGACAATGTTATACAATGAAGAAAATCATTTGGTGAAATAGCTTGATAAAAATATCACTTTATCAATGTATCTACAAATCAAAGCTCATTCTATTTATCATAGGTTTTGAATCAACTGGAGAAGTTACGATTGCATCATGCAAAACCAACCTACACACAAAAAATCCCCATCATTTTCCCCCAAAACACTCGAGCTATAATAATCTCCGTCTACTGCCACTACGGGAACCACAAAGGAACTGCTGACTTGTACTATGTAACACATCAAAAAGGAAACGACGGCAGTTCGGGAAAAGTTGAAGGCTACAACATGCATTACAATGTTCAGGCAAATACATTTTTATACGAACAAATGATTTCATGGAACAATACTCTCGCAAATGAGCTAGTTTTCAAAGTAACATTCTCCCGCTATGAAAGTAGGAATCCTTACAGTTGTTATCGTGTTCGTTTAGTTGGCTATGTGATTGATTAACTGAGACACTAACACCAAGCAATTCTTTAAGAAATACTTAAAACAGCATATGATAGTTTTAGTGTACGGAATGTAACAATTTGTCATTATTTGTGAGATAATACAATGCTTTACATTGTAGTAATCTTTTCTGTATTTTTTGAGGCCTAATTTTCCAACACTGACAAGTTATATTGCTCATAACCAAAATGCCGTTTGCTAGCAGGCTTATCAAATCATAAAGGAATATTTCGAAATTTTCAACAGACTCCACTGTTCATGACTGTGGAAATTTGGTGATGTTGACGTCACTTTTTGAGTACCAAATCATTATTCAATAAAGTTTTAAAAGTTATTTACACTAAATATGTTTGAACACGATCATATTTTCTGTTTAAAAGTTACCAATATTTCATATGAAGAAAAATCTTTAATCAATTCTGCTGTAATCGACAAAATGTTTCACTCATTCTTTGAAACATTTTGGGTAGAAGCTTACAATGTGTATCACAACATTCATCTACACAAACCTTCATCTCTTCTTGTAATTTTTGTCCTATATTTTATCCTGACATGATCGTGCACATCTTGAGAGGCGGTCCTATCGACAAAAACGAGTAAAAATTACCAAAAGTTCATTTGTAAGAGCTCGTAAAGAAGTACAGATTGAAACTTGACCATGGAGTTGTAAAATTTTCAAACATTTGCTACACATTCAAACAAGTAAACATGCAACTTATGCTATGTGATAATAAATCATTCATAAATCAGGAAAGTATTGACTTTTTCGTGTATATATGTGCTACAAATACACACTTACCTAAATTGAAAAGGAATATCTGTCATTTCAAAGCACATCCAACACACAAAAAAACATTGTGCGATAAAATGTTTTCATCGAGTTCTTCGGTCTTTATCGATATTTCAGGAAATTGCTTTAGGAAATTTTATGCAAGCACATTTTTACATGAACAAATGATTCCTTGGGATAGTACTCACTCAGATGACTTGGTTTTCAAATTTAAAAGTAACTGGTTCCTATCGTATTGAAATCTGAATTGGCATCGCGTCCGCTTAGTCGGCTATGTGACTTAGTCATACGTACAGATATATGTACATATATAAGATACATTTAATGATGGCAACAACTGATAGAAAAACAATATTTCAAATGAAAATGCCTGGATTTTCTTGTTTGAAAATTTTGTTAAATAAAATGAACTGTAGTCAATTGCTTTTGATAGGCCTTATGTGTGTTCAGCTTGAGTTGAGCATGAGCAAGCACGTGATGAGAGAAATTTGGAAGCCTTCCAACCATGCATATAGTTTAATAAATTTTTCTTTGTCCTCTCAAAAAGAGCCTCTAACACCACATATAGCTATTTAGCATACTGATCTTTGTATTTACCAAAGTGAATTAATTCTGAATTCTTTCCTTCTTGTGTACAATTTGCAGAGGATCGGCAGTAACAGGTATTTTTACAGTCATCAATTAAGAGTTGTTCTAAAATTGAGACTTTACATGACGACAAAAAGTCCAAGACGACAACGAAATCGAATTGGTGTCAGCTAAATGCTGAAGGCATTCAAAAGAAAACAATGTAAAAGCAGGAAACAGAGATGTAGATTCACATAACTAGTGTTGACTTTGACACGTTGCTTTATTAAACCGTTAGAAATCAAATAGAAAATGGGACTAACATTTAATGTTTTCTTCGTCACTTTCATAATTATTGGTACATCTGCTATTTTTACAGAAGCCAAACAATCTTCTCACTGTCTTCGTGGAATCACAGTTAAAGATATACTCATGCTTGCTGGAATCAAGGGAGCGGATTTACTCTCCTACGTCGCCAAGATGAAGGCAGAAAATATTGATCAAGCTGTCCTCTCAAGTCTAACGTATAAACAACTTGGTAAAATTGGTATATCAAAGATTGGAGATCGTCACAAGTTGCACAAATTCCTTTCAAAGGATGGAAATGACTGCAACAACTCCGTGTGTAAAAACAAGGGTATTTGCCGAGATGGTTTTCGATGTTTTTCATGCATTTGTGATCCAACAAGTGGGTATTATGGTCTGACTTGCCAACGAAAATGTCCATGTTTAAATGGAGGTGTTTGCAAGACAGTTCCTACAGGTTTCAAATGTGTCTGCCCGCCTGGCTACTCTGGTGATCTATGTAAGGTGAAATATTTAACTGAAAAACGACTTCTTCAACTGGAGAATTCATTGACGCAGGTAAATTTTACATACATCAATGTCCATGTTATCAGTGGTTATAATCAGCTATACTCAAGTGGGAAGAAGTATACTTCAGCTGTGCAAACTTCATACTACAATTATTATTCATTTCTTTATGGAAATTTAATTTTGGTATTTATTTTTCCTGTGATTATACAAATTAACAATCGAACTTAGCCACTGAATGACTCTGATGAATGAATAGAAACGAAAAAATAATCCTTACATTTAGTTAAGCTCGAAGTTGAAACAAACAGAAAAGGAAGTTGAAACTCTGAAGCAAAAAGATAGAGGAACATGGAGATTACACCGAACAAATGAAGTAAGTAAAAAAATAATACATGACGAATAAAAAATCATACAATAGCACCTTTATGCATTGACTTTCAATGTTATACAACGAAAAATCTTTGAGTAAAATCGCACAGTGATATCACTTCCGTAATATATCTCAAGGGGGTTGGCGGCTTGGATTAAACGACAGTAATCTCTTTACTCTAAAGATGACTACCACTAAGGTTGTCGAAACGAAGTCAATATAAACATCAACAGTCCTTCTCGGGATTCTACTAAACTGGACGATATACATTTACAAACATGTACGTAACGATATTCCCGCGTTCAAACCATTCATTTAAGTAATTTCTTTATCATAGATTTTGAATCAACTGGAGAAGTTACAATTGAACAATGCTCAACGAACCTACACGCAAAAAATCCCCATCATTCTTCCCTCCAAAACTCGAGCTATCATCATTTCCGTTTACTGCTATTACTGGAACAAAAATGGAGATACATTCATGGACTATGTAACCCATCAAAAAGGAAATGATGACAGGTCGGCTAGAGCTGAAGGGAACAACAGACATAATAACGTTCACGGAAACGCTTTCACCTATGAACAAATGATTCCCTGGAACACAACTCTCCCAAATGAGCTGATTTTTAAAGTAACATACTCCCTCAATAAAGGTGGAGTTTACAGTTGGTATCGCATTCGTTTGGTCGGCTATGTGACTGATTAACTAAGTCTGACATTTCTGAGTAACTTTTTGTAAAAGACTTAAAAACACTGTAACAGCAAACTTGGGAGAAATGGCAGTTTTAATAATGTAAGAAATAAATGTATCAATTTGTGAAATAATACAATGCTGCTGCCTGAAACTTTTCACGAAAGTACTCGTCGGAAATGTCAATGTTTTTGTACCTCGCAATGATTGAGGGTGGTTAGAATAATTATTTGCAAAAACTTAAGTCAGATCACACTGTAATTTGTAGTCTGTAAAGTATAGCAATACCATTTTCGAAGTTAAAGGCATTGTCAGGCAACCACCAACTGCAATGTCCAAAGATTCTGCTTTCAATACATATTAATGAAAAATTTAAGCAAGAAACCTGTATTTTTTAATTTGCTGCAATGAAGAAACTGCAATTGGTCTCATGCAGTGACCCAAGCATTTAGGAGCCTTATGTCCTATCTCAAACCGATGCCCACTCCTGGGTGAATCTTCAGTGATTGGGTTATGTAGAGATCAACTGATAATGGTGGCCAATGGCTATGGTGACTTCTTAGCGCTCACTCTTTCGACTTCATTTTTCTCAGTGTTCCCCTCCTGGGAGAATCTTCAGTGATTGGGTTATGTAGAGATCAACTGACAATGGTGGCCAATGGCAATGGTGACTTCTTAGCGCTCACTCTTTCGACTTCATTTTTCTCAGTGTTCCCCTCCTGGGAGAATCTTCAGTGATTGGGTTATGTAGAGATCAACTGATAATGGTAGCCAATGGCAATGGTGAGTTCTTAGCGCTCACACTTTCGACTTCATTTTTCTCAGAGTTCCCCTCCTAGGAGAATCTTCAATGATTGGGTTAAGTAGAGATCAACTGATAATGCTGGCCAATGGCAATGGTGAGTTCTTAGCGCTCACTTCTTTCAACTTCATTTTTCTCATTGTTCCATTAATCAGTTCGTGACTAGCTACTTTCATAAGCCTTTCAACATGCTCCTTCAAAATCTGCATGTTTCACATACTTCTACTACATCTTCTGCCTACATCTCTTGAAGAAACAAAGTTTCTTTTTGATTTCGTGTAAGATGATGGTGCAAAACAATTTGTTAATTGTCTTCTTGTAATCATCTATCAAGTCGGGTGGCATAGTAGATGGCTGCAATCAGTATACCATAACTTGTTGGACAAAGATCTGAAGTCGCATCTTTACCCTCTTTTTGTCACATTTTTTTGTAGATTTTTACACCAATCTTCTGATTTTTGTTTATATAAAAAAAACGAACATAGCACTTCTGATAAAAACGCACGCTTGCATTAGCTCCGTTTCATAAAAGACCGACATCTGACAAGGTAAAAAAGATTTGACCCTTTTTTATCGCTCTGGCAATCTAAATCACTCCACTTCATTGACATAATGTTTAATTTCACCGTTGTGGTATGTAACTTTAACTTTCACAACAGCCACAACTCATTAAAGGACACATGCAAGCTAGAAGACAACTTTGTTTTATTGTAATGCCTATAGCGTGAAAATAAGACGTACCAAGTTTCAAAGTCGTCCGCGAAATATTTAAAAAGATATTTAGGGTTATAATCGGTAAAAACACGATATTCGATGACCATTGCTAAAACGCCGTGAGATTGTTTAAGTCTGGGAACTGGGAAAGAGTGACGTAATAGTTGACATAAACAAGTTTCGTTCTTATATCGTTCTACGACTTGCACGCAATTCTTTCACGGCTTTCGGTAGTTTGCTATTACTGTTTTTTATTTAACAAAAATTAATGGATTCTTCTGAAGAAGAAGCCGATTATGATATTGTCGTCAATAACAATGAGGTACAACCTTACATGTTTGAGCCTTTGGCCAACGCGCAAGGTGATCATAGTAATGACAATTCTTCGTCATCGGAAAGCGAAGATGAATACATTCACACAATTGGAAATGTTGAATGGTTAGTTGCATTTTATTGATGCTTCATTGTTTTTCCCAAAGTAGAAAGAATGTTTTTATCTTTTAGGTGCGAGTGTGGCTTTTGTGTGGTCATGAGTACAGGACGGGAAAGTATATGTTGCCAAGAGATAAACAACACTGATCCTCTGATACATGGCGATCATATTTGCATCACACAAGAGGAAGAGTTTGCCACAGTATGTACAAACGAAGCTGTCTTAAACAGCTATGGTCGTGTACACACATGACATTGGACCTATGCCTGAGAGTGAAGAAAACAAGTAAATATCACCTTAGAAGTGTAATTACGTGTATGTCGACAAATGTATAATGCCGATAAGTATCTTAGACAAAATTTTGTATCGTTCAGAGCATTACGCTACACGGCGTACCGACAGTGGACGACTTGGGTGCATGGCAGGTTGGGAAAAAAGTACCGACACCTTCTTGTGCTGTGGACAAAATCCGGAAAGCATTTCCTTCGCCTTCTGGAGAATACAAAGGATTTGAATATGCTCAACACTACTGAATGGTAGGGCTTATGGCGTATGACAAAGTCTGTTCATTTGTAATTATGTTTATTTCATGTGGGACGTTATTTCTTTTTATTTATTAAAGCGAGATTTATGTTGCTTAATGGCTTCAGCTTTGCTGATTTTTGATTTGTGGTGAGTCAATGGGACAGGTATTTCTTTCACTCCAGCGACATCAAGAGCTTTGGAGAGTGTTGGATTAATGCGTCTGCAGTACAAAACTTCTTTCATCAAGTCCTTAACATATCCTGAAAAGAAGAGGACGAGTGTAACAGCCAAGGTCAAGGCTCGTTAATTTCATTAACCCAAATGCCATAGTTGCTTAAACCTAAACCATTAAATAAACAAAAACAATATGCCCAGAAAAATCTCAATGACGCAGACAAAGGCGTGACATTGACGACAACAGGAATACTTGGTAATTATAAAAGCTCTCGCTGCAAAGATCAACCCATCCGTTCACCAATTGATTCAACCTAACTATCAAAGTAAAAACAATGGCTCAACCATCAGTGGTTTTCTTCTTCGTCTTGATAAGCATCGGTGTTACCAGCTTCACAGAAGCCAAACAATCTTCTCACTGTGTTCATGGAACCACAGTTAAAGATATACTCATGCTTGCTGGAATCAAGGGAGCGGATTTACTCTCCTACGTCGCCAAAATGAAGGCAGAAAATATTGATGAAACTGTCCTCTCAAGTCTAACGTATAAACAACTTGGTAACATTGGTATATCAAAGATTGGAGATCGTCACAAGTTGCACAAATTCCTTTCAAAGGATGGAAATGACTGCAACAACTCCGTGTGTAAAAACAAGGGCATTTGCCGAGATGGTTTTCGATGTTTTTCATGCATTTGTGATCCAACAAGTGGGTATTATGGTCTGACTTGCCAACAAAAATGTCCATGTTTAAATGGAGGTGTTTGCAAGACAGTTCCTACAGGTTTTAAATGTGTCTGCCCGCCTGGCTACTCTGGCAATCTATGTAAGGTGAAATATTTAACTGAAGAAAGATTTCTTCAACTGGAGAGTTCCGTGAATCAGGTAAAATTTCACTAATGAACCAACTTCATTGCCTGTGAGTATAGAATGGTGGGTAAAGAAAACATGTTTCTTTTCGTTTAGTTAAGCTTAAAGTTGAAACAAACCGAAACAGAGCTCGAATCTCAACGCAATAATAGAGGATTATGGACATTACGACGAACAAATGAGGTGAGAAAATGCTTTCATTCATCAAAGACAAGGCAATACTACAATTTAATTAAAAGGATAGCATTATGCATTGCCTGAAGATTTTTATAAGATGAGAAAAATTTTTAATGAAACTGGTGCTAGATTGACCACCGTTTAATGAATAGATGAAGGGGATGTTTTGATGACGTAGGTGATAGTTGATGAAAGAAATCATAGTTGACTTCTTTATAAGATGAGAAAAATTTTTGATGAAACTGGTGCTAGATTGACCACCATTTAATGAATAGATGAAGGGGATGTTTTGATGACGTAGGTGATAGTTGATGAAAGAAATCATAGTTGACTTCTTATTTATTATTTATTGTTAGCTCGATGGCTCGACGCGGTATTTGTAAAAAGTTGAATTCCCTTTTTCATCGGCTAATAAAAACATCTTCCATTTATCATAGATTTTGAATCAACTGGAGAAGATACAACTGCATCAGGCAACTCCAACCTACACGCAGGCAATTCCAATAGTTCTTCCCCAAAACACTCGAGCTATCATTATTTCCGTTTTCTGCAACTTCTGGAACACCAAAGGACATGCGTACTTAAACTATGTAACCCATCAAAAAGGAAATGACGACAGCTCCGCGAAAGCTGAAGGCTACAACACGCATTTCAATGTTTACGCAAACACATTCTTGTATGAACAAATGATTCCCTGGAACACCACTCTCCCAAATGAGCTGATTTTTAAAGTAACATCCTCCCGCCTTGACGGTGGAGCTAATAATTGGTATCGCGTTCGTTTGGTTGGTTATGTGACTGATTAACTAAGTCTGACGTGTATTTACTTAGGAAAAACAAACTTGCTGGTAGTACAAGTAGTCACAAAATACAATGTTTCAAAAGAAAATGTTTTTCTTTGTTTGAAAATGTTGTAGAAGTTGTAGAAGTAAAAGGTTTTGTAGTCAATTGCTTTGTTATGCCTTTTGCAAGTTTAACATGAGCGAGCAGATGAAAGAGAAATTTGAAGGCCTTTCAACCATATAATTTCATGAATATTTGTTTGACCACGTGAACGTTAAGTCACACGTAAAAGGTTCTCAACATATAAAATAAACGCGTAGCTTATATTACGAGTGGCGTAACAAAGTATTCACGAGTTTGATATGCATTTGTCAAAACAAGCTTAAGAAGACAAATTTGCTATGAGCATATACAAGCACTAATTTCAGAGCTCGCTCTGTCGAAAACTAATTGAGAACTAATCTGAGAATGCGTAGTCAACTCCATCAACTCTCCAAGTTCATGGTCATGGCAACGACCGCACTCTCCCTGCGTACCCCGAGCAAAGCCTATCGCAGGTGATCTCGGGGTCTGGTGGGCGGAAGCTTTTGCATCTCCCAAGTAGTATAGCGTGGAGGGGCCGAAATCTCCTACCGAAACGTTAACATGCGGCGTTCTAGTGCCTTACGCTTAAGAAGGTATCGGGAAGCATGTACCAAAAACGGGTTTTTCTTTGCTTTCGAATTTTATCTTTTTGTTTACAAAATAAACCAAGCAATGTTACAACCAACCTCTTGTGACAATGTTTCAATCAAAAACTGAGCCTTTTTCTGACACTTATAATTTTAGACAACCTTAAACATGTTTTATACAATTTTTATTGGTTTATATCTTTCTGATTTAACTCTCTCGTTTACTGTTTCTCATGTATCACGAGCAAACCATACACGGGCTTCATAGCAAACAAGGATTATCTGGTTCCCTTAATTGACATGCGACGCTCTAGTTCTCAAACACAATCTCGGGGTATCGGGAAGTATGGACCAAAACGGATTTTTGTTTTCAAATTACTTGTCTTTTTTCTTTACAAGAATTCTTCTCATAAAAGAAACTAGAACATCCAAGGATACTGCAAACGTTCAAACAGCTTCTGCCTTTTTGACTTAAAATTTAATGATGGCTTTCGATGTTTTTCCTGCATTTGTGATTCAACAAGTGGGTATTATGGTCTGACTTGCCAACCAAAATGTCCATGTTTAAATGGAGGTGTTTGCAAGACAGTTCCTACAGGTTTCAAATGTGTCTGCCCGCCTGGCTAATGACGATATGACATAATGACAAAATTGTTATTATGTCATATCGTCATTAGCCAGGCGGGCAGACACAATTGTTACAACAAAAAAAACATCTTTATTTGTAAGTTAATACAAATTTGACAGACATGATAGCCACAGGAACTCAATATACAATTACAAATAAAAACTTTAGATTACAATTATGCGGACAAGCTACATTGCAAATAAAAAGCCCCGATTCAAGCATCAAATATAAATTAGTTTAGTCCAAATTCTATACTAATAACGTCTTCATTTGAAGAAACTTCTTTACGCACAATAGGTCACTTTATCGCTTCTATCAAATCCATGGACCATTCTAAGGGCCTGTTTATATGAAGCCGAGTTACCCGGCTGAGCGAGTTACTCGCCTAGCCGGGTAACTCGGCCCTTATATAAAATGAATTCATTTCCCGGTAAATCGTTTATATGACACAACCGAGTAACTTGCCTTGCCGGGAACTCGGTTTGTGTAAGCGAGTTACCCGGCTAGGCGGGATGAATTTGTCCATATAAACGCATTTGCCAGGAAAATTGGCTCTGTTGGTACGCATGCGTACTAAGCCTTGTACTTGCTGTATTATAATACAAAAACATACACATGTCGTAATTTTCAATTTTATATTCACCCATTCCATTTTTGCTGCGAAACTGTGAGGCTTTTTAAAATCTCGCGTCTTTACTCGAAGTTAGCATAGCCAAACTTCATTTAAGACAAATGAAGGGAAGTACTAGCCCAGTTACCCGGTGCCATATAAACAGATCACTTTGTCAAACCCTATTGAGCGAGTAACTCGCTTAGCCGGGTAACTCGGCTCCATATAAACAGGCCCTAATAGGAAACTCTTTACTAGAAAATACAGAAATGAAATCACACTAAATATATTTATTACCTTTGTCCTAGATTATAAATTTTTAGGGCAACTGCCGGTCAATATAAGAGACGTTCTAAACATGGATCTCGCATACAATTCAAGACAAGAAACTATAAAACCCGTAAAATTATATTTGACGAACGTATTTTACAGAAAAACTGTTTCTCACCTCATATGCTTGGTATCCTATCCGATGGCATTAAAAATTTTGTCCATAACTGAATCTACATTCGTCAAATTTTCGAGAAACAACTCTTCATAATATTAATACATTCTGGCCAGTTTATCTGGCTGGAGTGATGGCGACGCAAAAGATGCGCACTTAAGAGCTGGGTACAAGTAGGGGACAGATTTTTCGCTGAGTGGCGCTTCTGTTACGTTTCTATTCTGTGCTCCAACACCACATATAGCTATTTAGCATACCGATCTTTGTGTTTACCAAAGTGAATTAATTCTGAATTCTTTCCTTCTTGTGTACAATTTGCAGAGGATCGGCAGGAACAGGTATTTTTACAGTCATCAATTAAGAGTTGTTCTAAAATTGAGACTTAACATGACGACAAAGAGTCCAAGACGATAACGAAATCGAATTGGTGTCAGCTAAATGCTGAAGGCATTCAAAAGAAAACAATGTAAAAGAAGGAAACAGAGAAGTAGATTCACATAACTAGTGTTGACTTTGACACGTTGCTTTATTGAACCATTAGAAAGCAAATAGAAAATGGGACTAGCATTTAATGTTTTCTTCGTCACTTTCATAATTATTGGTACATCTGCTATTTTTACAGAAGCCAAACATTCTTCTCACTGTCTTCGTGGAATCACAGTTAAAGATATACTCATGCTTGCTGGAATCAAGGGAGCGGATTTACTCTCCTACGTCGCAAAGATGAAGGCCGAAAATATTGATGAAACTGTCCTCTCAAGTCTAACGTATAAACAACTTGGTAACATTGGTATATCAAAGATTGGAGATCGTCACAAGTTGCAAAAATTCCTTTCAAGGGATGGAAACGACTGCAACAACTCTGTGTGTAAAAACAAGGGTATTTGCCGAGATGGTTTTCGATGTTTCTCATGCATTTGTGATCCAGCAAGTGGGTATTATGGTCTGACTTGCCAACAAAAATGTCCATGTTTAAATGGAGGTGTTTGCAAGACAGTTCCTACAGGTTTTAAATGTGTCTGCCCGCCTGGCTACTCTGGCAATCTATGTAAGGTGAAATACTTAACGGAGGAAAGACTTCTTCAACTGGAGAATTCGGTGAAACAGGTAAAATTTTACTGATGAACTGACTTCATTGCGTGTGATTATAGCTTTATACATTTTTAAAGTCATCAACATTTATAGCCTGTTGAGTAAAGCAAACCTTCTTCTTATTTTATAGCTAAGCTCAAAGTTAAAACAAACCGAAAGAGAACTGGAATCTCAGAAATCTCAACTGGAAACTTTGAAACGCAACGATAGAGGAACGTGGAGGCTACGACGAACAAATGAGGCAAGTGAAAAAATTATACGTGACAAAATGTCATTACGATCGTGCTAAAATCCTAATCTACACATCTCAAAAAAAAACAACAACACAACGCTCCTCTTCACTTGTCAACAAATTATAATAATTGCTTTAAGAATGGACTGACAATGTTATACAATGAAGAAAATCTTTTGGTGAAATAGCTTGATAAAAATAGCACTTTATCAATGTATCTACTAATCAAAGCTCAATCTATTTATCATAGATTTTGAATCAACTGGAGAAGTTACGATTGCATCTTGCAAAACCAACCTACACACAAAAAATCCCCATCATGTTCCCCCAAAACACTCGAGCTATAATAATCTCCGTCTACTGCAAGTACGGGAACCACAAAGGAACTGCTGAATTGAACTATGTAACACATCAAAAAGGAAACGACGACAGTTCGGGAAAAGTTGAAGGCTACAACATGCATCACAATGTCCATGCAAATACATTTTTATACGAACAAATGATTCCATGGAACAATACTCTCGCAAATGAGCTAGTTTTCAAAGTAACATTCTCCCGCTATGAAAGTAGGAATCCTCACAGTTGGTATCGTGTTCGTTTAGTTGGCTATGTGATTGATTAACTGAGACACTAACACCAAGCAATTCTTTAAGAAATACTTAAAACAGCATATGATAGTTTTAGTGTCAGGAATGTAACAATTTGTCATTATTTGTGAGATAATACAATGCTTTACATTGTACTGATCTTTTCTGTATTGCTTGAGGCCTAATTTTCCAACACTGAAAAGTCATATTCCTCATAATCAAATTGCCGTTTGCTAGCAGGCTTATCAAATCATAAAGGAATATTTCGAAATTTTCAACAGACTTCACTGTTCGTGACTGTGAAAATTTGGTGATATTGACGTCACTTTTTGAGTACCTAATCATTATTCAATAAAGTTTTAAAAGTTATTTACACTAAATATGTTTGAGCACGATCATATTTTCTGTTTAAAAGTTACCAATATTTCGTATGAAGAAAAATCTTTAATCAATCTGCTGTAATCGACAAAATGTTTCACTCATTCTTTGAAATATTTTGGGTATAAGCTTACAATGTGTATCACAACATTCATCTACACAAACCTTCATCTCTTCTTGTAATTTTTGTCCTATATTTTATCCTGACATGATCGTGCACATCTTGAGAGGCGGTCCTATCGACAAAAACGAGTAAAAATTACCCAAAGTTCATTTGTAAGAGCCCATAAAGTAGTACAGATTGAAACTTGACCATGGAGGTGTAAAATTTTCAAACATTTGCTGCACATTCAAACAATTAAACATGCAACTTATGCTATGTGATAATAAATAATCATTCATAAATCTGGAAAGTATTGACTTTTTCGTGTATATATGTGCTACAAATACATACTTACCTAAATTGAAAAGGAATATCTGTCATTTCAAAGCACATCTGATACACAAAAAAAAAAACATTGTGCGGTAAAATGTTTTCATCGAGGTCTTCGGTCTTTATCGATAATTTCAGGAAATTGCTTCAGAAAATTTTATGCAAGCACATTTTTACATGAACAAATGATTCCTTGGGATAGTACTCAATCAGATGACTTGGTTTTCAAATTTAAAAGTAACTGGTTCCTACGGTATTGAAATCTGAATTTGTTTCGCGTCCGCTTAGTCGGCTATGTGACTTAGTCATACGTACAGATATATGTACATAGATAAGATATATTTAATGAAGGCAACAACTGATAGAAAAACAAAATTTTAAATGAAAATGCATGGATTTTCTTGTTTGAAAATTTTGTTGAATAAAATGTTCAACAAAAGCCTATCAAAAGCACTTGACTGTAGTCAAGTGCTTTTGATAGGCCTTATGTGTGTTCAGCTTGAATTGAGCATGAGCAAGCACGTGATGAGAGAAATTTGAAAGCCTTCCAACCATGCATATAGTTTAATGAATTTTTCTTTGTCCTCTTAAAAAGAGCCTCTAACACCACATATAGCTATTTAGCATACTGATCTTTGTATTTACCAAAGTGAATTAATTCTGAATTCTTTCCTTCTTGTGTACAATTTGCAGAGGATCGGCAGTAACAGGTATTTTTACAGTCATCAATTAAGAGTTGTTCTAAAATTGAGACTTTACATGACGACAAAGAGTCCAAGACGACAACGAAATCAAATTGGGGTCAGCTAAATGCTGAAGGCATTCAAAAGAAAACAATGTAAAAGCAGGAAACAGAGATATAGATTCACATAACTAGTGTTGACTTTGACACGTTGCTTTATTAAACCATTAGAAAGCAAATAGAAAATGGGACTAGCATTTAATGTTTTCTTCGTCACTTTCATAATTATTGGTACATCTGCAATTTTTACAGAAGCCAAACAATCTTCTCACTGTCTTCGTGGAATCACAGTTAAAGATATACTCATGCTTGCTGGAATCAAGGGAGCGGATTTACTCTCCTACGTCGCCAAGATGAAGGCAGAAAATATTGATCAAACTGTCCTCTCAAGTCTAACGTATAAACAACTTGGTAACATTGGTATATCAAAGATTGGAGATCGTCACAAGTTGCACAAATTCCTTTCAAAGGATGGAAATGACTGCAACAACTCTGTGTGTAAAAACAAGGGTATTTGCCGAGATGGTTTTCGATGTTTCTCATGCATTTGTGATCCAACAAGTGGGTATTATGGTCTGACTTGCCAACGAAAATGTCCATGTTTAAATGGAGGTGTTTGCAAGACAGTTCCTACAGGTTTCAAATGTGTCTGCCCGCCTGGCTACTCTGGCAATCTATGTAAGTTGAAGTACTTAACAGAGGAAAGACTTCTTCAACTGGAGAATTCGGTGAAACAGGTAAAATTTTACTGATGAACTGACTTCATTGCCTGTGAGTATAGAATGGTGGGTAAAGAAAACATGTTTCTTTTCGTTTAGTTAAGCTTAAAGTTAAAACAAACCGAATCTCAACGCAATAATAGAGGATTATGGAGATTACGACGAACAAATGAGGTGAGAAAATGCTTTCATATATCAAAGACAAGGCAATATTACAATTTAGTTAAAAGGATAGCATTATGCATTGCCTGAAGATTTTTATAAGATAAGAAAATTTTTTGATGAAACTGGTGCTAGATTGACCACCGTTTAATGAATAGATGAAGGGAATGTTTTGATGACGTAGGTGATAGTTGATGAAAGAAATCATAGTTGACTTCTTTATAAGATGAGAAAAATTTTTGATGAAACTGGTGCTAGATTGACCACCATTTAATGAATAGATGAAGGGGATGTTTTGATGACGTAGGTGATAGTTGATGAAAGAAATCATAGTTTTTTTTTTATTTATTATTTATTGTTAGCTCGATGGCTCGACGCGGTATTTGTAAAAAGTTGAATTCCCTTTTTCATCGGCTAATAAAAACATCTTCCATTTATCATAGATTTTGAATCAACTGGAGAAGATACAACTGCATCTGGCAACTCCAACCTACACGCAGGCAATTCCGATAGTTCTTCCTCAAAACACTCGAGCTATCATTATCTCCGTTTACTGCAGCTTCTGGAACAGCAAAGGACATGCGTACTTAGACTATGTAACCCATCAAAAGGGAAATGACGACAGTTCCGCGAAAGCTGAAGGCTACAACACACATTACAATGTTAACGCAAACACATTCTTGTATGAACAAATGATTCCCTGGAACACCACTCTTCCAAATGATTTGATCTTCAAAGTAACTAGATCTTATCGTACAGGTGGAGCTAATAATTGGTATCGCGTTCGTTTGGTTGGTTATGTGACTGATTAACTAAGTCTGACATATATTTACTTAGGAAAAACAAACTTGCTGGTAGCACAAGTAGTCACAAAATACAATGTTTCAAAAGAAAATGTTTTTCTTTGTTTGAAAATGTTGTAGAAGTTGTAGAAGTAAAAGGTTTTGTAGTCAATTGCTTTGTTATGTCTTTTGCAAGTTTAACATGAGGGAGCAGATGAAAGAGAAATTTGAAGGCCTTTCAACCATATAATTTCATGAATTTTTGTTTGACCACGTGAACGTTAGGTCACACGTAAAAGGTTCTCAACATATAAAATAAACGCGTAGCTTATATTACGAGTGGCGAAGTATTCACGAGTTTGATACGCATTTGTCAAAACAAGCTTAAGAAGACAAGTTTGCTATGAGCATATACAAGCACTAAATTCAGAGCTCGCTCTGTCAAAAATTAATTGAGAACTAATTTGAGCATGCGTAGTCAACTCCACCAACTCTCCAAGTTCATGGTCATGGCAACGACCAGCTGTATGTACTAGTACCGATTACGGAGTAATTAGCTCGCTCAGTCACAAATTTTCAAATAAATCATATGCGCATGCGCAGTCGAATTGCCCAGTTGCCCAAATTCATGGTCAAGGTACCGAACAACTGCATCTACTAGCACTGATTTTGAAATAAATAGCATGCTTAGTAACAATTTAATAGAGAAATTATCTGCGCATGCGTTCGAGTATGCGCAGTCCACTCGAATAATTGTTCATAGTCTTGGCAACGACTAACCATATGTACTTGCACTACATTTGTTGCAATTAGCTCACTTAGTCGCAAATTATTAAAGAAATGATCTGGGCATGCGCAGTAGTGACTTTAATAACACCACAACTTTCGTAAGCCTTTGAATTTTTGTATATATATATAAAGCTAAAACTTCATCCAATAGATGTCAACTAGCAGTGGAAGCTGGATGCCCAGACTTCGGTCGCGACCGGGACTTTCCCTGCGTACCACGAGCGCAAGGGCCTATCGCAGGTGATCTCGGGGTTTGATGGGCGGAAGGTTTTGCATCTCCCAAGTAGGATAGCGTGGAGGGGCCGAAATCTCCTACCGAAACGTTAAACATGCAGCGTTTTAGTGCCTTGCGCTTAAGAAGGTATCGGGAAGCATGTACCAAAAACGGGTTTTTTTTTGCTTTCGAATTTTATCTTTTTGTTTACAAAATAAACCAAGCAATGTTACAACCAACTTCTTGTGACAATGTTTCAATCAAAACTGAGCCTTTTTCTGACACTTATAATTTAAGACAACCTTAAACATGTTTTATACAATTTTTATTGGTTTATATCTTTCTGATTTAACTCTCTCGTTTACTGTTTCTCATGTATCACGAGCAAAATATACACGGGCTTCATAGCAAACAAGGATTATCTGGTTCCCTTAATTGACATGCGACGCTCTAGTTCTCAAACACAATCTCGGGGTATAGGGAAGTATGGACCAAAAACGGGATTTTTTGTTTTCAAAATTACTTGTCTTTTTTTTTAGAAGAATTCTTCTCATAAAAGAAACTAGAACATCCAAGGATACTGCAAACGTTCAAACAACTTCTGACAAAAAGTCTTAAAATTTAATGATGGCTTTCGATATATTTCCTGCATTTGTGATTCAACAAGTGGGTATTATGGTCTGACTTGCCAACAAAAATGTCCATGTTTAAATGGAGGTGTTTGCAAGACAGTTCCTACAGGTTTTAAATGTGTGTGTCCGCCTGGCTAATGACGATATGACATGACAAAATTGTTAATTTAATTGAAACAATTTATCAATAACTTCATTCTTTAAATAATTGATATTTCATATATTGTTTATTAAAAATAAGACAACAAAAAAAACATCTTTATTTGTAAGTTAATACAAATTTGACAGACATGATAGCCACAGGAACTCAATATACAAGTACAAATAAAAACTTTCGATTACAATTATGCAGACAAGCTACATTGCAAATAAAAAGCACTGATTCAAGCATCAAATACAAATTAGTTTAGTCCAAATTCTATACTATTAACGCCTTCATCTGAAGAAAGTTCTTTACGCACAATAGGTCACTTTATCGCTTCTATCAAATCCATGGACCATTCTAAGGGCCTGTTTATATGAAGCCGAGTTACCCGGCTGAGCGAGTTACTCGCCTAGCCGGGTAACTCGGCCCTTATATAAAATGAATGCATTTCCCGGTGAATCGTTTATATGACACATCCGAGTAACTTGCCTTGCCGGGAACTCGGTTTGTGCAAGCGAGTTACCCAGCTAGGCGGGATGAATTTTTCCATATAAACGCATTTGCCAGGAAAATTGGCTCTGTTGGTACGCATGCGTACTAAGCCTTGTACTTGCAGTATTATAATACAAAAACATACACATGTCATAATTTTCAATTTTATATTCACCCATTCCATTTTTGCTGCGAAACTGTGAGGCTTTTTAAAATCTCGCGTCTTAACTCGAAGTTAGCATAGCCAAACTTCATTTAAGACAAATGAAGGGAAGTACTAGCCCAGCTACCCGGTGCCATATAAACAGATCACTTTGTCAAACCCAATTGAGCCAGAGCCCTCTATAGAATAATTTCTTACAGAGGGCTCTGGGTTGAGCGAGTAACTCGCTTAGCCGGGTAACTCGGCTCCATATAAACAGGCCCTAATAGGAAACTCTTTACTAGAAAATACAGAAATGAAATCACACTAAATATATTTATTACCTTTTGTCCTAGATTATAAATTTTTAGGGCAACTGCCGTTCAATGTAAGAGACGTTCTAAACATGGATCTCGCATACAATTCAAGACAAGAAAGTATAAAACCCGTAAAATTATATTTGACGAACGTATTTTACAGAAAAACTGTTTCTCACCTCATATGCTTGGTATCCTATCCGATGGCATTAAAAATTTTGTCCATAACTGAATCTACATTCGTCAAATTTTCGAAAAACAACTCTTCATAATATTAATACATTCTGGCCAGTTTATCTGGGGTTAGCACTATTTTCCACCCAGCAAACCGCCCTTTACTTTACACAATCGGAAATAAATTAAAGATGGCGGCTAATGGGAAAGAACCAAAAGCTAAAAGGAAACCATGCATGCACTGGTGCTAGGTCGTTTTGAGATGGCGAGTAATTTTATATTTTTATAATACAGTTTTTAATATCAACATATGAAAATATTTACAGATAAATGTTGCAGTATAAATTTTCATGCAACCACCTTAAGTTATAAACTTATAATCCAGGCTGGAAAATATGTCGTTTTTCGACGATTGTGTAAAATATTATATAAAATATTATATTGTGTAAAATATTAGATTGTGTAAAATATTATATTGTGTAAAACATTATATTTCAAAGTAAAGGGCGGTTTGCTGGGTGGAAAATAGTGCTAACCTTTATCTGGCTCATTGAACTAAATTATATTTAGTTCAATGATCTGGCTGGAGTAATGGCGACGCAAAAGATGCGCACTTAAGAACTGGGTACAAGTAGGGGACAGATATTTCGCTGAGTGGCGCTTCTGTTACGTTTCTATTCTGTGCTCTAACACCACATATAACTATTTAGCATACCGATCTTTGTGTTTACCAAAGTGAATTAATTCTGAATTCTTTCCTTCTTGTGTACAATTTGCAGAGGATCGGCGGCAACAGGTTTTTTTACAGTCATCAATTAAGAGTTGTTCTAAAATTTAGACTTTACATGACGACAAAGAGTCCAAGACGACAACGAAATCAAATTGGTGTCAGCTAAATGCTGAAGGCATTCAAAAGAAAACAATGTAAAAGCAGGAAACAGAGATATAGATTCACATAACTAGTGTTGACTTTGACACGTTGCTTTATTAAACCATTAGAAAGCAAATAGAAAATGGGGCTAGCATTTAATGTTTTCTTCGTCACTTTCATAATTATTGGTACATCTGCTATTTTTACAGAAGCCAAACAATCTTCTCACTGTCTTCGTGGAATCACAGTTAAAGATATACTCATGCTTGCTGGAATCAAGGGAGCGGCTTTACTCTCCTACGTCGCCAAGATGAAGGCAGAAAATATTGATCAAACTGTCCTCTCAAGTCTAACGTATAAACAACTTGGTAACATTGGTATATCAAAGATTGGAGATCGTCACAAGTTGCACAAATTCCTTTCAAAGGATGGAAATGACTGCAACAACTCTGTGTGTAAAAACAAGGGAATTTGCCGAGATGGTTTTCGCTGTTTTTCATGCATTTGTGATCCAACAAGTGGGTATTATGGTCTGACTTGCCAACGGAAATGTCCATGTTTAAATGGAGGTGTTTGCAAGACAGTTCCTACAGGTTTCAAATGTGTCTGCCCGCCTGGCTACTCTGGTGATCTATGTAAGGTGAAATATTTAACAGAGGAAAGACTTCTTCAACTGGAGAATTCAGTGAAACAGGTAAAATTTTACTGATGGACTGACTTCATTGCGTGTGATTATAGCTTTATACATATTTAAGGTCATCAACTTTTATAGCCTGTTGAGTAAAGCAAACATTCTTCTTATTTTTTAGTTAAGCTCAAAGTTGGAACAAACCGAAAAAGAACTGGAATCTCAGAAATCTCAACTGGAAACTTTGAAACGCAACGATAGAGGAACGTGGAGGTTACGACGAACAAATGAGGCAAGTGAAAAAAATGCGGTCGTGCTAAAATCCTAATTGTCTACACATCTCAAGAAAAAAACAACACAACGCTCCTCTTCCCTTGTCAACATATTATAATAATTGCTTTAACAATGGACTGACAATGTTATACAATGAAGAAAATCTTTTGGTGAAATAGCTTTAAAAAAATAGCACTTTATCAATGTATCTACTAATCAAAGCTCATTCTATTTATCATAGATTTTGAATCAACTGGAGAAGTTACGATTGCATCTTGCAAAACCAACCTACACACAAAAAATCCCCATCATGTTCCCCCAAAACACTCGAGCTATAATAATTTCCGTCTACTGCCACTACGGGAACCACAAAGGAGCTGCTGACTTGTACTATGTAACACATCAAAAAGGAAACGACGACAGTTCGGGAAAAGTTGAAGGCTACAACTTGCATTACAATGTCCATGGAAATACATTTTTATACGAACAAATGATTCCATGGAACAATACTCTCGCAAATGAACTAGTTTTCAAAGTAACATACTCCCGCTATGAAAGTAGGAATCCTCACAGTTGGTATCGTGTTCGTTTAGTTGGCTATGTGATTGATTAACTGAGACACTAACACCAAGCAATTCTTTAAGAAATACTTAAAACAGCATATAATAGTTTTAGTGTAAGAATGTAACAATTTGTCATTATTTGTGAGATAATACAATGCTTTACATAGTATTGATCTTTTCTGTATTGTTTGAGGCCTAAATTTCCAACACTGACAAGTTATATTGCTCATAACCAAATTGCCGTTCGCTAGCAGGCTTATAAAATCATAAAGGAATATTTCGAAATTTTCAACAGACTTCACTGTTCATGACTGTGAAAATTTGGTGACATTGACGTCACTTTTTGAGCACCTAATCATTATTCAATAAAGTTTTAAAAGTTATTTACACTAAATATGTTTGAACACGATCATATTTTCTGTTTAAAAGTTACCAATATTTCATATGAAGAAAAATCTTTAATCAATCTGCTGTAATCGACAAAATGTTTCACTCATTCTTTGAAATATTTTGGGTAGAAGCTTACAATGTGTATCACAACATTCATCTACACAAACCTTCATCTCTTCTTGTAATTTTTGTCCTATATTTTATCCTGACATGATCGTGCACATCTTGAGAGGCGGTCCTATCGACAAAAACGAGTAAAAGTTACTCAAAGTTCATTTGTAAGAGCCCGTAAAGTAGTACAGATTGAAACTTGACCATGGAGGTGTAAAATTTTCAAACATTTGCTGCACATTCAAACAATTAAACATGCAACTTATGCTATGTGATAATAAATCATTCATAAATCTGGAAAGTATTGACTTTTCGTGTATATATGTGCTACAAATACATACTTACCTAAATTGAAAAGTAATATCTGTCATTTCAAAGCACATCTAATACACAAAAAAAAACATTGTGCGATAAAATGTTTTCATCGAGGTCTTTGGTCTTTATCGATATTTCAGGAAATTGCCTCAGGAAATTTTATGCAAGCACATTTTTACATGAACAAGGTCCTGCAACATTGCAAGACAGATCCTACAGGTTTCAAATGTGTCTGCCCGCCTTGTTCCTAAAGTGATCTAAGTAAGTTGAAATACTTAACTGAAGAAAGACTTCTTCAACTGGAGAATTCAGTGAAAAAGGTAAAATTTTACTGATGGACTGACATTGCGTGTGATAATAGCTCTATACATATATAAGGTCATCAACTTTTATAGCCTGTTGAGTAAAGCAAACCTTCTTATTTTATAGCTAAGCTCAAAGTTGAAACAAACCGAAAGAGAACTGGAATCTCAGAAATCTCAACTGGAAACTTTGAAACGCAACGATAGAGGAACGTGGAGGTTACGACGAACAAATGAGGCAAGTGAAAAAATTATACCTGACAAAATGTCATTACGATCGTGCTAAAATCCTAATTGTCTACACATCTTAAGAAAAAAAAGAACACAACGCTCGTCTTCACTTGTCAACAAATTATAATAATTGCTTTAAGAATAAACTGACAATGTTATACAATGAAGAAAATCTTTTGGTGAAATAGCTTGATAAAAATAGCACTTTATCAATGTATCTACTAATCAAAGCTCATTCTATTTATCATAGATTTTGAATCAACTGGAGAAGTTACGATTGCATCTTGCAAAACCAACCTACACACAGAAAATCCCCATCATGTTCCCCCAAAACACTCGAGCTATAATAATCTCCGTCTACTGCAGCTACGGGAACCACAAAGGAACTGCTGAATTGAACTATGTAACACATCAAAAAGGAAACGACGACAGTTCGGGAAAAGTTGAAGGCTACAACATGCATTACAATGTTCATGCAAATACATTTTTATACGAACAAATGATTCCCTGGAACAATACTCTCGCAAATGAACTAGTTTTCAAAGTAACATTCTCCCGCTGTGGAAGTAGGAATCCTAATAGTTGGTATCGTGTTCGTTTAGTTGGCTATGTGATTGATTAACTGAGGCACTAACACCAAGCAATTCTTTAAGAAATACTTAAAACAGCATATGATAGTTTTAGTGTCAGGAATGTAACAATTTGTCATTATTTGTGAGATAATACAATGCTTTGCATTGTAGTGATCTTTTCTGTATTGTTTGAGGCCGAAATTTCCAACACTGACAAGTTATATTGCTCATAACCAAAATACCGTTTGCTAGCAGGCTTATCAAATCATAAAGGAATATTTCGAAATTTTCAACAGACTCCACTGTTCATGACTGTGAAAATTTGGTGATGTTGACGTCGCTTTTTGAGTACCTAACCATTATTCAATAAAGTTTTAAAAGTTATTTACACAAAAATGTTTGAACACGATCATATTTTCTGTTTAAAAGTTACCAATATTTCATATGAAGAAAAATCTTTAATCAATCTGCTGTAATCGACAAAATGTTTCACTCATTCTTTGAAACATTTTGGGTAGAAGCTTACAATGTGTATCACAACATTCATCTACACAAACCTTCATCTCTTCTTGTAATTTTTGTCCTATACTTTATCCTGACATGATCTTGCACATCTTGAGAGGCGGTCCTATCGACAAAAACGAGTAAAAATTACCCAAAGTTCATTTGTAAGAGCTCGTAAAGTAGTACAGATTGAAACTTGACTATGGAGGTGTAAAATTTTCAAACATTTGCTACACATTCAAACAAGTAAACATGCAACTTATGCTATGTGATAATAAATCATTCATAAATCTGGAAAGTATTGACTTTTTCGTGTATATATGTGCTACAAATACATACTTACCTAAAATGAAAAGGAATATCTGTCATTTCAAAGGACATCTAATACACAAAAAAAAACAATGTGCGATAAAATGTTTTCATCGAGGTCTTCGGTCTTTATCGATAATTTCAGGAAATTGCTTCGGGAAATTTTATGAAAGCACATTTTTACAAGAACAAATGATTCCTTGGGATAGTACTCACTCAGATGACTTGGTTTTCAAATTTAAAAGTAACTGGTTCCTATCGTATTGAAATATGAATTGGTATCGCGTCCGCTTAGTCGGCTATGTGACTTAGTCATACGTACAGATATATGTACATATATGAGATATATTTAATGAAGGCAACAACTTATAGAAAAACAAAATTTTAAATGAAAATGCATGGATTTTCTTGTTTGAAAATTTTGTTAAATAAAATGAACTGTAGTCAATTGCTTTTGATGGGCCTTATATGTGTGTTCAGCTTGAATTGAGCATGAGCAAGCAGGTGATGAGAGAAATTTGAAAGCCTTTCAACCATGCATATAGTTTAATGAATTTTTCTTTGTCCTCTCAAAAAGAGCTTCTAACACCACATATAGCTATTTAGCATACCGATCTTTGTATTTACCAAAGTGAATTAATTCTGAATTCTTTCCTTCTTGTGTACAATTTGCAGAAGATCGGCAGCAACAGGTTTTTTTACAGTCATCAATTAAGAGTTGTTCTAAAATTGAGACTTTACATGACGACAAAAAGTCCAAGACGACAACGAAATCGAATTGGGGTCAGCTAAATGCTTAAGGCATTCAAAAGAAAACAATGTAAAAGCAGGAAACAGAGATGTAGATTCACATAACTAGTGTTGACTTTGACACGTTGCTTTATTAAACCATTAGAAAGCAAATAGAAAATGGGGCTAGCATTTAATGTTTTCTTCGTCACTTTCATAATTATTGGTACATCTGCTATTTTTACAGAAGCCAAACAATCTTCTCACTGTCTTCGTGGAATCACAGTTAAAGATATACTCATGCTTGCTGGAATCAAGGGAGCGGATTTACTCTCCTACGTCGCAAAGATGAAGGCAGAAAATATTGATCAAACTGTCCTCTCAAGTCTAACGTATAAACAACTTGGTAAAATTGGTATATCAAAGATTGGAGATCGTCACAAGTTGCACAAATTCCTTTCAAAGGATGGAAATGACTGCAACAACTCTGTGTGTAAAAACAAGGGAATTTGCCGAGATGGTTTTCGATGTTTCTCATGCATTTGTGATCCAACAAGTGGGTATTATGGTCTGACTTGCCAACGAAAATGTCCATGTTTAAATGGAGGTGTTTGCAAGACAGTTCCTACAGGTTTCAAATGTGTCTGCCCGCCTGGCTACTCTGGTGATCTATGTAAGGTGAAATATTTAACAGAGGAAAGACTTCTTCAACTGGAGAATTCAGTAAAACAGGTAAAATTTTACTGATGGACTGACTTCATTGCGTGTGATTATAGTTTTATACATATTTAAGGTCATCAACTTTTATAGCCTGTTGAGTAAAGCAAACATTCTTCTTATTTTTTAGTTAAGCTCAAAGTTGGAACAAACCGAAAAAGAACTGGAATCTCAGAAATCTCAACTGGAAACTTTGAAACGCAACGATAGAGGAACGTGGAGGTTACGACGAACAAACGAGGCAAGTGAAAAATTATACGTGACAAAATGTCATTACGATCGTGCTAAAATCCTAATTGTCTACACATCTTAAAAAAAAACAACATAGCGCTCCTCTTCCCTTGTCAACAAATTATAATAATTGCTTTAAGAATGGACTGACAATGTTATACAATGAAGGAAATCTTTTGATGAAATAGCTTGATAAAAATAGCACTTTATCAATGTATCTACTAATCAAAGCTCATTCTATTTATCATAGATTTTGAATCAACTGGAGAAGATACAACTGCATCAGGCAACTCCAACCTACACGCAGGCAATTCCAATAGTTCTTCCCCAAAACACTCGAGCTATCATTATTTCCGTTTACTGCCACTTCTGGAACAGCAAAGGACATGCGCACTTAAACTATGTAACCCATCAAAAAGGAAATGACGACAGTTCCGCGAAAGCTGAAGGCTACAACCTGCATTACAATATTTATGGAAACACATTCTTGTATGAACAAATGATTCCATGGAACACCACTCTTCCAAATGATTTGATGTTCAAAGTGACTTACTCTTATCGTGATGGTGGAGCTAATAATTGGTATCGCGTTCGTTTGGTCGGTTATGTGACTGATTAACTGAGTCTGACATATGAACGAAATAAGTTTTTAAGAGATATGAAAAAACTTCAGCTTCAGTTAGTGAAAATAGCAGCTTCAATTAAAAAATAAAAGCAGCAATTTGTGAGTAGATAAAACGCTTTGTAATCAGTTGATTCTATTGATGTGTTAATTGACCAACACTGAGAAGTTATATTGTCCAGAACATAAAATGCCTTTTGCAAGAATGATTATGACAAATATTTTCCAAAATGTCAATAGACAAGAGTTCTTCAGAAAATTTTGTTTTCACAGACATATCACCTTAATATCACTTTCCGAGTTCCTTTTCATTATTCAATAAAGTTTTTAAATTATCTTTACATTAAATATGATATTTGAACATGATCATATTTTCTGGGTAAAATTTACCAATATTGAACGTAAAAAAACTTTAATTAGTCTGCTGTAATCGAAGCAATGTTTCACTCATTCTTTGAAACAATTTGGGTAGAAGTTCACGGTGTGTATCACAACATTCATCTACACAAACCTTCATCTCTTCTTGTAACTTACTTGCCTCTAGCTGAGTAGTGTTAACTGTTATTTTGTCCTGTATTTTATCCTGACATGCTCGAGCACATCTAGACAAGCGGTCCTTACGAAAAAAGAAGAAATAATAAGCTGACTACCACATTTGTATGTAGGGTTAAAATACTTCAGTTGAAATGATGTTTAGCAGGCACTTTATGTCACTGATAAGCGGACAAGTGCCACAGACTCAGAATATCAAAAAGGGCATGCAAGTTCAACTTTAAATAAGTTTATAGCAAATGTTTTAATTTCAAATTTCGAAAGCCTGACCCAAACTATAACCCATATTTTAATCCTAACCAAAAAGCTAACTTCTATATCATTGCTTTTGCTTTTCCACTTGTTAAAAAGCGAAACAGTGTTTTGCTGTGAGTGTTGCTGTTATTTGCATTTTCTGATTATTTATAGCTATATGTGCCCACATTGTTTATGATCACTGCGATAAGACTTTTGGTGTCCAATAAGCTGCATTCTAGCCTTAATTTGCAAAGGTTTTCAAAAATCCATGAAAGGAGATACTTAACTGGTATTAAAATTCAAACAAGTTAAGTTAGTTCTAATGCCAATACCAACACACTCTGCACATCATTCTTGTACCTGAAAATTATTGATTTCCCCATTTATATACTCCTGAGCTCTTTGTGAAGGAAGAAAACATTTTGATATGCAGCCCTGAACGACTTGGGTAGTTGAAGAATCCTCACAGCAGTCAGCTGCACAAAGATGAGCCTTTCTCTAAAGATTCATTGTGCATTTCAGAGAAAGCAAATGAATTAAATAAACTAACAAATAGAACCCACGTAATAAATCATCCTTCTATAAATTACAGGCAAACAATGGCAAAATTAATCATTGGGACGAGTCCAAGTCACTCTACTCTACTGTACAGTCTCTCTGTGGTCTACTGAGTACTGTCATACTGACGAGTTGTAGAGATGACTGACGACCACGTGGTGGAAAGTTTGAACAAAATATCGAAACTCTGTTTTACAAAGGAGCGGCAAAAAGTTAACTATAAGCTGCTCCTTTACCTGCATTGGTCGTATACTATCTTTTTCCAATGAATTGAGCATACATTCCGCTTCCTTTTGTACACGAGATTGGGCATTCTCCGCCATATTGATTTTGCCTCTGGAAAATTAACTCCCCCCAGTACAACTTACAAAATCTCCCACCCCCAGTACAACTTAAAATCTCCCACCCCAGTACAACTTACAAAATCTCCCACCACCAGTACAACTTACAAAATCTCCCACCCCCAGTTCAACTTACAAAATCTCCCACCCCAGTACAACTTACAAAATCTCCCCAGTACAACTTACAAAATCTCCCCAGTACAACTTACAAAATCCAATGATTGTGTGTCATCGTCGTGCAAATAAACCTGGTAAAAACAAAACAACGATATCTGTGGACATTATTTCGCTCAAAACAGTCTTAAAATGACGTCATTTTTTTAAGGGAAAAACGGAATTTCAAACAAAGGACGTAGGAATGTTTTCCATGTTAAGGGGAGGGGAATTAATGAGAAAAGTTTGAAAATTAAATTTTCGAGAGCCGTCATTTTATAGGAGTCCTCTGTTCCTTGTTTACCATTTTGTCTATTTTTCGAAGGCAAAGGGCAAAATTTTGTTGACTATAGAGGGGTGACAGGTGACTAACACCCCAAATTGTTAACCCCAAATGGCAAAGATTGAGTTTCAGGATAAATTGCAAAAAGAAATACTCATGGGATACCTCGCAACAAAATACAACGCAATACTTTTTAACTTTGTCTGCACTTGCCTTTCGGTTAGCTGTCAAATAATGTTTGCATTTGATATCAATGAAGTTTCATGTTGAAATTTTATACTCTTTTTTATCAATTAACATGTAAAATTTTGTCTATTGATCAAGTTTTGGCCATGCATACAAGTCATGGCCAGAATATTGTATTCTTTGACCTTAATCTAAATCATTCGCTCGCTATAACTGTAAGTAATGGCTCACACACCAAAACTGTAAGACATTGTGTAGGCATGACGTCATTACTATCGCTTTCCATCATAAATCCGTGTTGAAGAACTTTATTTACGCCACCAAAAACTTAAACAGTAGTTTGTTGATTAACCTTCAGTTCCCTTAAGATCTCTTTCAATTTCGTCAATCTTTGTCGATGTCCTTCCTTGTCAATGACAGTTTGACTTCGGGCGTGTAGATTCAAGATGTTCTCGTATTCAGCATCGGTGTACTTTGCTCCTTGTTCAACCAGTCCGACCAAGAAGTCCTTTATAGTGCAATAGAAATACAACACGGAATGAACATGTAATAAACAGACACGTTGTTGTTTTGGATTTGATTACGTAATACTTTGGTTGAAAAACAAATTAAGTTAATACAAATATGAACGACAAATACATAAGTGGATGATAGTTTATTTAAGAATGAATGCCAGTTAACCTAATCTTGGGCTATAGTTGTGGATATTTGAACAAATGAAAACAGGATGCAAATGAAATGAATGAAGTTGTGAGGCTAGCCGATTTGAAGTTGAATTTTCGTAAATTTAACCACAGGGCTATTTGATCAAAGTTCAAGTAGACAGCTACAAGCAAAACGTTTGAAAAACATAGCCAAAAAAAGATTTCTAAAGGCATATTTAAGGTTTCACAGGACACAATGATCACTTTTCGATCTACAACTGTTGACAATCGAAGACAGGGTTCGACTTTGCGACGAAGCAAAAAAAACTGTTTTCATTATGTAGCTAAGTCTTTGAAAAATGAATACTCACCCCTGGAATTTTGTACAGCAAATCATAATAAAGTCTTGCTTTATCGAGGTCTGGTTCACGGGATTGTGTTATATTCAGGAGATTTTGCTGAATGGCGAAAATGTTTCTCGACCTGTTCAAAAGTTTTAAAAGCATAAGAAAATAGCACACTATTTAAATGCCATGCTCGTCAGCATTTCGAGTGGGAAGTGCAACCTACATCTTCTTGGTGCCATTGGCGTTCATTTTTTTAATATATGGTGCGGCAGAAATGATGAGCATTGACATCATGTGACCAAGTCCTTCAAACATATATCTAGAAAGTAAAAACCGAATTATTTGGTGTTCCAAGTAATCGCGCGGTATATTAATATTTCGACGGGAAATTGGCATTCCTACAGCACCCCATCTAATCACGGATAGAGGGGTGCACACCCTTCTGCATCCCTTCCTACAGTACATCCATATCTGCAAATGCTAAATAAGAAAAAAAATCATATTCACTGACTTAAACTTGTGAGGCGCCAAGGTAGTGGAGACAATGTCTTCTAAAGCAACCAGGTCTTTGTTCATATTGATAACCAATGTATCAGCATCAACTGACTCTACACTGCAAACGTAACTCCTCTGCAATGTAGATGATGTTAAACTTTGATCAATTTATTTGGTAAGTTACATAAGTCAGAAGACAGTCCATTTTACATTACTTTCTCACGTAATGATGCGAAGTTCGTTTGAAAGTTCAAATATTATCCAATCATCATGCATTGTGAACTTGAACTGGCAATTTGATTGGACGATATATGATCTTCGCAAAGAAATCTGAACTTTAGAAAAACCTATGCAACATTACGTGAAAAAATAGCGTGAAGAGAACAATGTAAAACACCTAAGATCTTCGCAATCTGCAATATATGATAAAGTATTGTTTACATACGAGTGAAAAATTTAAGCCATAAGACTTCATCGTGCAAAATTAAACGCATACCTGCTTCAAAGCTTGCATTAAATAGTAGAAACAATGACAGCGTATTTCCAAATGCAAAACCAAGAGGCATAGTTCAGCAAGATTTTGAAAATCTTGTCCAAGATCACTCAAGGCTCTGGATCAACAAGAAAGATGAAATTCGGTTTTCGTATTAAATAAGCTATCGTTTAAGACTTTCTACGAACCACACGAATGGCAAACTCGTGCAAACATTAATGATAGCTAACTTTCATAATACAGTATAAAAAACGCGGTACACAGTCTTGTACAGTCAAGTAGTCTTGATTAAGAGTGACGAAGCTAGTCCAAATTCTGAATATGCAAATTGTTTAGTATGTTTATGTCTTTTGGTTTAATCAGTTAAGAAAATTAATTTTCACTTATTGTTCATTCAGTGAATCAACATAAAACATGTGTCTTGCAAGATTAAAACGTTAGGCCATCAAAACTAAATCGAAAGACTCTTCGTTGATACGAATGCGCGCAACAAACACCAACTTATACCTATATCTTATGCACAGAACAAATTATCAAAATACCTCAACATGTCTTCGGATAGAGGAGGGATCTCTTGCTGAAAAGTAAAACAAAAACATAAAAATCAATGCTAAATACATGTGGCCCATGATTCAAATCATTATCTCAAATCGAAATCGTAAATCAGAGGAGTAAGCCAAATGATTAATCCAAATCCATACACACCCCTTTCAATTTGTCAGATGATACATGCGAGACAACATTTATCCCCGTCGTGCTAGCGCTTATGTTGCTCGCAAAGGATTTAATGCGACCAACGAGCCATTCCTAAAGATGATAATCAATCATTACTATCGTTTGCATAGCTCAAGATGACATATAAATTATTTACTGTGTTCCACCAGCGAGAGTATTAATTTACCATAACATATTGTTGCAACGTGTGGTAATCAAATCTTTTGTATAGTTAAAAAGACAGCAGAGAAATCATGGGAAAATCTTCGGTATCATGTCTAACCTCAGTCACAAAATGTTTTTCCTTGCTCAACCAACAGTGAAAATGTTCATTGGCATTACGGGAAAAGCTTGTCACGAAAGCGTATTTAGAAAACATGCGCCATAAAAAAATACGAATAAACGATAAGGTATACGAAAATTGACCAACATACAATGCTCTCTTGTAAATTTGCCTAGGTCTTGAGATCCACAAGATCCAGGATGACTTCATTCTTCTTGATCACATTTTCAACAAGCTTATTAAGGATTTCTGATTCCTAAAAATACCACAGCAACGTCGCCAATGTACGTTGATATTCTTTCCCTTTCAACAGCATATCGTAATATAAGTGTAGACAAGAAAAAGCGCGAAGAGTATGATGGTATAAAAGATAAATAGTAGGACTACTTTGCTATGAAACTTTTTGCTGTATTTATAATTAGATTAATGACTACCGTTAGCCAGCTCAGTGTTCCTATTGGTCAGAAAATACAATAAGCAGGCAGCCACTATTGATGGAAACATGCGCAATACGATATGCACGCACAAAATATTGAATAGAGTGAGTACTGGGACTAGTGCTTATTTCTTATACTGTACATGAAAACAGCTAACCTTTTCGTTTCTCATTCTGATTGCTTCAGAGTTTTCTTCCATTTCCTTCAATATATTAAAATATACTGTAGTATACGAGTTAAGAATATAATAAACGACGAATTAGGACATTAAAATCGTTCTTTTCTGCATAAATAATGACAAATAAAATTTACTTTTTATGATAGATCAATACAACATAACGCAAGAAAAGAAAGTTTCTGGTGTGATGTTTGATGATGCTTCCTTTTTTGCTGATATTATCCCCCCCCCCTTAAACTCCTTTTATCCACTGGCTGTCAATATCTGTTAAACATCTTCGTCCACCTTAGAGTGATAAAAACTTCCAATGTAAAAATAAACTTGAGCTATACCAACCTTTTTTCTGTGTTTGCCAGGTCCGTGAACGTTCGTCCAGTTAGGCAACGACCTTCAAACATACACATAATATATTTGAAGATATTCTCCGCAGCTCAATTATATAAAATAACTTTTCACCTCAATTCATGGCCAATTTCCTTCGCCCAAGTTGCACTGAGGATAGGCGACGTTGAATTGTTTTGAGAAATCTTAACAATGGCTGAAAAACAAACGTGTTTTGTTTTCATAATAATAAGACCCAGGCCAGTTTCAACGTCCAAATGTGTGCTTAGCGCATAAGGCGTATGAGAACGTGGAAGTTTGTAAGACTCCACACAATAAACTTAACTTAACTACATAATATGAAGCAGTTGCATAAGTATAGCAAAAATTCCCTCACTGTTATAAGCAGCCCAACAGGTATCCTTGTAGTTGCGTAAAACGGCACAGATCATGTTCATGAATGTTGATGCGTGAAGGGGCAGAGCGAGCATGGAGCTTTTCAGATCTTGAATCATTTCCTCAACCAAAACGGTGCTCTTTTGAAAAAAGAAAACAAATGTGTGCTGTAGCAAAAATGCAAATTTAGGAACGACAGCATCGTTATCGATCGACATTATGATGAATCGCAGGGAGAATTTTACCAAGATTACTTGCAATGATTACTAAAAGATAATTGGTTGAGCAATTTCACAATGGTAACTTGTCGCTAGTCTCATATAGAGTCATGGTCGGCAGTACAGTTAAACAATGGTAACTCGTCGCTAGTCTCAAAGTAGTCACAAAATACAATGTTTCAAACGAAAATGTTTTTCTTTGTTTGAAAATGTTGTAGAAGTTGTAGAAGTAAAAGGTTTTGTAGTCAATTGCTTTGTTATGTCTTTTGCAAGTTTAACATGAGCGAGCAGATGAAAGAGAAATTTGAAGGCCTTTCCACGATATAATTTCATGAATTTTTGTTTGACCACGTAAACGTTAGGTCACACGCAAAAGGTTCTCAATATATAAAATAAACGCGTAGCTTATATTACGAGTGGCGTAACAAAGTATTCACGAGTTTGATACGCATTTGTCAAAACAAGCTTAAGAAGACAAGTTTGCTATGAGCATATACAAGCACTAAATTCAGAGCTCGCTCTGTCAAAAATTAATTGAGAACTAATCTGAGCTTGCGTAGTCATCTCCACCAACTCTCCAAGTTCATGGTCATGGCAACGACCAGCTGTATGTACTAGTACCGATTACGGAGTAATTAGCTCGCTCAGTCACAAATTTTCAAATAAATAATCTGCGCATGCGCAGTCGAATTGACCAGTTGCCCAAGTTCATGGTCATGGTACCGAACAACTGCATCTACTAGCACCGATTTTGAAATAAATAGCATGCTTAGTAACAATTTAATAGAGAAATCATCTGCGCATGCGCTCGAGTATGCGCAGTTCACTCGAATACTTGTTCATAGTCTTGGCAACGACTAACCTTATGTACTTGCACTACATTTGTTGCAATTAGCTCACTTAGTCGCAAATTATTAAAGAAATCATCTGGGCATGCGCAGTAGTGACTTTAATAATACCACAACTTTCGTAAGCCTTTGAATTTTGTATATATATATATATATATATATATATTTATATAAAGCTACAACTTCATCTAATAGATGTCAACTAGCAGTGGAAGCTGGATGCCCAGACTTCGGTCGCGACCGCACTCTCCCTGCGTACCCCGAGCAAAGCCTATCGCAGGTGATCTCGGGTCTGATGGGCAGAAGCTTTTGCATCTCCCAAGTACGATAGCGTGGAGGGGCCGAAATCTCCTACCGAAACGTTAACATGCGGCGTTCTAGTGCCTTGCGCTTAAGAAGGTATCGGGAAGCATGTACCAAAAACGGGTTTTTTTTGCTTTCGAATTTTATCTTTTTGTTTACAAAATAAACCAAGCAATGTTTCAACCAACTTCTTGTGACAATGTTTCAATCAAAAACTGAGCCTTTTTCTCACACTTATATTTTAAGACAACCTTAAACATGTTTTATACAATTTTTATTGGTTTATATCTTTCTGATTTAACTCTCTTGTTTACTGTTTCTCATGTATCACGAGCAAACCATACACGGGCTTCATAGCAAACAAGGATTATCTGGTTCCTTAATTGACATGCGACGCTCTAGTTCTCAAACACAATCTAAGGGTATCGGGAAGTATGGACCAAAAACGGGATATTTTGTTTTCAAAATTACTTGTCTTTTTTCTTTACAAGAATTCTTCTCATAAAAGAAACTAGAACATCCAAGGATACTGCAAACGTTCAAACAACTTCTGTCTTTTTGACTTAAAATTTAATGATGGCTTTCGATATATTTCCTGCATTTGTGATCCAACAAGTGGGTATAATGGTCTGAATTGCCAACAAAAATGTCCATGTTTAAATGGAGGTGTTTGCAAGACAGTTCCTACAGGTTTCAAATGTATGTGTTTGCCTGGCTTATGACAATATGACATAATGACAAAATTGTTAATTTAATTGAACAATTTTTCAATAACTTCATTCTTTAAATAATTGTTATTTCATATATTGTTTATTAAAAATAAGACAACAAAAAAACATCTTTATTTGTAAATTAATACAAATTTGACAGACATGATAGCCACAGGAACTCAATATACAATTACAAATAAAAACTTTCGATTACAATTATGCACACAAGCTACATTGCAAATAAAAAGCACCAATTCAAGCATCAAATACAAATTAGTTTAGTCCAAATTCTATACTAATAACGTCTTCATCTGAAGAAAGTTCTTTACGCACAATAGGTCACTTTATCGCTTCTATCAAATCCATGGACCATTCTAAGGGCCTGTTTATATGAAGCCGAGTTACCCGACTGAGCGAGTTACTCGCCTAGCCGGGTAACTCGACCCTTATATAAAATGAATGCATTTCCCGGTGAATCGTTTATATGACACATCCGAGTAACTTGCCTTGCCGGGAACTCGGTTTGTGCAAGCGAGTTACCCAGCTAGGCGGGATGAATTTTTCCATATAAACGCATTTGCCAGGAAAATTGGCTCTGTTGGTACGCATGCGTACTAAGCCTTGTACTTGCAGTATTATAATACAAAAACATACACATGTCATAATTTTCAATTTTATATTCACCCATTCCATTTTTGCTGCGAAACTGTGAGGCTTTTTAAAATCTCGCGTCTTTACTCGAAGTTAGCATAGGCAAACTTCATGTAAGACAAATGAAGGGAAGTACTAGCCCAGTTACCCGGTGCCATATAAACAGATCACTTTGTCAAACCCAATTGAGCCAGAGCCCTCTATAGAATAATTTCTTACAGAGGGCTCTGGGTTGAGCGAGTAACTCGCTTAGCCGGGTAACTCGGCTCCATATAAACAGGCCCTAATAGGAAACTCTTTACTAGAAAATACAGAAATGAAATCACACTAAATATATTTATTACCTTTTGTCCTAGATTATAAATTTTTAGGGCAACTGCCGTTCAATGTAAGAGACGTTCTAAACATGGATCTCGCATACAATTCAAGACAAGAAAGTATAAAACCCGTAAAATTATATTTGACGAACGTATTTTACAGAAAAACTGTTTCTCACCTCATATGCTTGGTATCCTATCCGATGGCATTAAAAATTTTGTCCATAACTGAATCTACATTCGTCAAATTTTCGAAAAACAACTCTTCATAATATTAATACATTCTGGCCAGTTTATCTGGGGTTAGCACTATTTTCCACCCAGCAAACCGCCCTTTACTTTACACAATCGGAAATAAATTAAAGATGACGGCTAATGGGAAAGAACCAAAAGCTAAAAGGAAACCATGCATGCACTGGTGCTAGGTCGTTTTGAGATGGCGAGTAATTTTATATTTTATAATACAGTTTTAATATCAACATATGAAAATATTTACAGATAAATGTTGCAGTATAAATTTTCATGCAACCACCTTAAGTTATAAACTTATAATCCAGGCTGGAAAATATGTCGTTTTTCGACGATTGTGTAAAATATTATATAAAATATTATATTGTGTAAAATATTAGATTGTGTAAAATATTATATTGTGTAAAACATTATATTTCAAAGTAAAGGGCGGTTTGCTGGGTGGAAAATAGTGCTAACCTTTATCTGGCTGGAGTAATGGCGACGCAAAAGATGCGCACTTAAGAACTGGGTACAAGTAGGGGACAGATATTTCGCTGAGTGGCGCTTCTGTTACGTTTCTATTCTGTGCTCTAACACCACATATAACTATTTAGCATACCGATCTTTGTGTTTACCAAAGTGAATTAATTCTGAATTCTTTCCTTCTTGTGTACAATTTGCAGAGGATCGGCGGCAACAGGTTTTTTTACAGTCATCAATTAAGAGTTGTTCTAAAATTTAGACTTTGCATGACGACAAAGAGTCCAAGACGATAACGAAATCGAATTGGTGTCAGCTAAATGCTGAAGGCATTCAAAAGAAAACAATGTAAAAGCAGGAAACAGAGATGCAGATTCACATAACTAGTGTTGACTTTGACATGTTGCTTTATTAAACCGTTAGAAAGCAAATAGAAAATGGGAAAAGCATTTAATGTTTTCTTCGTCACTTTCATAATTATTGGTACATCTGCTATTTTTACAGAAGCCAAACAATCTTCTCACTGTCTTCGTGGAATCACAGTTAAAGATATACTCATGCTTGCTGGAATCAAGGGAGCGGCTTTACTCTCCTACGTCGCCAAGATGAAGGCAGAAAATATTGATCAAACTGTCCTCTCAAGTCTAACGTATAAACAACTTGGTAACATTGGTATATCAAAGATTGGAGATCGTCACAAGTTGCACAAATTCCTTTCAAAGGATGGAAATGACTGCAACAACTCTGTGTGTAAAAACAAGGGAATTTGCCGAGATGGTTTTCGCTGTTTTTCATGCATTTGTGATCCAACAAGTGGGTATTATGGTCTGACTTGCCAACGGAAATGTCCATGTTTAAATGGAGGTGTTTGCAAGACAGTTCCTACAGGTTTCAAATGTGTCTGCCCGCCTGGCTACTCTGGTGATCTATGTAAGGTGAAATATTTAACAGAGGAAAGACTTCTTCAACTGGAGAATTCAGTGAAACAGGTAAAATTTTACTGATGGACTGACTTCATTGCGTGTGATTATAGCTTTATACATATTTAAGGTCATCAACTTTTATAGCCTGTTGAGTAAAGCAAACATTCTTCTTATTTTTTAGTTAAGCTCAAAGTTGGAACAAACCGAAAAAGAACTGGAATCTCAGAAATCTCAACTGGAAACTTTGAAACGCAACGATAGAGGAACGTGGAGGTTACGACGAACAAATGAGGCAAGTGAAAAAAATGCGGTCGTGCTAAAATCCTAATTGTCTACACATCTCAAAAAACAACACAACGCTCCTCTTCCCTTGTCAACATATTATAATAATTGCTTTAACAATGGACTGACAATGTTATACAATGAAGAAAATCTTTTGGTGAAATAGCTTTAAAAAAAATAGCACTTTATCAATGTATCTACTAATCAAAGCTCATTCTATTTATCATAGATTTTGAATCAACTGGAGAAGTTACGATTGCATCTTGCAAAACCAACCTACACACAAAAAATCCCCATCATGTTCCCCCAAAACACTAGAGCTATAATAATTTCCGTCTACTGCCACTACGGGAACCACAAAGGAGCTGCTGACTTGTACTATGTAACACATCAAAAAGGAAACGACGACAGTTCGGGAAAAGTTGAAGGCTACAACTTGCATTACAATGTCCATGGAAATACATTTTTATACGAACAAATGATTCCATGGAACAATACTCTCGCAAATGAACTAGTTTTCAAAGTAACATTCTCCCGCTATGAAAGTAGGAATCCTCACAGTTGGTATCGTGTTCGTTTAGTTGGCTATGTGATTGATTAACTGAGACAATAACACCAAGCAATTCTTTAACAAATACTTAAAACAGCATATGATAGTTTTAGTGTAAGAATGTAACAATTTGTCATTATTTGTGAGATAATACAATGCTTTACATAGTATTGATCTTTTCTGTATTGTTTGAGGCCTAAATTTCCAACACTGACAAGTTATATTGCTCATAACCAAATTGCCGTTCGCTAGCAGGCTTATAAAATCATAAAGGAATATTTCGAAATTTTCAACAGACTTCACTGTTCATGACTGTGAAAATTTGGTGATATCGACGTCACTTTTTGAGCACCTAATCATTATTCAATAAAGTTTTAAAAGTTATTTACACTAAATATGTTTGAACACGATCATATTTTCTGTTTAAAAGTTACCAATATTTCATATGAAGAAAAATCTTTAATCAATCTGCTGTAATCCACAAAATGTTTCACTCATTCTTTGAAACATTTTGGGTAGAAGCTTACAATGTGTATCACAACATTCATCTACACAAACCTTCATCTCTTCTTGTAATTTTTGTCCTATATTTTATCCTGACATGATCGTGCACATCTTGAGAGGCGGTCCTATCGACAAAAACGAGTAAAAGTTACTCAAAGTTCATTTGTAAGAGCCCGTAAAGTAGTACAGATTGAAACTTGACCATGGAGGTGTAAAATTTTCAAACATTTGCTGCACATTCAAACAATTAAACATGCAACTTATGCTATGTGATAATAAATCATTCATAAATCTGGAAAGTATTGACTTTTCGTGTATATATGTGCTACAAATACATACTTACCTAAATTGAAAAGTAATATCTGTCATTTCAAAGCACATCTAATACAAAAAAACATTGTGCGATAAAATGTTTTCATCGAGGTCTTTGGTCTTTATCGATATTTCAGGAAATTGCCTCAGGAAATTTTATGCAAGCACATTTTTACATGAACAAGGTCCTGCAACATTGCAAGACAGATCCTACAGGTTTCAAATGTGCCTGCCCGCCTTGTTCCTAAAGTGATCTAAGTAAGTTGAAATACTTAACTGAAGAAAGACTTCTTCAACTAGAGAATTCAGTGAAAAAGGTAAAATTTTACTGATGGACTGACATTGCGTGTGATAATAGCTCTATACATATTTAAGGTCATCAACTTTTATAGCCTGTTGAGTAAAGCAAACCTTCTTATTTTATAGCTAAGCTCAAAGTTGAAACAAACCGAAAGAGAACTGGAATCTCAGAAATCTCAACTGGAAACTTTGAAACGCAACGATAGAGGAACGTGGAGGTTACGACGAACAAATGAGGCAAGTGAAAAAATTATACGTGACAAAATGTCATTACGATCGTGCTAAAATCCTAATTGTCTACACATCTTAAGAAAAAAAAGAACACAACGCTCCTCTTCACTTGTCAACAAATTATAATAATTGCTTTAAGAATAAACTGACAATGTTATACAATGAAGAAAATCTTTTGGTGAAATAGCTTGATAAAAATAGCACTTTATCAATGTATCTACTAATCAAAGCTCATTCTATTTATCATAGATTTTGAATCAACTGGAGAAGTTACGATTGCATCTTGCAAAACCAACCTACACACAGAAAATCCCCATCATGTTCCCCCAAAACACTCGAGCTATAATAATCTCCGTCTACTGCAGCTACGGGAACCACAAAGGAACTGCTGAATTGAACTATGTAACACATCAAAAAGGAAACGACGACAGTTCGGGAAAAGTTGAAGGCTACAACATGCATTACAATGTCCATGCAAATACATTTTTATACGAACAAATGATTCCATGGAACAATACTCTCGCAAATGAGCTAGTTTTCAAAGTAACATTCTCCCGCTATGAAAGTAGGAATCCTAACAGTTGGTATCGTGTTCGTTTAGTTGGCTATGTGATTGATTAACTGAGGCACTGACACCAAGCAATGCTTTAAGAAATACTTAAAACAGCATATGATAGTTTTAGTGTAAGAATGTAACAATTTGTCATTATTTGTGAGATAATACAATGCTTTACATAGTATTGATCTTTTCTGTATTGTTTGAGGCCTAAATTTCCAACACTGACAAGTTATATTGCTCATAACCAAATTGCCGTTCGCTAGCAGGCTTATCAAATCATAAAGGAATATTTCGAAATTTTCAACAGACTTCACTGTTCATGACTGTGAAAATTTGGTGATATCGACGTCACTTTTTGAGTACCTAATCATTATTCAATAAAGTTTTAAAAGTTATTTACACTAAATATGTTTGAACACGATCATATTTTCTGTTTAAAAGTTACCAATATTTCATATGAAGAAAAATCTTTAATCAATCTGCTGTAATCCACAAAATGTTTCACTCATTCTTTGAAACATTTTGGGTAGAAGCTTACAATGTGTATCACAACATTCATCTACACAAACCTTCATCTCTTCTTGTAATCTTTGTCCTATATTTTATCCTGACATGATCGTGCACATCTTGAGAGGCGGTCCTATCGACAAAAACGAGTAAAAATTACCCAAAGTTCATTTGTAAGAGCTCGTAAAGGAGTACAGAATGAAACTTGACCATGGAGTTGTAACATTTTCAAACATTTGCTACACATTCAAACAAGTAAACATGCAACTTATGCTATGTGATAATAAATCATTCATAAATCTGGAAAGTATTGACTTTTTTCGTGTATATATGTGCTACAAATACATACTTACCTAAATTGAAAAGGAATATCTGTCATTTCAAAGCACATCTAATACACAAAAAAAACAATGTGCGATAAAATGTTTTCATCGAGGTCTTCGGTCTTTATCGATAATTTCAGGAAATTGCTTCAGGAAATTTTATGAAAGCACATTTTTACATGAACAAAAGATTCATTGGGATAGTACTCACTCAGATGACTTGGTTTTCAAATTTAAAAGTAACCGGTTCCTATCGTATTGAAATCTGAATTGGTATCGCGTTTGCTTAGTCGGCTATGTGACTGAGTCATACGTACAGATATATGTACATATATAAGATATATTTAATGATGGCAACAACTTATAGAAAAAGAATATTTCAAATGAAAATGCATGGATTTTCTAGTTTGAAAATTTTGTTAAATAAAATGAACTGTAGTCAATTGCTTTTGATAGGCGTTATGTGTGTTCAGCTTGAGTTGAGCATGAGCAAGCACGTGATGAGAGAAATTTGAAAGCCTTCCAACCATGCATATAGTTTCATGAATTTTTCTTTGTCCTCTCAAAGAGCCTCTAACACCACATATAGCTATTTAGCATACTGATCTTTGTATTTACCAAAGTGAATTAATTCTGAATTCTTTCCTTCTTGTGTACAATTTGCAGAAGATCGGCAGGAACAGGTATTTTTACAATCATCAATTAAGAGTTGTTCTAAAATTGAGACTTTACATGACGACAAAGAGTCCAAGAGGACAACGAAATCAAATTGGGGTCAGCTAAATGCTGAAGGCATTCAAAAGAAAACAATGTAAAAGCAGGAAACAGAGATGTATATTCAGATAACTAGTGTTGACTTTGACACGTTGCTTTATTAAACTGTTAGAAAGCAAATAGAAAATGGGACTAGCATTTAATGTTTTCTTCGTCACTTTCATAATTATTGGTACATCTGCTATTTTTACAGAAGCCAAACAATCTTCTCACTGTCTTCGTGGAATCACAGTTAAAGATATACTCATGCTTGCTGGAATCAAGGGAGCGGATTTACTCTCCTACGTCGCCAAAATGAAGACAGAAAATATTGACGAAACTGTCCTCTCAAGTCTAACGTATAAACAACTTGGTAACATTGGAATATCAAAGATTGGAGATCGTCACAAGTTGCACAAATTCCTTTCAAAGGATGGAAATGACTGCAACAACTCCGTGTGTAAAAACAATGGTATTTGCCGAGATGGTTTTCGATGTTTTTCATGCATTTGTGATCCAACAAGTGGGTATTATGGTCTGACTTGCCAACTAAAATGTCCATGTTTAAATGGAGGTGTTTGCAAGACAGTTCCTACAGGTTTCAAATGTGTCTGCCCGCCTGGCTACTCTGGCAATCTATGTAAGGTGAAATATTTAACTGAAGAAAGATTTCTTCAACTGGAGAATTCCGTGAATCAGGTAAAATTTTACTGATGAACCGACTTCATTGCCTGAGGGTAGGGAATGATGGGTAAAGAAAACATGCTTCTTTTCGTTTAGTTAAGCTTAAAGTTGAAACAAACCGAATCTCAGCGCAATAATAGAGGATTATGGACATTACGACGAACAAATGAGGTGAGAAAATGCTTTCATATATCAAAGACAAGGCAATATTACAACTTACTTAAAAGGATAGCATTATGCATTGCGTGAACATTTTTATAAGATGAGAAAACTTTTTGATGAAACTGATGCTAGATTGACCACCGTTTAATGAATAGATGAAGGGGATGTTTTGATGACGTAGGTGATAGTTGATGAAAGAAATCATAGTTGACTTCTTTATAAGATGAGAAAATTTTTTGATGAAACTGGTGCTAGATTGACCACCATTTAATGAATAGATGAAGGGGATGTTTTGATGACGTAGGTGATAGTTGATTAGCTCGATGGCTCGACGCAGTATTTGTAAAAAGTTGAATTCCCCTTTTTATCGGCTAATAAAAACATCTTCCATTTATCATAGATTTTGAATCAACTGGAGAAGATACAACTGCATGGGGCAACTCCAACCTACACGCAGGCAATTCCAATAGTTCTTCCCCAAAACACTCGAGCCATCATTATTTCCGTTTTCTGCAACTTCTGGAACAGCAAAGGACATGCGTACTTAAACTATGTAACTCATCAAAAAGGAAATGACGACAGTTCTGCGAAAGCTGAAGGCTACAACACGCATTACAATGTCTACGCAAACACATTCTTGTATGAACAAATGATTCCCTGGAACACCACTCTCCCAAATGATTTGATCTTCAAAGTAACTAGCTCTGCTCATACAGGTGGAGCTAATAATTGGTATCGCGTTCGTTTGGTTGGTTATGTGACTGATTAACTGAGTCTGACATATGAACGAAATAAGTTTTTAAGAGATACGAAAAAACTTCAGCATCAGTTAGTGAAAATAGCAGCTTCAATTAAAAAATAAAAGCAGCAATTTGTGAGTAAATAAAACGCTTTGTAACCAGTTGATTCTATTGATGTGTTAATCGCCCAACACGGAGAAGTTATATTGTCCACAACAAAAAATGCCTTTTGCAAGAATGATTATGACAAATATTTTCCACAATGTCAATAGACTAGAGTTCGTCAGAAAATTTTGTTTTCACAGACATGTCACCTTAATATCACTTTCCGAGTTCCTTTTCATTATTCAATAAAGTTTTAAAATTATCTTTACACTAAATATGATATTTGAACATGAGAATATTTTCTGTGTAAAATTTACCAATATTGAACGTAAAAAAAACTTCAATTAGTCTGCTGTAATTGACGCAATGTTTCACTCATTCTTTGAAACATTTTGGGTAGAAGTTCACGGTGTGTATCACAACATTCATCTACACAAACTTTCATCTCATCTTGTAACTTACTTGCCTCTAGCTGGGTAGTGTTAACAGTTATTTTGTCCTGTATTTTATCCTGACATGCTCGAGCACATCTAGACAAGCGGTCCTTAGGAAAAAAGAAGAAATAATAAGCTGACTACCACATTTGTATGTAGGGTTAAAATACTTGAGTTGAAATGATGTTTAGCAGGCACTTTATGTCACTGATAAGCAAACAAGTGCCACAGACTCAGAATATCAAAAAGGGCAGGCAAGTTCAACTTTAAATAAGTATATAGCAAACATTTTAATTTCAAATTTCGAAAGCCTGACCCAAACTATAACCCATATTTTAATCCTAACCAAAAAGCTAACTTCCATATCATTGCTTTTGCTTTTCCACTTTTTAAAGAGCAAAATAATGTTTTGCTGTTATTTGCATTTTCTAACTATTCATAGCTATATGTGCCCACATTCTTTATAATCACTCTAAAAGGGTTTTGGTGTCCAATAAACTACATTCTAGCCTTAAATTGCAAAGGTTTACAAAAATCCATGAAAGGAGATACTTAACTGGTATTGAAATTCAAACAAGTTAAGTTAGTTCTAATGCCAATACCAACACACTCTGCGCATCATTCTTGTACCTGAAAATTATTGATTTCCCCATTTATATACTCCTGAGCTCTTTGTGAAGGAAGAAAACATTTTGATATGCAGCCCTGAACGACTTGGGTAGTTGAAGAATCCTCACAGCAGTCAGCTGCACAAAGATGAGCCTTTCTCTAAAGATTCATTGTGCATTTCAGAGAAAACAAATGAATTAAATAAACAAATAGAACCCACGTAATAAATCATCCTTCTATAAATTACAGGCAAAAAATGGCAAAATTAATCATTGGGACGAGTTCAAGTCAGTCTACTCTACTGTACAGTCTCTCTGTAGTCTACTGAGTACTGTCATACTGACGAGTTGTAGAGATGACTGACGACCACGTGGTGGAAAGTTTGAACAAAATATCGAAACTCTGTTTTACAAAGGAGCGGCAAAAAGTTAACTATAAGCTGCTCCTTTACCTGCATTGGTCGTATACTATCTTTTTCCAATGAATTGAGCATACATTCCGCTTCCTTTTGTACACGAGATTGGGCATTCTCCGCCATATTGATTTTGCCTCTGGAATATTAACTCCCCCCAGTACAACTTACAAAATCTCCCACCCCCAGTAAAACTTACAAAATCTCCCACCCCCAGTAAAACTTACAAAATCTCCCACCCCCAGTACAACTTACAAAATCCAATGATTGTGTGTCATCGTTGTGCAAATAAACCTGGTAAAAACAAAACAACCGATATCTGTGGACATTATTTCGCTCAAAACAGTCTTAAAATGACGTTATTTTTTTTAAGGGAAAAACGGAATTTCAAACAAAGGACGTATGAATGTTTTCCATGTTAAGGGGAGGGGAACTATGAGAAAAATTTGAAAATTAAATTTTCGAGAGCCGTCATTTTATAGGAGTCCTCTGTTCCTTGTTCTTTGTTTACCGTTTTGTCAACTTTTCTCAGTGACAAACGTTTCGTTAAACCTGTGTGTTTATTTTTCGAGGGCAAGGGGCAATATTTTGGGGACTATAGAAGGGTGACAGGTGAGTAACACCCCAAATTGTTAACCCCAAATGGCAAAGATTGAGTTTCAGGATGAATTGCAAAAAGAAATACTCGTGGGATACCTTGCAACAAAATACAATGCAATACTTTTTAACTTTGTCTGCACCTGCCTTTCGGTTAACTATCAAATAATGTTTGCATTTGATATCAATGAAGTTTCATGTTGACATTATTGTTATACATTTATATCAATTAACATGTAAAATTTTGTCTATTGATCAAGTTTTGGCCATGTATACAAGTCATGGCCAGAATATTGTATTCTTTGACCTTAATCTAAATAAGTCACTCGCTATAACTGTAAGTAATGGCTCACACACCAAAACTGTTAGACATTGTGTAGGCATGACGTCATTACTATCGCTTTCCATCATAAATCCGTGTTGAAGAACTTTATTTACGACACCCAAAATTTAAACAGTAGTTTGTTGATTAACCTTCAGTTCCCTTAAGATCTCTTTCAATTTCGTCAATCTTTGTCGATGTCCTTCCTTGTCAATGACAGTTTGACTTCGGGCGTGTAGATTCAAGATGTTCTCGTATTCAGCATCGGTGTACTTTGCTCCTTGTTCAACCAGTCCGACCAAGAAGTCCTTTATAGTGCAATAGAAATACAACACGGAATGAACATGTAATAAACAGACACGTTGTTGTTTTGGATTTGATTACGTAATACTTTGGTTGAAAAACAAATTAAGTTAATACAAATATGAACGACAAATACATAAGTGGATGATAGTTTATTTAAGAATGAATGCCTGTTAACCTAATCTTGGGCTATAGTTGTGGATATTTGAACAAATGAAAACAGGATGCAAATGAAATGAATGAAGTTGTGAGGCTAGCCGATTTGAAATTGAATTTTCGTAAATTTAACCACAGGGCTATTTGATCAAAGTTCAAGTAGACAGCTACAAGCAAAACGTTTGAAAAACATAGCCAAAAAAAGATTTCTAAAAGCATATTTAAGGTTTCACAGGACACAATGATCACTTTTCGATCTACAACTGTTGACAATCGAAGACAGGGTTCGACTTTGCGACGAAGCAAAAAAAAACTGTTTTCATTATGTAGCTAAGTCTTTGAAAAATGAATACTCACCCCTGGAATTTTGTACAGCAAATCATAATAAAGTCTTGCTTTATCGAGGTCTGGTTCACGGGATTGTGTTATATTCAGGAGATTTTGCTGAATGGCGAAAATGTTTCTCGACCTGTTCAAAAGTTTTAAAAGCATAAGAAAATAGCACACTATTTAAATGCCATGCTCGTCAGCATTTCGAGTGGGAAGTGTAACCTACATCTTCTTGGTGCCATTGGCGTTCATTTTTTTAATATATGGTGCGGCAGAAATGATGAGCATTGACATCATGTGACCAAGTCCTTCAAACATATATCTAGAAAGTAAAAACCGAATTATTTGGTGTTCCAAGTAATCGCGCGGTATATTAATATTTCGACGGGAAATTGGCATTCTTACAGCACCCCATCTAATCACGGATAGAGGGGTGCACACCCTTTTGCATCCCTTCCTACAGTACATCCATATCTGCAAATGCTAAATAAGAAAAAAAATCATATTCACTGACTTAAACTTGTGAGGCGCCAAGGTAGTGGAGACAATGTCTTCTAAAGCAACCAGGTCTTTGTTCATATGGATAACCAATGTATCAGCATCAACTGACTCTACACTGCAAACGTAACTCCTCTGCAATGTAGATGATGTTAAACTTTGATCAATTTATTTGGTAAGTTACATAAGTCAGAAGACAGTCCATTTTACATTACTTTCTCACGTAATGATGCGAAGTTCGTTTGAAAGTTAAAATATTATCCAATCATCATGCATTGTGAACTTGAACTGGCAATTTGATTGGACGATATATGATCTTCGCAAAGAAATCTGAACTTTAGAAAAACCTATGCAACATTACGTGAAAAAATAGCGTGAAGAGAACAATGTAAAACACCTAAGATCTTCGCAATCTGCAATATATGATAAAGTATTGTTTACATACGAGTGAAAAATTTAAGCCATAAGACTTCATCGTGCAAAATTAAACGCATACCTGCTTCAAAGCCTGCATTAAATAGTAGAAACAATGACAGCGTATTTCCAAATGCAAAACCAAGAGGCATAGTTCAGCAAGATTTTGAAAATCTTGTCCAAGATCACTCAAGGCTCTGGATCAACACGAAAGATGAAACTCGGTTTTCGTATTAAATAAGCTATCGTTTAAGACTTTCTACAAACCACACGAATGACAAACTCGTGCAAACATTAATGATAGCTAACTTTCATAATACAGTATAAAAAACGCGGTACACAGTCTTGTACAGTCAAGTAGTCTTGATTAAGAGTGACGAAGCTAGTCCAAATTCTGACTATGCAAATTGTTTAGTATGTTTAGGTCTTTTGGTTTAATCAGTTAAGAAAATTAATTTTCACTTATTGTTCATTCAGTGAATCAACATAAAACATGTGTCTTGCAAGATTAAAACGTTAGGCCATCAAAACTAAATCGAAAGACTCTTTGTTGATACGCATGCGCGCAACAAACACCAACTTATATCTATATCTTATGCACAGAACAAATTATCAAAATACCTCAACATGTCTTGGGATAGAGGAGGGATCTCTTGCTGAAAAGTAAAACAAAAACATAAAAATCAATGCTAAATACATGTGGCCCATGATTCAAATCATTATCTCAAATCGAAATCGTAAATCAGAGGAGTAAGCCAAATGATTAATCCAAATCCATACACACCCCTTTCAATTTGTCAGATGATACATGCGAGACAACATTTATCCCCGTCGTGCTAGCGCTTATGTTGCTCGCAAAGGATTTAATGCGACCAACGAGCCATTCCTAAAGATGATAATCAATCATTACTATCGTTTGCATAGCTCAAGATGACATATAAATTATTTACTGTGTTCCACCAGCGAGAGTATTAATTTACCATAACATATTGTTGCAACGTATGGTAATCAAACCTTTTGTTTAGTTAGAAAGACAGCAGGGAAATCATGGGAAAATCTTCGGTATCATGTCTAACCTCAGTCACAAAATGTTTTTCCTTGCTCAACCAACAGTGAAATTGTTCATTGGCATTACGGGAAAAGCTTGTCACGAAAGCGTATTTAGAAAACATGCGCCATAAAAAATACGAATAAACGATAAGGTATACGAAAATTGACCAAACATACAATGCTCTCTTGTAAATTTGCCAAGGTCTTGAGATCCACAAGATCCAGGATGACTTCATTCTTCTTGATCACATTTTCAACAAGTTTATTAAGGATTTCTGATTCCTAAAAATACCACAGCAACGTCGCCAATGTACGTTGATATTCTTTCCCTTTCAACAGCATATCGTAATATAAGTGTAGACAAGAAAAAGCGCGAAGAGTATGATGGTATATAGGATAAACAGTAGGACTACTTTGCTATGAAACTTTTTGCTGTATTTATAATTAGATTAATGACTACCGTTAGCCAGCTCAGTGTTCCTATTGGTCAGAAAATACAATAAGCAGGCAGCCACTATTGATGGAAACATGCGCAATACGGATATGCACGCACAAAAAATTGAATAGAGTGAGTACTGGGACTAGTGCTTATTTCTTATACTGTACATGAAAACAGCTAACCTTTTCGTTTCTCATTCTGATTGCTTCAGAGTTTTCTTCCATTTCCTTCAATATATTAAAATATACTGTAGTATACGAGTTAAGAATATAATAAACGACGAATTAGGACATTAAAATCGTTCTTTTCTGCATAAATGATGACAAATAAAATTTACTTTTTATGATAGATCAATACAACATAACGCAAGAAAAGAAAGTTTCTGGTGTGATGTTTGATGATGCTGATTTGAAACTTCCTTTTTTGCTGATATTATCCCCCCCCCCCTTAAACTCCTTTTATCCACTGGCTGTCAATATCTGTTAAACATCTTCGTCACCTTAGAGTGATAAAAACTTCCAATGTAAAAATAAACTTGAGCTATACCAACCTTTTTTCTGTGTTTGCCAGGTCCGTGAACGTTCGTCCAGTTAGGCAACGACCTTCAAACATACACATAATATATTTGAAGATATTCTCCGCAGCTCAATTATTTAAAATAACTTTTCACCTCAATTCATGGCCAATTTCCTTCGCCCAAGTTGCACTGAGGATAGGCGACGTTGAATTGTTTTGAGAAATCTTAACAATGGCTGAAAAACAAACGTGTTTTGTTTTCCTAATAATAAGACCCAGGCCAGTTTCAACGTCCAAATTTGTGCTTAGCGCATAAGGCGTATGAGAGCGTGGAAGTTTGTAAGACTCCACACGATAAACTTAACTTAACTACATAATATGAAGCAGTTACATAAGTATAGCAAAAATTCCCTCACTGTTATAAGCAGCCCAACAGGTATCCTTGTAGTTGCGTAAAACGGCACAGATCATGTTCATGAATGTTGATGCGTGAAGGGGCAGAGCGA